GTTATGATAAGAATAATACCAAAAAAACAGTATACAAAGATTTAAGATATTATTGCATTCATGCAACTAAAAGTTCTATTTCATAATATTTTAAAATGTGCTAAATTTCCATTTTAGTAATGCTTCAAGATTGTTAAAAAAGAAAATAACTATAAAATAGAACTCTATCAACAAATATTGGACACAAGAAGTATATTAAAATAGATTTAAATTAAGGGTTAATATAGGTTTGTTGTTAAATTAATCAAGTGTTACTCCAATAATTCCTAAAAGGAAACTGTTTTTTTTAAAAAACTCTCTTATACCTTGAAAAATTGAAGTCTGGGTAAACCATAATATTAGATGTATCTAAATTTTAAATAATATTCTTTTACTGTAAAGGAGTGTTAAAAAAAGGATATCTTGTATTTTTAACCTAAATTTCTTTATATCTATAATCTGAACAATACTTGTTTTTGATTTCCCATAGAGGGATAGAGTTATCCCAACTACCAGAAGCTATTGTATTTCCATCAGGAGAGAAACAGACTGAATTCACACAACTACTATGACCATCTAATTTGGCTTTTTATTATCCTGTTTTGACATCCCATAGACGGATAGACTAATCATAACTACCAGAAGCTAATGTATTTCCATCAGGAGAGAAACAGACTGACATTACAGTACAAGTATGATTATTTAATTTGGCTTTTTATTATCCTGTTTTCAGTATTTTGTTTAGAGGATATTTTTAAATCACTAAACAACATTGGAGAGAAAGATGCTTGTTTGGTAATTTTCTAATAATTGCTAATCATAAAGGGAATATAGATTGATAGATCCCCTAATGGGATGAGAATACTTTGAGCTAAATCACTAATGATCAATCATAACAATAATTTTAGGAATAAAGAAATGTTGCTGGTCATATTAGGTATTTTTAGAATTTTCTGAAAGTTTTAATAGAGAATCATATTCTATATACTAAAAAAATCCTTAAATCCTAATAAACAATGATTTAATTATAATACATCATATTAAATGAACAATCCGTCGTTCAGAATTTATATCACGAACTTAAAAATCACCATGAAAATTATATTTGATACTTCATTTAATTATTTAATTATTAGGTTGTTTTGGAAGAATTCACTAAGCAAATTAAAATGGGCAAGGCTGGTTTCTTGTATAAATATATACAAACTTATTGATTTAAAAAGCAACTAAACGTTAGATATCCTATTTTTTTATTAAATGACACTATGATGTCATTCTAAAGTTTAAAAATTGCAGTTTATGTAATTTTCTTACTAGTGAACCTTGTGTCATCCTTAATTTTTCTGCTTTGAGTAAAAGTATATTGTTTATGCTTAAATATAGATTTGTCAAATTGAGGAGCTTATGCATTTCTCAAATTATTTTTCCTATTCCCTTTAGAGCTAGAGTTGCCAAATTATTTGAGCAGTATTTCTTATATGAACTCACAGTTTTTAGATACATATTTTAAAGAAGAATACTTAATAGTTTTAAAAAGATCTAAACAAACCTTTCCCTAAGATAATTCTTTAAATTTCCCATCTATTTTTCTCACATCTCGATATAGACATTAACCCTATTTCATTTCATCTCAGCTAATTAATGATTAATACTCTTAGTCGTATATTATGACAAATTATTGTTTTATTTCAATAGAAGAAAAAATTCTTAGGCTATTGAAAAGGCTGTATAAACTCTCCTTAAGAAAATTTTTCATAAATTTTTCAACTTAAGATGTAAATTGTAATAAAAATAATTACTTCTTCCTTACCAAAACCAAAAATCTGGATCGTTTTAATATGATTCCTCGTATCTTTATTATCTAGGATAGGCTCATTATTGCGAACTTTCAATCTTAGAATCCACAAGCCCATCCAAACACAAAACTACTATAACCTAAAATCAACTCTCCCTAAGCACTCGGCTAACAGTTATAGAGCAACTGCATTATTTTAATATAAAAGACCTACTAGAGAGGGTGGTAGAATCGAGGGCCTGGAATAATTATTTTAGCTAAAATAGAGATTATTTATAAATTTCATCCATCTATTTTATTAGAGATTACAAGAATTAAATTAAAAATCTTTAGACATCTCTAACTATCCCCTTTTGTATTACAAAATTTAAAGAAAACTAATGGCTGAAAATATTGGTATTGATTAAATTCTTGATAGAATAATAATTGCTACAGAGTTATTTTTGATGAAGATTTAAATGAATTTTCAACATGAATTGATATTAAGGTCAGATATTTTGAGATTACAAATTCATATCAACTAAAAAGTATCAAAATGCTTAATGAACGTGGAAATTTCTCTATGTACTTTAAATTATATTAGTTTATTAATGGACTAATCTAAATCTTATATTTAGAAATATAATTATTCTAAAATTCAATCTAGAAAAATTATGAATAGAATATATATCATATCAATTATTTAATTTTTTTATTATATTCATCATATATAAATTCTTTAAACAAATATCGTTTTGATAACTTTTTATTTATGAAATTGGGCTGCTTTACTGTTAAGTTTTAATTTAAAGAGTAAAGATTATCATATAATGGATTATATTGTTTATAACAATACTGATGATTTTATTTATATAAGATCAATTGATTACCAAAACAAAAGAATAGTACTTAAGTTAATGTATATAAGTTAGAAATATAATTTAATGTGGTAATAATATTCAGAAAAATATACTAAAAAATTAAATGAATGACAATTATTTTTATTTATTTAAGATTATAGACAAAACAATATTATGATTTCTTTTTTATATTTTCTAATAATATTTTCAATAATCTTTTGCAATTGAGATTGTAGAAATGGATAAATATTACTAAATATAAAAATAATTGATTGTTATTGATGCTATAAATTTTTGCCTAGAGGATTACTATTTTTATGGAGTATGGTCTAAATATAATCCTTTAAGCCCAATATCTTAAGTATGTAATATTGGATTATTTGATAATAATTGCTTCAATATACATAACATTGACTAAAACTGGCTAGTGTAAATCTCATTTATTATGATGGTTTTAATTATAATTAGAAATAAATTAAAAAAAACGATAAAATTCTCTGATAATGAGAAAAATCATGATAAATTTGTTATTCAAATGGATTTGTTGGAACATGAGAATATTTTGGTATTTTTTATTAAAATTTTGGATAGTCTTAAAAAAGTAAATAAGAATTGAATTTTTTAAAATGCCTTCCTGAAAAAATATTAAGAAAATTTCCATTAAAATTTATGGTTTCATATTTACTTTTGAAGGAAATTGATAGTAACAGAATCAATATCTCTTCAAGAAGGAAGGAAATAATTTTGTTAAGTAACATATTTTTAGAAAAAATTTATAATATGAAATTTGATTTCCACACAAAATTAAAGGCAATAAGCAATGGAGAATTTCGATTCTTATAATTGCAAGTTAAATATAAACTATTTAATTTTTGATGCAGATATAAAATGGTTAGATAAAAATATATACACATCAGAAAATATGAGTTGCATCTCATCCACTCTATAAGAGTTCACACATTAATTAGAAAATTAGCCTGCAAATCTAATTTAAATCTATCAATTACTATATGGTTATCAAATTTCAAGAACATAAAATTTTATAGTTTTTACATCATATAAATCTTCTTTTCCTTAAGTCTCCATTGATAATTAAGAAACTCCATTTCTAATCGAAGAATTGATTGAAAATAAAAAATGATATCAATCAAGTGTATTTGAATCTAACAAAATAATAGAAGTAAGGTAATTTCATAATCTTTAATTGAAATTGCAATTTGGAAATTATCTTTAATATCATAAAAATTACTTAAATCCCTTTATCAGAAATTTTGCTTTTTTGAATTGCAATAAATAATTTTAATGTATAATTTGCCACTTTAGCTGCTATGATTATGATGGTTCAACTAAAAAGAGACTGTTAATCTTGCACCAAAGAATCTAATCGAATTTATTATCCAGAATTTAATATGTGCTTATGTCGATTCTACACTACTAATAAATCAAAATGTTAATCTTATGAAAATTCAAATTTGAATTGAATAAAAAATAGTAAATCTATTAAATGTGAATTTGGATATTTTGAATGAGATCTATTTAAATTAAGAAGGAACAACTTAAGATGAGTCCCTTTTATTACCATATATTTTTCATTTGATAATTTGGAGATTTATGTTTGCCAAAATTGCATTTAAACAAATTTAGAGAGCATTTAAGTTAAAGTTATAGATTTTTCTTTACAATCTTTCTCTTTAGGCTTTTAAAATTTTTAAGTTATTAGTCTTATATAAAAGAAAAGTCATAAAGGATTATTTTTATTAATGATATTTACCAACGAAATTTTAGTTTGATATTAAAGTTTCAAAAAACTCTTATTTTTAATCTTCTGCAATTATTTAGCAAAGTTTGTAAATTTAGTTATTTCAAATTACATCCAATACTTTATTGTATTAAATTGTTAAATTCAAGCATCTTAAATTAAAATATAAGTCAGTGTTTTTTTAAGAAATATTCTTTCTCGTAAATCAAATTAATGATTTTTAAACTAAGTTAATTTCCTAATTGAATAAAAAGATTATTTTCTACTTCTTTCAATCTAAATGCCATTAGTAATTATTCATTATTCAAAAACAAATAATAATTCATCTTTCTCTTTTATTTGAGTGAAGTATGATTCATTTTTTTATTATGTAATGACTCGATTTAAATTAATTACTTCTTAATTTTACCTACTTTTTTTTAACAGATCGAGCGAAATTCTTTTTTATTTTATTACTTTGATTATTCAATCTCATAAAATTTTAATTTAAATTATTTAAAGCTATTTAGAAAAATCTTGCAAATTTTATTATTTAATATTTATAATTACATCAAGATCTTATTCTTGATACTGATTATTTTTTTAGGAAATATAAAACACTAAATTACAATTCAATGTTAATTTAAAACTTATAAGTTTATGAAGAATAAATTTTCCCTTTTCATTAATATTTACTAAATTATTTCAAGAATTAATCAATTAATATCAATTTTCTCTATATATATGATAAAGTTTGATTCTAATTATATTGCTCATATTTAAACAATTACACAGTTTAAGTGTTTTTAGCTTTTGTTAAATAACAGATTATAGTTTATGAATTTGAATTTATAGCAAATTTCATAGATTATTAATTAAAGAGGATTTACACTTGATTTGATATTTTTTTCCTCTTTTTATTAATTTATTTGTTAATCAATAACATACTTTCAGTTGAAATATTGAAGATATTATTTCAATCCTAATTTTTCCATTTAATAATTACAAGAATAAATCCTTTATCACTTAAAATTAAACACCTTTTGAAAATATTTTTGATAAATTATTTTAAGGCTGCTAAATTAAATTACATATTAGTCTCGTAAATAAATTTTGCTAATCTCTTTATAATTTATCAGCAAACTACAATTTACAAGTTTTTCATTACATCAAAAACTTCTTTGAAATTTTGTATCAAAAAGTTAATATAATATTAGTTTCAAATTCATCAAGTAAGAGAACTTTTGTCAACAGAAATTATTTTAGATAATCATTTTAGAATGAAAATAAAAACATTAAATTGAATGAAAAATATCATGATAAATTATACTATTAATATTAATTATCAATATTTTCTTTTATAAATTTTTTGAGTTCTTTTTAAATTCTTTCTTTTTCTAAATTAATGATAAAATTATATACTTAATAATTTACTTATAAAGGAGATTTTGACTTTTCTTATTCTATATTTTAGGTATCTTTGAAAATTCAAAAATAATCTTCTTCAACATTTTACAAACTGGATTTTCTATTTGTTAATTTTTCTTTATTTCCTAATCTGTATCAAATTGTTATTATTTAATTAGTTTTAAATCCAAGCTAAAAAATTAATTCGGTATAATTTTTTTCATATCATCATGATTTTTAGACTGGATTTTTCTTTTTTATCTTCTCTTTATTTTATTTATTTTTCTGCTTTTCTTTTATTTTTCTTTTTGCTTTTTTGTTATAACCTTCTTTTTACTTAAACTAATTTCTTGCTGATTCATAGGCAAAAAAGAAAGTTGAGTTTCGTGTTATTTTTTCACCATTGCCTCATTCTAAATTAAAATCAAATTTTATTTGGGGTCTTTATTTGAATAAACTTATTGCTCATCAATAAAATTAAGATTACAAGATTATAGATTTTCAATTTATTTATTTTATATGTCATAGGTAAGCTATTTATTTGAATCTATGTTTTTTTGGTTTTTGGATTCATTTTTAAAACTTAATTCTATATTATTTTAAGTATTATCATTTGAATTAATCTCTTCCTGATTTACAGAGGAAGAAGAATAATTTTTTTCAAAAGATTAGACACAATCCAACTGAAATTTCGGTAATTATAAAATGTGATTATTTGTAAAATCAAGAGTTGAATGTGGGCTATATAAATCCAGTTTCAAATTGTATTGAGATGAGTTGGATGTTGTATCTTCAATCAATGTTGAAGTAGTAAATGGATTATTTATCGTATTTCTTTTCTTAGAACAGAGATTTGATTATGATTTCATCTAATTGAATTTTTCATCATCTTATTTAAAATTTTATAAATGGGCGGAATATTTTTTAGCGCGAAAATCAGATTTACAATAATTATTTAGAATTTTTATTGAATTAATTGTTTAAAAAATTGGTTCCTTTTCGTAATGCTTATTAAATTGTAAAGACATCTCTTAAACAGTGCTGTTACTTTGATTATTAAATCTTTAATATTTAATAACTTAAATATTTGGGACCATTCCAATTTTTTATAGATATTTCTAATACTCTTCATCATTTTGATCGATCTAGTTCATTTAATAAAATAATTAATGATTCTTAAAACATCAATATGATCTTTTAAATGAGAATTTTGCTGAAAATTTTTTTTTATAAAATTGTAATAACACATAATCACATATTATATTATAAAATCAAATGTTAAATAATTTTATTATTCTGCTGAAAATAAGTTATTTCTCTATTCTCATTATCCATGTAATCAATATTTGAGTTTTCTAATAATATTTTAGGGAGAAAATGAAACAAAATTTATATAAAATAAGTTGGCAAAAGCAATTATGATCACTTTTTCAATAATCCAACAAAATTCATTAAACTATTCATAACAAATGAGAAATTAAAGTTAATACAAGCATAGTTGGAAAATCGTAACAGTGCTCTGTAATTTCTAGTGAGTGATTTAAGAGCAAATAAGTGAAAAGATGGCTAGATTTTCAAAATCCTTTAATCATATTATAAAAGGAACGTATAGTGTTATCACTTTGAAATAACAAAAGTCAAAAGATTTTTAAGGAATTCTTATTTCTGAAATAAAATTTTCGTTAATGATGATTAATTTTAAGAAGAAAAAAAATTTAGAATCAATTTTTTCAGCAATATTAAATCCAAAATAAAATATCTTAAATATAAGAATGGGGAAGAAATTTCGATTTATAATTAGGAAAAATTAATTAAAATCTTTAAGCGAGCTCAAAATTTTATAAATAAAAAATTATCTTTCGGTAAAGATTTAAATACAAAATTCATAATTATTGTTCAGTGTGATCATATAATTTATCATCAGGTTCTAAATTATCTCCAAATTAGATTGCATAATCAATTTCTCCTAATAAATTGTCAATGCTTTCATCATCACTAATATCTAAATACAGAAGTCTTCCAATCCCTATATTAGTAACCAACTCACTTATCTTTTAAGTAAAAAATTTAAAGGATTTTGAGAATTCATACTAGTTTGCATACTCACTTTATTAGTTGAATTTATGAAGCTTTATATATCTCTTAATTTCTTTTTGTCTTAAATAAGGTCACACTTTAAAGTACAGTAAAGGCAGGCAATTCCAAAGCCATTGATGCCGACAAAGCCATTAAAAGGCCAGATAAAAATTTAGCATCATCTTCAATAAAGTTAATGTCAACCAAATAAACAGAACTAATTGAAAATCCAGAATATACTAAAAATTATGCTAATTTTCTCATCATATCAATATGTGAATATAATTCTATTTAACCTGGACAATCAAATAAAACATAGTCATCTTAAGCAATATTGTTTAATTATTCCTACATCCAATTCCAATTTTATAATAAATATTCCATGCAATAGACTAAACCACCATTTGGACCATACCCAAGTTCTTCCATCACATCACTCAAACATATTAATTCTCTAATATCAACTGCACATTTATATGGAATAAAATCAACAGCAGGGTCTAAATTGACCACTTCAATGTTCCTTTTAAAAGAACCTTCTTGCAAAATATTACAATAAGAAGTTTTTCCACTTCCTGCAGGCCCAATTATTAGTTAACCATAATATTACATAATTAATTAAAAATTTATATAATTTTGTTCGAGTTTAAACAATTTTTCGGAATTCAATAATTTTCACTTAAATTTTAAAGAAAATATTCTCAATAAAAATAGAAACTTACCATCTTTCAATCAATTAAATTAAAAGTATAATTGTCTAATTTCTCCTTTTCAATTTCTTAATTATTAAAATTAATTTAAATATTTTACAAATTGAACAAATATTAATTATTATTTATTGGAAGGAAGTTATATCTTTTTATTAAATTATATATTTTTGTTATATTTGATTCCCAGTTAATATTCGTTTTTCTTTATTGAAATACATATATATATGAAATTGACCGACTAATATTTTGATATTTATACTCTATGAGTATGCTAAAACACCATAAATATTATTTTACCAAAAAGCTATAGGGGTGACGAGTCACTTAAACTTTTTTAGTAAACTATCATTTGATCTAAGCTTTCATACTTAATTTAAGGGTAAATTCCAATAGTCATGTGAAGGCATTTACACTCTGTAATTGAATTTCATATTAATATGATTATCATAATCATGAATAATCATGAGGTCTTAAATTAATTCCTAAAGAATAGCAAGATTTTGATATATTGTTTAATTTTTGGACTGAATATTCATTAAATTAAATATAATATGTCTCTTTCATTCCTCAAATTATATAGACATTGCTGATGATTAACTTAAATCTGGAATTATACACATTTCAGAGAATGTAGCTCACTTTAATCCTTGAGAAATTGGTCATATGTATCTCCAGTGATTATTCCTATAATTTATTACTAAATCATTAAGACTTAGACTTCTTGGTTGATCCATTAAATCCTCCATTATTTATTCAGTTACATAAGGTCAATGTTCTTCTCCAAGTATGATCTCACTTTCTATTATTCAATTCACTCATGGTTCAAGTACTAATCAAAAGCTACTAAAGAAGGTATAGGGTCGTAAAGGGGTCTGAATTTCCTGCCTTTATGTCTTGATACGAAATAAATTGAAGGAACTAAAACAAACTTCAAATATCAACCTATTCCTTATAAAAACAATCTTTTTATGAAAAATCAAAATTTTTAGCTTAAAATTTTATTAATTACAGTTTATTTATGCAAACCTCTATTTATAAAGAAAGAAAATCAATATGAAATTTTATAGTTGATTTCAATTACCAAAGAACTGGAATTTTCAAAAGACTTATTCACTTTATTCATCTTTATTAATTTCTAAATAAAAAATGAGAATTTTAATTCTTGTTTTATAATTGTTTTTAATTATTATTAGAAGTTTATTAATAAATTTATTTAACAAATGAATGACGATTATTCGAGAACTTGTACTTTTGAGGAACTACAGTCAAGAATTCATAAAAAATAGCCTTCCTAAAGATAAATTTCTAATCTAATTGATTAGTTTGATTGGGATTCCAAATATGGCCCATATTCTGGCATGACCAGAGAAGATAGGTAATGTTGAATTTCATGAATTATTAGATACAATAGAGCAGTTGTTAATGGATTATAACCTCCTCCAGAGATCAAAAATTACTTAAGCACAAAACCACATCCTTATACTTAATTTTATAAATTATGTTGAGAAATTAAAATTGATAGTGAAAAATTAATTATAAATACTTTATTCAACAAAACTTAATTAATGAATCTGTTTTTAAAATATTGATTTTATCTGACTGATGTTGATTCCTTATACAATCTAAAGTAGCTTCTAACTTAATTTATATGATAAAAAAGATTCCTATGATAAAGTTTATTCTGCAGTTTCTGGTTTATTCATTTATATTTTTTTTTCAATATTGATTTATATGCTCCTTATTTTTATTTTCAGAAATATTTATAGCTAAAAACTTGTATTTTCTATTGAATAATTTATAGTATTGATATTTTATTATTATTCCTCATTTCTTCTTGCATTAGTTAACGACCTAATTCTTCAATTTTTACTAATAATATTTTTTAAGCATATGTTTAAAATGAAGAATTAAATTCTTCAAACAATTTATAACAATAAAAGCTTGATAGATTTTCGATTTTCTATATTTATGTTCCAATTTATTTATTCTTTTTTTTTTGTTAGTGAGTATAATTTTTTGATTTATAACTTTCAATCTAAATCTTTCAAGGGAAAATATAATCCTGATTTAATTTATACTTTAATTTAACTACTATGGAAGAAAATAAATCTTCTAGATAGGCTAAGTTTTCATTAAATTTTCGTTTTTAAATTGAATTTAAGATGCTGATTTTCAGATTAATTTCCAGAATTTTCAGCATATCTAAAGAAAATAGTTTCATAGTCTATGGTGTTAATCATCCATTTGATTCAAAAATATTAATTAGCAACCTTTAATTCCATTAAATATTTGGAATAAGAATTAATTTTTATATTTAAATTATCTACTAATTTATATAAATTTCAATTTGAGTATTTTATTAATTCTGGATTTACAACTCTTAATATAAAACAAATAGATCTCTTTTTATAACATAGATATATTTTCTACTTAATCTAATAAAATTGAACATTAATTTTTTTCCAAAGTTTCATTGTTGGGATATTCCCCATCAATAAACCAAATTAGAGATAACTAAGTTGTCTTCTGCAAAAAAGTGTAAATCCATGATCTGCTTCTCATTTAATGTATGATATTAAATCGTTTAACAAATTACTTACTGTCCATTGAACTCCTTAAAATCTGGATTTATTTATCTTAGATTTTTGATATTTACTGTTAATTTTCAATTTATAATCTATATTTTTTTTCTAAAAGTTTTTATTACAATTGATAAAATTGGAAATTATATTTTTAACTTACAAATTTAATAATAGGTCTTTTTATACCATTTGAATATTAATTAGTGTAATCATTAATGAAATGATAGATATTATAATATAGGTATTCGTTTTTAAAATAATTTATTAGCATCACTTATTATTTAATCTAGTAATTTCTTCTAAACATTTGCTAACATCATTTTCATTCTATAGTCTAGTCTCTCTTAATACTTTTTATCTTTCTAATTATAAAAGATGTACTTACATAAGTAATCTTTTTTACTTTTCTTTCTTCTTAAAATTTATTTAAAGATTTAGCATATTAATTTTAGACCATCAATTTAGAGTTCTCCTAATCAGCAAATTATATTCTCAAAGTGTCATATTCAATAATTAGCGATTAATTGTTGTAAATTAATTATTCTATCTATTTTTATTAATGATCATTTTTCTGTATCAATTATATATTCATATTTTTTAAAGATTTAAGTTCATGATCTAATTAGTATTCTTTTGCAGAAGTTTTCTAAAATAAACAAAATATAATACATTTTAATACCTAATTCTTTATTTAATAGGCTCATTTAATTATACATCTTTCCAATTCTTAGGTCATTTAATTAAGTTAATCTTTATAATTTTGAATTTAAAGTTCTAAACGCTCAATTTATTTAATTAACTGTTTATTATCTATACTAAGTTTTTCATTTTAGAATTTATAAGATTCCATTTCACTTACATAGTTTTATTTAATCTCATCTTCAGCTTAACACTTTTTATCTTTATGAGTCTAAATGTCATTCATTTATTTAATTTGAAATTATAAGCTTTCTATATATTATTATTTAGCTGCTAAAGTTATTAAATATTTTTCATCTTAATCCTAAACTTATTATTAAATTATTTTTGTATAAGCTTCCCTTAAATTATTTACTTCATCAGTCAATGTTTCATTTTCATAACCTAAATATTCCATCTACTCCTAATTATTTTAACAAGATATTAATTCATTTCTCAATTAATCAATTTCTGCTCTATGTCTGGCAACTGCTTGCATATTAAATTCATGTCTGTGGTTGTAATCAATTTCCATTCTCTATTTTTCTTCAGCTAAAAGATTATACCTATGTTCTAAATTTGTGAATAAGAAATTCAAATCTTAGTAATCTTTCTCATTCTGCTAGAGCATTAGTATTTATTCCTTAAGCTGATTGATTTAATCCATTATGTGTTTTGTAAATCGTTAATTCTAAATTATTAATTATATAATAATGAGAACCTCTTAAAGTGAGAACATAACTTGTACAGCATTAAAACACCTAAAGAACTAAAAGTTATATGAAATAATATTGCTCAAAGAGAGGGTGGCTCTTTTATAAAAAGAATCACAAAATATTGAGTAAAGAGCAAATCCTCTTAAGTCAAAACTACTCAAAAATGTAGAGGAATCAAAAAGACTCTATGAAGATATAAAATAGAAAGTATAGTTATTAATTATAAGGAATAAGAGTATAAATTATTTATTTAAAGTGAAAAGGAAAAAGAATATAATGCAAAAAGATAGAAAAAGAACTTTATTTAGTTTTCTTCAAATGAAGCATTGAAATTTGCTAGACAGCATGTTTAATAAGAAAAGAAAGAATAAGCGTATTAAATAAAATAGCTTCATCAATAGGATAAACTAATGATAAAAAAGAATAAGGATTAGCAAATGAATGAAAAAATTAAAAAAAAGTACTTTAAAGTTTATTATAATTAGATGTTAAGTATTAAATGAGGAAAAGTAAGCTTAGTAGAAAATAAAAGAATTTTAACAAATTAAATAAGAAAATTTTCAGAAAATAACTTAATTTCAAAAGTTGTTGATTTAATAGGATTTATATAGTTAAGAATAAGAAATCAAAGCTCTTGAAGAATAAGAAATGAGGTTTTTACAGAAATTGTAATAAAGCAAATCGTAATAGCTCTAATTTAAGAATTAAGTCAAGGATGCAATGGAATTAAATGTAGAGGATTATAAAAAAAAGTATCCAAAAAAAAAGAAATGAGGGTGAAATCTAAATCTATATAAATATAAATTAAGGATAAGAATTTTCATATTTATTTAAAGTTCCAATTATTATTTCAAATTTTTCATGACAGAAACCATCGAAAATCTACGTGACTTTAACTATTACTAATTGACAAAAGATGTGAATAATAGTGTTGTATTAGCTGAATACATTTGGATTGATGGAACTGGAGAATCGTTAAGATCAAAAACAAAAGTAATTCACACGTGTAAAAATATTTTAGGTTTATTAAACTTAAATAAAAAGTCTTGAAGATTTAGAGTGGTGGACATATGATGGGTCATCAACTGATTAAGCAGTGACTAGATTTTCTGAAATTTATTTAAAACCCGTTCGAGTAGTAAAGGATCCCTTTAGAGGAGATCCTCATATTCTTGTGTTGTGTGAAACATACCTTCCTGATAAAAAAACACCAGCAAGATATAACTTTAGGTAATTTCAAACCTAAACTATTTGCTTAGATGGATTGCAAATTTAATTATGGAGAAAGCCAAAGATCATAAACCATGGTTTGGAATTGAATAAGAATATTTCTTATTAAAAAGAACAGGAACAACACATTTATGGCCATTAGGATGGCCAACAGGAGGCTTTCCTTATCCACAAGGAAGATATTACTGCTCAATTGGCGAAAGAAATAATTTTGGAAGAGCTTTAGCCGAGGCTCATCTAAGAGCATGTTTGAATGCTGGATTAAAAATTGCTGGATTGAACGCTGAAGTTGCACCATCATAATGGGAATTTTAAATAGGAATTGCTGAAGGTATTGAAATAGGAGATCATATGTGGTTGGCAAGATATATTTTGGAAAGAATTGGAGAAGAATTTGGAATTGATATCAACTATGATCCAAAACCAATATTAGGAGATTGGAATGGCAGTGGAGCTCATTGCAATTATTCTACTGTTACAACCAGATCTGAAGGAGGATATAGATATATTGTAGATAAATTAATGCCTATTCTAAAAGAGAATCATCTAGAAATGATTAAGTTATATGGATAAAAGAATGAGCTTAGACTAACAGGTAGACATGAGACTGGAAAATATGACTAATTCACTTGGGGAGATGGATCAAGAGGATGTTCTGTAAGAGTACCAATCATCACAAAGGAATAAGGATAAGGGTATTTAAAATTTATATATGTGTTAGATATTTTGAAGATAGAAGACCAGCAGCTAATATTGATCCATATTTGGTTTCTGCAGCTCTTGTTGATGTAACGTGTTTAAACAGTGAACATCTTAAATAATTGAATTCCGTTTTTGAAGACTCCCTAAAACCTCTTGGATAATAAATTTTTTAATAGTAGAAGGAATAATTCTAGTAATAAAACGAATGAAAATATTCATATATTTTGTGTTCAATAAATAAATATATTAGCCTTATCATTCATTTATTTCATATTAAATATTATAAAGCAATTTTATATAGATTGAAATATCAAATGAAGAAATGAGCTTTGCTGAAATACCAAAATTTGTATGTTTTCCTGAAAAAAAATTCTCATTTTAACAGAAAAAGATGCACATCTTATGGAATTTAATTATAAGCAAAAATTGGATAGTATAATGAAAAAATTTATTATAATATAATAATAAAATGAGATATTAATTCCTAATAAACTGGAACACTCAGTTGGAGAGATTATTAATTACATTATTGGAGTAATTTACTTTTTTGGATTGATATACTATATCCATAGAAAAAAATTTACTTAGCTTATTTCAAAGATTATGAATTAACTTGATGGACTAATTTCAATGATTTAAATAGGATAATGAAAATTAAGAATAATATAAGGCAATATTATATAGTTGTGTAAATTCAATTATATTTTTAATTTTGTGCTTTTTACTCGACTTTTCATAGTGAGTCAGATTTACCTTTTTCCACAATTATTGGATCAGATGAATTTATTATATTTTTTGTATTCACTTATTAGCTTTACAAATATCCCACTCATCCTCATGGAGAGTTAGATACACTGATAACAATAAGAGAGGCTTTTTTTATAATTTATCACTCTTTATTCTATTAATATGTACATTTCTAGATTTTTTAATATTGGAACAGAAGTTATCTTGTTGGTTATCTATTTTGCTAATTTAATCTTTATTTTTAATAATGAAAATTTAAAATCTAAAATGATGGAATAGTTTGGTCTGAGTGCAGAAGAAGAATACTACAGTTTTGATGAACATTTAACTTATGTGAAGAGAAGAATATTCATTCTAATTTAACAGATAACAATTATATCTAAACAGTTGACCCTGTTTTAATAGAACAACGATTAATATTAATAACACTAATAATAAAAGTAAAATCTTCTGATTATTTATTTTAGACAAGAATAAGATGATGGAAATAAGAAATTGGCTCTTCTTAAAGGAGGGCTTAATAAATTCTTTTTATTTTATTCATTCCTACTCATCGTATATACCATATAATTCCAACACCAGAAAATCTTGCCGATTATGTAAACTTTATCTTGGGTTTATTAATTTCTATAGCTATAGTTACAAGGTTATAATTATAATTGATTGATGGATTTACGAAATCTTCGAAGGAACTAGAATTAATGTTTAATTTTTGGGATTTATATTTCTGAGGGTTTCAGTTTCAGCATAACTTATATATCACCAAATTGTTATAGCAAAAGAATTAATGTAATTTAAATTCGCTTAAGCATTCTGCTAGACTGCCATTTGATAATCATCTCTTTGTATCGGAATTACTTGGGGTATTCAATCTTTGATCAATAATGATACTGGATTAGTGAGAAGGAGCAATAAATACTCAAAGATTTTTGCATTTTTATAGTAATTGTTTTAGGAACATAAATATACTGACTTTGTTCAATTGTAATTTGAAGTTCTCATAAAAATTTTATTATTAAACTTATATATTGAAAATTCATTCAAAATATAGTATTCAAAGTAGAAAATTTGATTTAAGAGCCTAAATAATTTTATAAATTAATTGAGGAAATTATAAGAACACTAATTCTTCTTTTAATCTCAAAATAAGATCATGTTTCTATTTAAAATTTTTCTCAAAGAAGTTAATTAAATTTCCAAATATCATTATTTAATTTTAATTCTTCAAAGGCAAATCAAAATTTTATGATACTTTTTAATATTGTTCAACTAATTTTTTTAATTAAAATATTCAATTTGACTACTATTTATAGAAGAAAGACACAAAAGAGAGAAGAGTAAATTCTAACAAAAATTCTATTTAGAGATTGTATTTGATTGTTGCCGAAAAAATGTTAATTATTTAATCTAAATCCCATAATTTGTTTCAAATATCTACTAAATATTAATACTTGATTCATTATTGATGATTTTTTGAAGGAAAAATTGTTTTATTTTCTTTCTTTTTCTACCCTAAATGGCTTTGATTTTATTACTTTATAGCATTAAATTGGTATTTCGCATTATTTTATTGCAAAGTATGAATAAATATCTCTTAAATGTTTTGATTATATTGTTTGAAATAGAAGAAGAATTATTTAAAGTTTTAATTTTTGCTTGTAGAAATCTATCTTTCTTATAAATTTTTAAAGATTCATTTTCTAAAGGTAAATTTAGATATACATCAAAATGTTAGAATCCACACTTTAATATGATAATTATGATTAATTTGTTTTTAAAATCTTCTAAACTTAAGATGAATAACATAAAATGATAGGCTTGTTAATAGTTGGAATAGTAAGATCAAACTAATGCAAAAATAATCAAATCTATATTTATTTATTTATATCTTTTAGTATAAGATAATATCAGATGAATTAGAATTAACAGGTTTGGATAGAATTTTGAGACAGGAAAGTTGAAAATTTATTTATATATATAAAGGTATTTTGAGCCAATTTAGGCCAAAATTAAATATTTATTGTCTATTATTATTTTAATCAGGTTAAATATGAGAAAGAATACAAAGTGGATAAGTTAGGAATAATTTTAATTGTTATAATTGATCCCTATTGAGGGTGTGGAATTTTTTAATTATTTTTGTATTTAAAAATTATGAATATGTAATGTACATTAAACAATGAGATTCTTCGTTGTTAGACACCTTCAACGGATGAAACGAATTATGATATAATAGAATAACAATACTATTTGACATAAATAATTGAATTGATATTTGTGGAGAACTATACATATAAAGAATTGCAGAAGTACTTTACTTACACATTCTAATAAATAGAATAATATGATTTCTTTTATGATTAAATTTACAAATCTGTTAGGGTTTACATGGAAGTATTGAATTAATCATATACTAGAAAATTCTTTAACATATTTAGTAATTTTCTTAAATTACCAAACCTATTGATATTAAGCATTTAAAAGATTATGTAACAATAATCAAAGAGTTAGAAAAATCTTATAAGGTAACTTAGTTAAAGCATAAAGAATTATAAGAATTAGTGAAATCATTTTCTCACAAAGAAAAGATTTCTTAATCAATTCATTGTTTAAGACTTATGAAATTTTCTTTTACAAATGTGGTTTTGAAGAATTAAGAAGTAAATGTAAGAATCTGATGTAAAACATAGGACTTTTTGATATCATTGAAGTAAGTATTAGATAAAAGGTTTTATTCATAAACTCAAAAATATTCTAAAACTAAGGAACGATTATAGTTATTGATATATCTTATAAATGAGAAATAATAGGATTGCTTAAGTTATTATGATGATACTAAAAAATGGAGATTATCTAGCATAGTAAATAACAATAATAATGAAAATGGTTCTGTATTTATTGATAATAATAATGTGACTCGAAAGAAAGTATAATAAGAAAGTAATGTAAAACTTAATGAATATAAAAAATTTGAATAAAACCTCGAAGAATATTTCTAGACAAAAGCAAATTATGAAAAAATGGATATAAATGTTTCTTAAGAATGGATAAATCGATTAAAATAAAAAACCAAAAAAAAATGAATGTGTTTTAGATAAACATATTGTATATTTTTAATTAAGAAATCTTTTGGATTAACGATGATCTGGATTGTTTATAACTAATAATTCATATTACCTATATAACAAAAGATTTCTTATGATCTATTTTTCTTAGTTATTTCATAAAATTAAATCTTTTATTAAATAATCAAATGGCAAGAGGTACACCAGCAATTGGTAAAAGACATCAAAAGACTCACACTTTCTGTAAGAGATGTGGTAGATAAACATTCCACATTTAAAAAAACAGATGCGCATCATGTGGATACCCAGCTGCAAGATTGAGACTTTGTATTAAATGAATCAATACAATATTAGACAGTGGATGGGGAGAGAAGGTTGCTAGACGTAGATCAACTGGAACAGGAAGAATGAGATATTTGAAATCAATTGCTAGAAGAGCAAAGAATGGTTTTAGAGCAGGGACTTAAGCATAACCAAAAGTTAAAAATACACAGAAAAAGTGATTTAATCAGGCTATTATTACAAAATAGTACATTAAATTTTCACACAATCTTTTCATCACTATATTATCATTACATAATAAATTAGCATTTATTTGTATAAAAATGCGAATCAACTTTTTAAATTCATTTTAATCTTTTTTCTGACTTATTGTTCTTCAATTTATTAGCATTCCTACTCTTACACTCTATCAGTCTAATATTCAGCTATAATATCTAATCTTAAATTATAATAGAAATAAATGTTACAATTCATCTTCATTGCAATCATCATCTAAAATTGAGATAATTTTTATTTTCTTAACAAGACTTGTAATTGATTTCAATACCATACTTATTTGATCTTACCAGTCTTAAGATATAAATATCCTAGGTTTTTGATTAACATCTTTTGAAATTGAAATTTTGAATCCATATCCATGAAAAGGAGTTAAAACATTTGGCTCGATGTTAATTGTATTAACATTTTTATAGATATTTGTGAAATCATCAAATTTATATTAAGTTAAAAATCCACTATTTAATTCAAGAGTAGTTTCTTGCTTTTAACTATTTAGATGTATTTCAATGCTATTTCTTTTCAAAATAAATTAAATAGCTTCTTTTTAATTAAAGTCATTTAAGTATTCCGAGATTTCTGAATCAACCTCTAAAACTTCTAAATGTCTTCTGTTTTCCATGTATTTTCTTATCAATTCCATTTATTAAATTTCATCCAACTATATAATTGGACATTCGATAGTAAAAAATGAATCTTTAAAAAATACAATCATTTTAAATTTTTATATGACTCTCAATTGCGAAATAGTGTAATAAACTTAAATCTCTATTCTTTTAATTTATTTTTTAAAAGGTTTTAAACTAGTATATAGTTATAGAATGTTTAATTCAAAGACTAATTTATCTAAAGAAGCGTTTAGCTTTTAAAGTTTGATTTATAGATCAGGTGACAATGTTTAAGGCATTTTGAAATGAATTGAATTAGTTTGGACTTATTCAAATGAAGTAGAGTTGAAATAACAAAAAAAAGTGGGCTTTTTAGTATCAACATCCTCAAACTATTCATAGTTGCTTAATAATAAAATTCCTATATTTATATAAATTTTAATATACCCTCATTTGAAAAGTAACAATGTAAATTCTAATCAATAGAATGGCATGTTTTAAGCGCCCTTAAAAATTATTCTGTTTATTTAATTACATAATTCATTTATAAATATTATAGTTTATATAAAATAATATTAGAATTCAAATAATATTCATTCCTTAGCATATTTTTTCATCTTCCAATTTTGTTTGGTATAAGATGGTAAAAATATAAATAAATAATAGTCCAACTAAACCATAAAAAATGTATTAGCATTATTGTTTTCTATTTTTATAATTATTAATACATATTGCTTTATGCATCAGCAAATGCATATCCTATTCCTATAAGTAATCCTACTACAAGTCCCCCTAAATGACCAGCAATATCAACTTAAGGAGGAGAATCAATAAAAGATAAGAAAATCATTGGAGCTAATAATATAAATACAACAATTCTTTTTGGTTCAATTCCAGGAAAAGCAGTTATAAAATAAATTAATTCAAGGGCTAATAAAGCAAATATAGATCCACTAGCACCTACTGATGTTTCATAATGAAATCTAACACATGAGAATAAAGATGCCCCTATTCCCCCAACGATATAGAGAATTGAAACTCTTTTCCATCCATGAGTTAATTCTAAAATGAATCCATAATATATTTAAACAACCATATTGCCTATAATATGTGAAAAGGATCCATGAAGAAATATAGGACAGACTAATCTCCAAAATTAATAACGGTATATAATAGAAGGAGTATGCTTAGAACCCCAAGTGTACAAAACACATTTGAAACTATAAATATCAGATTCATCCTCATCAATTTCCAAATATTTCTCAATCAAATAAATTGTGTGAAAAATTGTTAAAAAGAAGATTATGAATTAAACTACTGTTGTTTTAAATGTTAAAGATTTAAATGAAAACCTTTCAAAGAAGGTTTATTCCTAAACTTAATTTGTTTTCAAAACATACTTGGTTTATAGGGTTGTAAATCATTTTAATGTTCATTATTATAAAAGGAATCTCTTTCCATTTATTATAAATATAATATAATGTAAAATATATAATAATTTATTTTTCAAGGTTCCCATTTAATGACTTCAATGGCTTATATAGCATAGGGCCTAATATATTCATATTAAGTATCAGTTGAAAAGTTTTGAAGTGTAGGTAAACATTTATAACATTCTTTTCTACCTTTTGGATGTTCAGCAAGACTTGTTACTAATTAAACACTATTCAATTTGATTTGATGATCATTATGATCTAGCAATTTAATAACAATATCTAGTTTATTATTATCCATCATTTAAAATTTGCATTCATTATGCTATGCCAAACTAGCCAAAGCCATTGTTGCATTAGTAATGACTTCATTATGATCATCTAATAATCTTGAGCATAATTCAAGAACACATCCTTAATTAATAACATCTAATTTTCCATTTGAATCATACGAAATACAAGCCAAATTCTTGCAAGCTAAAGATCTTAACTTAAAATTAGTTCTTTTTAAAAGTTAAGTCAATCTTTTAATTGCCTATGTTTTTAGTATTTCAACTTAAGCATCTCCACAATACAATATTTTCTCTAATAACTGCAAATCTAAAATCAATAAATCCTCAACACTTTCCTCAACTAATTTATTAACTAATGGCACTAAAATTCCTTATGAATATACATGATCAACTCCTACAAATAATAATTATCATTACAATTACCTTATTAAAACTCTGTCATATTTAATAAACTTTAATATCCATTTTTTCTAATGTTAACTATTTAATCATTTAGAAGTTTCATAATTGTAGGAACATAACACTTTTCCATTATTTTATCTCTTCCAAATTTTATTGAACTTATTAACACCTTAATATTTATTATAACGTTTTTACTATGGCACTTGAAGAGAGTTCTCGTATTTACTCATGAGAATTAGACAAGTGGCTCATTAAAACATCCAAAATATCACTTGATAATAAAGCCAATGTTATAAAATCTCCTTTATGGCTATAATCATTTTATTAATAGAAACAAATTACAAATCTTCATTAATTTCCTCTAAATTCTTCAGTTTCAAAACATTTTCACTTGCAAATATTTAGTTTGTCATCTTCACATATCTCCGATCACCATAAGCAAATTGTAAACAATCTTCTGGTTAAGGTTCATAGTCTTCTCGATTTCTATGATATGCTATCATTTATTCATTTCTTAATTTAAACTCCATCTAATTATATTATTTTTTATAAAATATTAATCTAATCCTAAATAGTTGTAATATTATAACATAGTTGTATAAATATATCTCTGATTAAGAAGATCATTTAGTAGTTAGAGATTATAGAAAATAACCTAATATTATTTCAGTATATAAAATATATGATAGCTAATTAATATTTGTGTATATTTGTTAGGTTTGAGGAACTCTTTTTAAATTTTATCATATATTGAATATATTTGTCAATTATTATAAGTAAAGTTATGATGATATGTCTTTGATAAAATTACAATTTAAATTATCGTTAAATGGATATTTAGCAATTTGAAAAAGAACTTGTAACAAAACTTTAATTCAAAGCTTCCTCAAGAATTGGTGTTGAAACAATTTTACTAAAAATATTCAAATTCTTTGATCTAAACAATGAAGGGTATTTGAAGAAGCAAGAATTTTTGAAAGCGATAGCAAAAGCAGGTGTTACCATTCCAGATTAAGAAGTATAAAGATATAATAATTTTAGTTTGGAGAAAGACTTTGGATGACATACTCATTTGATGAATAACTATATTATAAAGATTTTATCAATAGAGTGGTTGGTAAACAATAAATAGAAGAATAAGCTGAATCAAGAATTGTATAAACAGGAAGTCCATTAGAATAACTAAGATTAAAATTACAATTAAAAGGAGCATTAGGCATTTTGAATCTAGCAATAAGTTTACCAAATTAGTTTACTGTTTAATAATTACAAGATTATTTGAAAAGAAATAATATAGAAGTGGATGGATTGTATTAATTATTCAATGGAGAGTATATGAGTGCTTCAAACTTGATTAATTAAATTAAGGGTCAATATTTGAATTAATCAAGATAAGGAGTAGTTTCAGATGTATTTTACACATTTGAATAAAGAGAAATCAGTCCATAATAATTAGTAAATAGATTCAATGCAGAAAGACATCCTGAAATTAAAATACTAAATAGATCTCCTAATGATGTTAGAGAAGAATTTTTATCAGGATTAAGTGTATATCTATAATTAAGAGGAATTAAAATGCTAACAATACAAGATTTTTTTGATTTTTATTCTTACTTTGGATTTTATCTGACAAATGATGAAATCTTTAAAACTATTTTAGTTTCAGTTTGGGATCTCAATTAATTAAAACAATAAGCTTTATAATATGGCACTCCTCCCTAAAGTATTAAATAGTAATAATTAAATTATTCTCCTTAATAATAGAACATAATTGCTAATCCTTAAATTGTTTAATAATTAAATTTTTCTCCATCCTAAGATAAATCTGTAAAATCTTATCAATAAAATTAACAATAATTATAAGAACGTTAATCTGTTCCAAAATCAGTTAAATCTCATTAATCTAATGTATCATAAATGTCATCAACATCTAGATAAGTTGAATTAATAGTCTAAAGAATAAGAAATAGATTGATATCAAGAGGAGCAAGAGGTTTTATTTAATTGTATAGAGTTGGGAAGATCTTGGATTCTGATCATGATGGAATGTTAAATTTAACAGAATTTAGAAAAGCTATTAGAGATCATAAAATTGATGTGACTGATCCTGAAATTGATATAGTGTTCTAATATTTTGATAGAGATTAATCAGGTTTAATAGATTTATGGGGTTTTATGTTTGTATTAAGAGGTGAAATGTCATAATTAAGAACTTAATTAGTAGAATAACTATTTGAAAAATATAGAACTAACGATTATGTTTCATTATAAACTTTAAGAAATAATTTCATATGTAGAAATCATCCAGATCTTAAAAATGGAAAGAAAAGTGATGATGAAATAATCTAAGACTTTTTTGAACCATTATAATTATTACATAATATTAATGGAGGATTTGGACATGAAAATATTACAAAAGAGGAATTATTAGAATTCTTTAGTAATTATAGTGCTTCAATACCTGATGATAAATATTTTGAATAGATAATTGTAAATGTATTTAGATTGTTGTAAGATGGAAGTAAGAATCATCATGCTGGTAATAAATAAGTTTTTGAACCAGATCATAAAAGAGGTTATTTATAAGATCATCATAGATTTGTTTTATAAGGAGGTAGTGTTTCTGCAAATGCACCATTTGGAACATTTACTTAATAAGAATAATTAGCTTAATCAAGACCTTCTGTAGGTTATAATTAACCAGCTTCATTTAATATATTTAAACCATTAGAAGATGTCAAAGTTAATTAAAATGGATCATAAATATAATAAATACCACTTTCTTAATCATAAATTTCATAATAATCTCAATAATAATTATAATATGAAAGAGAACAAAGTGTTAAATCAAACAAATAAAAGATGGATAATATTAAAATTTTGAGAAATAAAATCTCTTAAAGAGGCTTAAGAGGTTTAATAAATATTTAGTATAGATTTTAGTTATATGATAAATCTCATTTGAATGCTCTATCATATTAAGAATGGAAGAATTGCTTTAAGTAATGGAGATTGGATATAAGTGATTAAATTTTAGATGATATTTTCCAATAATTTCAAACAAATGGAATGATGAATTATAGTGGATTCATTAAATAGATTTAAGGTACAATGAGTTTAAGGAAGTTTAATGCTGTTCAATAAGCATTTGAATCTCTTCCTAAGACTACAATTGATATAGTTAAATGTAATTAAAATTTAATTAATAATAGAATAATTCAATGCAAAAGATCATCCTGATGTTAGAGCCAATAGAAAAAGAGAGGATGATGTTTTATGTGAATTTATTGATACTTTTGAATAACATCATATCGTTTTTGTAATAATATTATTAATATTTATAGACAGGTGGAGATTATGTGAAAAATCCAAATGTAACTTTTGAGGAATTTATTGGATATTACAATAATTTAAATTTGTTAATTGAAGATGACATTCAATTTGAATAGCATATTTAATCAGTATGGAATTTAAGAAGAAGATTGTGATTATAATATATTAATATATATCATAATATAATCATAAATAATTAAATAAATTTATTTAACATATTTTTGATAAATATTATTTATTTGATCAACTTAATAGCCATAATTTAATTGTTTGATCTACTGAACATGTGGCGAATATAAATTTATTTATTTCACATTTTAAAATGAATTTATCATGAGCATTTTCAATCTTCTTTTTTTATTTCTATTCTTTCAAATTCCAAACCTATTATAAATATATTATAAATACTCTAATAGTCTTATCATCAGATACTGACAGCATATGAATACCATCTGGATGAAAAGATACTCCATTTACCCAATTATCATGTCCAGATAATGTAAATAGATTTGTTCCTAAAATAGTATTCCAAATTTTGATTTCTTTGTCTCTTGATACAGAAACTAATAAATTAATAGTTTAAATATTTTGCTGTTATTGTTAAGTCAGTATTTGTTTAGCCCCATGTTCTGGGACATATTTAACTTATTCAACTACATGTTCATGTCCACTTAATTAATGCAAAACTTATCCACTATCTATCACCCATATATAAATCATTTAATCTTAAGAACAAGAAGCCATTTGCTTTTCATCATTACTAAATACAGCACATCTGACCCATTCTTAATGTTCAGAGAATGTTTTCTTACAAAATCCTGTCTAAACCTCCCATAATTTTATATTTTTATCTCTACTGGCACTCAATATAAAATCTCCATGGTCAGAAAATTATACTGTTGATACACTATGTTCATGACCAATAAGTGTTTTTATACAAGTATGATTTTTTAATTCCCATATTTTTATTGATAAATCCTTATTATCAAATTTAATTATACACTACTAGCACTACAAATATATTTTCCAGTAGGATCAAATGCCAAACAATTTACATTACTTGTATGTCCTTTTAAAGTTTTTTCGAAATGACCACTTTCGTAATCCCATAATTTAATACTGCCATCATCGCTTGCTGAGCCCAAAATTTAGTATTAGGGATGAAAAGCGACACAATTCACTCCTGCTCTATGTCCTTCTAATTTAAATTTCTCAATGGGTGTTAATCTTTATTCATCATCAGCTATATCTTAACTTTATTTGTTGTACATTTATTAAATTGTATTTTGCCAGCTTAAGCTTATGCTAATTATTCATTCAATTGTTCTACTTGCTATTCCAAAGTTATTACTCTTTTTGACAACCTTACAATAGAATTCCATTTTTTTTCCAATAAATCAGCTTCAATTTATCCATCCTTAACAACAGCTTCAATTTTAAACACTTATGCACTTTATTGATAGCTAATCAATAAATATTGATGTATTGCTTAATTTAATTCATCCCTTTGTCTAGCAGTCAACACCATAATAATAATTAAATTAATAATAATTTCAAATGGGATTCATTTCCATTTGATTTCTATAAAGCTATCTCTAACCTCCAACCAATTCTGATTAATTATTGAAAAACATTATAAAAATATATATCCAAATACATTATAATCCATCTTCATTTATATATAATAAATAACTTACAAAAAATATGACCCCAAGACCTCCTTTGATATTAGATTATATTTTCATTTAGTTTAATAATAGAATTTGGGGTAATAATATATTGGATGGTATACATAATATATGATATTGTAACTCATTCTTTCTTACTTGCTTCTTCAAAGTTTTATCCTTACACTAATACAGGAATATCATCTTCATCTTTTTGATCAGCCTCAACAATTTTTTCAACTTTTTCCTTAATATTATTTTTAAATTATGTACCTTTTACTAATTTTCTTTCATTAATTCTTAAAGAAGACCCATTTAGTTTGGACCAATATGATTTAAAATCTCTGGCATCAACTCTGCAAACTTTTTAGTTTCTGGATTTCCAAAAATGGCAAATGTATTGCTTCCAATAGCTGCTTGGACTTCTGGTTTTGAAAAGTGTATAATTGTATTATCATCTTTGAAAAAGTTGACTTCATCGATATTCCCTAATTGTTGTACTCCAAATTTCTTAATAACTTATTTAAGCTTCTTATCATCATTTATCTATAATCATTATTTCCATTACGTACTTATGTTTAATGAACATTTTTATGCTTTCTTCTGGCCAAAGTGCTGCCCATTTTTGTTTATCCAAATTTTTCAGCTAATTTCTTTCTGTTCTCTTCAAGTTCAGCCTTGATTTATTCTTTATTGTTCGACATTGATTGTTTTTATTTAAATTTAAAGATTTAATTTTTTAATGACTCTCTATATATACCCTTATTTATAATAACTATTTTATTTATACAATATTTATGCAGTGATTATTAATCATTATGTAATCTACTCATTGTACTAACACATTATCATGTGAGTAATATTTATTAAACTTATATAATATAACTATACAATAACATTTTATTTTTTAATTATCATAAAATGGCAACAGGTAATCTTAAAAATTAAACATAGGTGGATAAATTCTTAGGTATAATGGTGGTACCTGCTACGCTATGTGTTAAGATGTATTTTCATGGTATAACCCATCTATCTAAATCTGTTGGAAGGGATGTGATTATGCTACTGGAAGAGTAAATGATCCTGTTTTGAGAAAAGAAGCTGAAGACATGTGTAAAAGATATACTGCGGAAGCCATGTGGACAAAAAAAGGAGAATTAGGTATCATAATTATTTGCAATTCAATTTAATAGATAATATGGAAGATTTAAGAATTCATGCTGATATGTTTCCAGAAAATCCAAGAAATATATATAGAGCTTGTTTGGCTGGGGTTCGTAGATAAAAATATTGAATCATTATAACAATATAAAAAAATAATAAATAGTATCATAAGATAAATAATTATTAATGTTTTCTTTACAATCCTTTAATTCCAAAGAAAGTTTGGATGAATTTCTACCAATGTTTCACAATAAAGATAACAAAAAAGCCATCATATATCAAAAAGAATAGAATATCATCAAATATTTAAAACAAATAGGTCTAATTATGAAAACTGATCCACTTAAAAAATAACAAGAACACTACTAGTAATATTTTCATAATGCTCTTTATTAGAAAAACAAAAATAATTGAAGTCTTCGTATCCCAAACTGAAAATGATGGTTCAGATGAAGAAGAAAGATCATTATCAACCAATGAAGTAAGTCCTTCAGAAGTGAATGCAAATGAATTTTGTATTTTTAACAATCCCTTTCTCTTAAAAGGAAGAAAGCTAGATTTAGAAAGAAAGCATTCTTTTGAGAACTTGGATCTTTAATGAAACCTTGATGACTTCTGTATAATTAAATGCTTATACAATTTAGATATAAATATCGTTTTATTATTATTTGATTTCAAAATTATTTACTTGTAACAATAATAAAAAGGTTCATCTAATTAAATTCAAATATCTATCATATTCCTTCAGTTATCTATTAACTCTATATAAATGTTTATAAACTAATTTATTGAAGAGCCTCTATATATATCTTTCTCTTAAATCAATAGAATATCTAAAAAAATACTTACAGAAATTCAAGAATTTAAGCTTATATTTCTTGATAAAAAGTATGGCAAAACTTTGGTATTTACTAATTCTTTAAAATTGTAAATGAAAATGAACTTAAGATGAAATCAGAAAAATAGGTGAATTTATCGTATTAAAAAGTAAATCAAAATTAGTTAACAGTAATCACTATCAAGTTGTGATTATTATTAGTTTTCATAGGATGTTCACAATAATTTTAGTTAAACACTTAGTATTTACGGAATACATACTTTACGAATAGTAGACCATACGTTTCTATATACTAAAATTTTTAAAGTTCATATTTATAAATAAATATAATTTAATTTATAAATAACTTCAGAATAAGGATCTTATTTATTATTTAACAAAAAAAGCCATTTTAGATTAAAATCTTAGAGAGTTAATTTGATTCAGGATTTAATTTTGGTTTTGAATTTACACTCTTTAAAAATTTGGTATTAAATATTTGAATGCTATCAGAAGTGAAACTATTTTTAATATAATATCAGTATCGATATCCTTTACGCCGATTTCCTTTGTTAACTTCATTTGATTATTTATAAAAATTCTAGATATTTTATAAATAATCATAATTGCATTCATAATATTGAAAATAGAATGTTCTATTTATAAAGATTAATTTTTTTGGTCATAATTTTGTTTAAATTTATTCTTCTAATTATTGTAGTAAACAATGCGTGTATCAAAAGATCCAAAAAGAACCTTACTAGAAATTAATATAGATTCCCTCTTAAATATTTTTTTGTATATTATACATCTCAATTTTATTATAAGATATAATAATAGATCATTTTTATTTATTTACTAAAATGAATCACATTTTAGTAAATAAAGGAAGGATATTTTAAGATTTTTAATTTAAATAAAGTGCTCATTTTTTGTTGTTTAACAAACTGATTTTTGTTATTGTTTTAATTCATGAAAACTATAAACTTATTTAGAAATATCAATAAAATTTGATTAAGTTGTAGGAATAACAACTAAAATGAGATTATTATTATTTAAAGATAAGCATCTTTATTTATTTTTAATATTGTTGTTATTATTTTTATTTTATAATTTAGTTATACATTTCTCTTTATAAACATATTGATATATCTGCCATACATGGTTATCTAAAACTCATAAATTAATGAAAATTGCTCTTTTTGATTATATTTTCTTTATCGACTAATGAAATTAAATGTTTTAACAATTGCTAGAACATTAAAATTATTATACTTCGTGTATTTTCCTGAACATAATTCCTTACTTAGAGTGAAGAATTTGGCTAAATTTTATTTTGTTGATCATATATATACTTTTAATTTGCTTATTGGAGATTTCAGTTAATAAAAAAATTAAGTTGTATTGACATAGATAAGCTGAATATCATTGCAGATAATATTAATGATATATACAATTTAAAATTAGACATTGTGAAGTGAAACTTCAAATGAAAAAGACAATATTAAAATATATTTTTATTGTATTCAAGCAACGATACTGCAACCGGTAGCTTTAATTCTTGAATCTTATCCAGCTGGTATATAGAATGAAACCTTAACAGTTCTTGTTTAATCACCCTTTTAAACCTTACCATAAATGCTGTAATTGAATCCAGAAACGACTTATGTATCGACTTATGTTGTTTATTTCCATACGAAACCATTTAATCCACATAGTTCTATATATTAAATATAGAGTTCAATACCTTAAAATTCTTCTTTGGCCATTGCTGCAGCTCTTCTGTATTTCATTACATCACTTTCTTATTTGTTTGAACTTGTATTTTTCTTACCAACTGCTGGGTCTTATTGGTCTAATCTAGCTGAAATAGTAATCAAGAATAAGGTGAAAATAATCAACTTAAACATGTGTATGTTAATAATATTAATGTCTTAATAACCTTTAATTGAAATTCCAACATTGACTTAAAATGATAATTAAATATAAGTGCATAAAGATAAACCAAGCAAACTTTCAAAATAATCAAGCTTAGATCATTTATCTGTTCATAGTATTAAAAGTGGATTAACATATATAAGAGATTCATGGAAAAGTGGAATGGCTTAAGCAATATTGAATATGCCATTTCATTTAACTATAGGAAGTAGCTCAGGTTGTAATGCTTCTGTTGGCATTACTACAGCATTCATAGCTGCATTCACAAATGGATTTTTTAGTGGAAGTATATAATTAAGATTTATAAGGTAATCACTCTATTTATATGCCATCTTGGGTAGTTATTGGATTAAACTATTAATTAGTGAAGACTTATGGTGTTGAAGTTATGCCTTGGATCACAATAATAGTAGGAATCTAAATTTATATAGCAGGACTATTAAAGTGGCATCATTTATCAGATTTTATTCCAGTATATGTTATTGAAGGATTCTTGTTAGGTATTGCAAGTTTATTTTTTTTTTCATATAGTGATTATATGTTTGGTTTAACAGATAATCATTCAAATAGAGGAGTTGAATTGTATTCATCTTATTATGACATGTTTAAATCATTTTCAGAAAGAGGTGATATAAATTATTTTATTGGTGCATGGTGTGTTTTTCTCTTTTTGTAGATGGGTAGGATATTTTTTAGATAATTTCCATGGATATTTATAACAACTTTGACTGGATTAACATTAGGAATAGTATATCCAACTGAAAAATGTTTAAGATCAGCATATGGAGAAGTCACAATATATTTTAATTTTATAGAATATGATGGCCCAAAATTTCATCCAGATTTTTAAGTTGTTAGTCATATAATTATATAAGCTATTCCTATTACACTTTTTATTTTGATATAAAATTAATTCTGTGCAAGGGCAGGTTAATCTTTAAGTGGAGTTAAATGTGATTATGATTAGGAAATATAATGTGTATCCACAGCTAATATTTTAAGTGGTATTTTTGGTGGGTTACCTTGTTGTGCATCTTCAAGGATGTATATTTTAGATATTAAATTACGTAAAACAAATCAATGGTCATCCATTCTTAATGCATTTTCAATACTTTTCTTTTATGGAATTTTTAGTAAAGTCTTTATGGATATACCTTTTTACATTATAAGTGGTTAATTATTGTATATGATCATTAATATACCTCCTTGGCATTATTATGTTAATTTATATAGAACTTAGAGAAAATTAATTTTATTCTATATTTTTTGTATTGCATGGCTATGTGTTAATTATGGAGCTATTTAAAGTACTCTTATTGGAAGTATGCATGCTCTGATCATATTCGCTCAAAAAATGAGTTTACCATCTGCTGAAGTAATGACAAATCAAAAAGAAGGAGTTTATTAGATAAATTTAAGAGATACTAATCTTCATGAATTTGAAGAGGAATGCAATGACATACCACCAAATTTAGAAGGAACTTATACTGTCTATAGATTTAATGGAGCATTGAATTATATAAATATTAAAGGACATATTGATTAGATTAAAGAATTAGCTAAGACAGATATTTTTATTCTTAGTTTCAGATATGTTTGTGTTATTGATTTTTAAGCAATTGATAGTTTGGCAATAATTATAGATAATATGAGAAGTATTATATTGTTTAAATATAGAAAATAGTACTTAAGTTTATGTTACTGGATTACATCCTGGAATGTTGGAATAATTGAGTGAGAATAACATTTTTAAGGAATATTTTATAAATGAAAACCACATGTTTCATCAAATAGATAAATTACCTCAATAGTGAATTGTTAATATAATTATAAAAAATTTAAATAATTTAGATTAACATTGATTTATTATCTTAAAATTAATATATGTTCTCACATTCTTTAATGACTTTATTATATGCTTCTTACAGTGACATAATCTGAATTTTCGGTTTTTCTATTTCTTTATCTTGTAGTCGATTTTCTTCTTAATCTGCTTGCTAAAGTATCATCCATTTTATCTTAGGTGATTACATCTTCTCTGAAAAGCTCAAAACTTTGACAAAACTTCTCAGGAATTATTATTTTAACAAGAACCAAAAAAATTATACTACCTACTCCAAATGCAATACAAAGTAAATGTTGTTAAACTGTTAAATGAGAAACTTTAACAAATTTACCACCAAATTATATTAAAATACATTAGATTATTAAAGTAAATGTTTAAACACCCCAAAATAAAGGATTATTACATGCATTAGTAAATGGGTTTATAGTTTTGTAATCTAATTATCGGCATGATATTGAATTAAAGACTTACATAACTACAAAAGATTAGAAAAATATACTCATTTAGACTACATTCTTATGGAACTTAAATAGATAATATCATATAATACTTTTTATCCAATTAACTCTTCAGGCATAGATAAATCCATATATTTTGGTAAAACAAATAAAATGCCACACAGAACAGCTATCTGATATATAGATCCTCCTACTATAGTTCTATTCATTGTTGGAGACACAATTTTATCTTCTCTTTTGTATGGTTATCTTTCAAGAACTGTAATATTGGGGGGTTCAGTTGCTAAGGCTAAAGAAGCAAAAGTATCCATAATTAAATTAACCCAAAGCATTTCAATAGTATTTAATGGAGATTCTTTTAGAACCACTGCTCCCAAAAAGGACATGAATAATGCTACTAAATTAACAGTTAATTGAAATTGAATGAATTTTCTTATACAGTCATATATATTTCTACCCCATTTCATAGCTAAAATATATATTATAAGTACCTGTTATTATGGAACTGAAATTATCATCTAATAAAATAATATCTGCAGCATCTTTAGCAACATCAGAACCAGTGATACCCATTGCAAATCCTACATCTGCTTTTTTTAAAGCTGGAGCATCATTTGTACCATCACCTGTAACTGCAATTACATTACCTTCTGCAATTAATCCAGTAACCAAAATATATTTATCTTCAGGTGATGCTCTTGCCATTACTTTCATATCTCTAGCAATAATTTTGAAATTTTATTTATTTCCTACTTCTTTGATTTCATTTCCATCTTTATCTTTAATAGTCTTTAATCCCCCTACAAATTCTCTAAAAGTCTTTCCCTCCACAACTTCATATTACCCTAATTGTTTGCCACTTTAAAGAATTCCACATTCTTTTGCAATAGCTGTTGCTGTCATTATGTTATCACCTGTAACCATTCTAACAGTAACTCCAGATGCATGACATTACTTAATTGAATTAGGCACATCTGGTCTTATTGGATCTTTAATTCCAGCAATAGCAACAAGTACTAAATCTTTATCTAAATCATCTTCTTATATGGATTAAGTGAATTTAGTAAGTTAAGGAATTTATCCTAAAGCACTTGAATTTTAAGAATGAGGATCAAGATCTCGATAAGCAATAGCTATTGTTCTTAAAGATTCTGAAGCAAAGGCTTAGATTATATCATTATAAATTTAATCTTTTGCTTTCTAATCTAAGATTTATTCAACACCATTAGGACCCACCATTTTGATACATTGATTTAGAACAATTTCAGAAGCCCCCTTTGTATAAACTCTAATAAATTGAGTTTTTGGATTATATACTGCAGTACTCATCTTCTTTCTCTTACTATTGAATGGGATTTGTCTAAGGATTTTATCACTAGGTCTGTATTATGAAAAGTTATAATTAAAATTATCAGCACACTCTAACAAAGCACATTCAGTCTTATTACCAATTTAGATCCATTTATTTGTTACTTTATCTTTTTATGGGAATGCATTTGAATTATAACATATACTTTCACACATTAATTCAATAGTATTCTTATTTAACTTAGATTTGATTGTATGGACATCATTCTTTATAGTATTCTTTTCAACATACAAAGCAGTTACTTGCATGATATTTTATGTTAATGTGCCTGTCTTATCACTACATATATTATTAGCTCCACCCATAATTTCACATGATGATAGATTCTTAACCAAATTTTATTCATCTTTCATTTTTCCAACTGAATATGCTAATGCTATAGTAACAGCTAAAGGTAACCCTTCAGGTACAGCCACAACTATAATTGTTACAGAAATCATGAATGATTCAACTAATACTTATAAGGTTCTTAGACTTTTAAATTGTATTTCACCTAGATAAATATCATAACCAAGATGTCCCATTAAAGCAATGAATGTAAAAATTGATACAATAACTCCCAATTTACCTATATCTGAAGCCACTCCTTCTAATTTTTATTATAATGGAGTTGGTGGGTTATCTTGAATCAATAACTTCTTCAATTAACCAGAGATTGTATTTTAACCAACTGCAAGAACTAACATCTATCCTGTTCCATCTAAACATTTAGTTCCTGATATTAAAAATGGACTAGTATGACCTCTTGATGCATCTTGATTCAATAATTATTGTTTTTGTTGCACCATTTCTTAATATGGTAATTTCTTTATTTCATCACTTTCTCCTGTCATTGCTGACTCATCCATTTTAACTGCACTTCCTTATATCATCAAACCTATAATATTAAATATATTATATTACCATCTACAACAAATAGATCTCCTAAATTAAATAAAAGAATGTCTCCAACAACAATCTCTTTGGTTGCTATTTCTGTTACTTTATTTCCTCTAATTACTTAGCATTTGCCATCATCTAATCTTCTTCTCAATTATCTGAATTGTTTCTCTTTCAAATAATTATTTCCAGCAGTTATTGATATAATCAAAAATATTGCAAAAAATATAGTTGCTCTATTATATTTAAAATAATTTACATACCCTTCTGTCCATCCTGTTGCCAAACCTTCATTTATTATTCCAATTACTGTTGATACCAATGCTGCCAATAATAAAATTCTTAACATTGTGTCTTCTAAACATTCCATTATCAATTCACACAGAGTTATAGGCTCTTTCTCTACTGGAGTATTGTCACCAAAACATTCTCTATTCTTTTACACATCAGCTTCTGTACTTATTCCTTACTTAAAAACTCATATCATATTCATACTTTTATGTCTGAGTTTATCTTACGAGCCAAACCTTAGTCATCCCCAAAAGATTTCACTTTACTCATACTTTGTCCATCATTAATTTTGTTTAAGATAAATAAATCAGTAAGATCTTCGACACTCAAAAGAGAAAGTCTTTGACTCTCAATATCCTACTGCTGTTAATATTTCATGAATAAAATTAATTATGTTAGTAATTTAATTTTAATTTAATTCTTTTTTTCAAATCTATACATAATAATTAATTTAGAAAATATCTTATCATACTTCTTAATTCATTATAATACTTATGATATTACTAGATCATTTAAATTAAATTTAACTAAAAAATTTATTAATTTGATAATCACTTATTCAAAAAAGATATAGTTTAAAAAATTCATCAAAATACTTTATAATTATCATGTATCTTAAAAATTAAAAAATCAAAAATTAAGATATTTAATTCAAAGATAATTAATCAGATTATTATTGATAGAAACTAAAATAATGAAAAATAATTTGCATGAAAATATAATTCTGTCAAATATACATTATCAAATCACTCTAATAAGATAAATAAGAGTGCAACTGCTCCAAGAATGTATGAATTACTCTCACTAAACTTATCATTCAATTCATCACATTAAACACATTTATTGTCAGCCCATTTGTAATTACCAGATGTTTTTTAATAGCATTCATTTTAGGTCAGAGTTGAGGCATCAGCAACAGCACAAGCACCATTAGTCCATGAACATAGAGTAAATTTATAATCAGCTGAACGAATTCTATCACATGCAAATGAATTGGTAATATCTGAGCATTTTCTTTCACGGCAAGTATTTGATTCGTATATGCATGTACCAGAGTTATTACAAATATTTTGGAAATTGTTAAGATCTGAACAGCTATAGTCTGTGTTCAAAGATTTGCATGTGTTATCATTGCCCCAAGCACAACGTGAAGTTTTTGAATCCTATCCATCACATGTTAATGCTGTAGTAAATGATGAACAAGTAACATATTGAACAGCAGCACAAGATCCAGATGTTATTGTACAACCTTATCCATATGGACAATCTTCTACATTATAATCATCACACTTTGAAAAGCTAGAACATTTACTTTCTTTGTTCCAATAACATTCATCAATTTTTCTACAAATATTGGATGTTGAACCATCAGAGCATTCAAGATCTTCTACATCTTCACAAGATCCATTTATCCATTAGCAAGAATCAAATACATCACAAGAGCCTGATGCAGTAATATCTCCGCAGTCTAAATCAAAATCTTAGCATTCTGAATCTGATGAATTCCATAGACAATATCCTAAGGCTGATGCACAATCAGTTTAATCAAGTTCTGAGCAGTCACAATATAGTGAAGAATCATATGTCACAGCTGTTGTTAAGCCAATAAGACAAAGTGAGACTATTAGTTTGTTAATCATATTTATTATTAATTAAGATTTATTTAAACCCCGTTATAAACAGCGACAGGTAAATCAAAATGTCAATTAAAATTAATGTTATTTGAAATAATTCAAATTTTTTCATAATACACAAATTAAAACTTATTTTTCATTAATTTTTTTAAAAATTTTTTCATCAAACTTGATAATACTAGTTGAGTGACATATATGAATTACATTTACCAGAATATTTTTTTTACAATTATATTTGATGTATTTTTTATTTTTATCAAACTGTTTTCAAAATTTATTTAAAGAGTCTTATCATAAAAAATGGCAATTGCTTTTAATAGAAAAATAATTAGGAATCAAAGGATTTTGCACTTTTTTTTATTGAACTATTTTGTTTCTGTTTTAGCTATAGTTTTATGTTTCTTTTTTTCAATATAATCAAAACTCATACAAACACTTATAAATTTGTAAATTATTTGAGTAAGAAAAAAATTATTTATAAGATCATTAAGATAGATTAAACTACTTAGCATTTGTATTTTTAGAGTTGAATTTTTTAAATTTATTGATCCAATTCTTTTTCAAAATAAAACTGCAACTTCTGATAATTTTATTTATTTTAATAAAAATTAAGAGAATTATGTTGATATCATAAAAAAATAGCGATTGCATGAATAAGATTATCAATATGTGAATCAGCATTACACTGAAAATTATGAACCATTTAATATTCAATAATAAATTTTATTTAATTATAATTAATATTTGTCAAGAAAAATAGATTTAATCAGAAATTTTCATTCAATTTATGTTTTCAGAATACTCTTTAATTACTTGAAGAAATTCTTTAGTTGCTGCTGTCATTTATCTTTTCAGAAACTATTATTCAAATAAATCATTATTTAATCTTTGCATTCTTACATATTTAAATTTTATGGCTAATATTTTTATTATGTTTAACATCATTAAATTGTCAATTCAAGATTGACTTGCTCTTATCTAAAAGATAGTTTAATATTAAACACGTTGCAAAATATTTTTGTTTAAAGTATTCATATTTAATTGTTAAATTTTATTTATTATATTTATATATTAATAATTCAAAATTCAAAATTTTTAAAGAATAAGTAATTTCTGAAGTATTTTAATGAATATTCTGAATTATATACTTACTTTAAATTTCTATTAGGCATAATTGATATTATGATATATACATAAGAAAATACGAATATGGGCAATAAAATATCATATCTTATTTATGCCTATCATTTATGTTTAATACTTAATCACTTTGTATTTGATATTTTTAATTTATATCATCTTTTTTGTTTTATTCATTTTTTCTCTTGATTTATTAACACAACTATCATTTACATTCTTTAGTTTACCAACTTTCCAATAATATATTATTGCTTGAATATCTTTCGTTATTTTTTATATTTTTTAATTCTTTATCTTACTTTTTTAATTTTAAATCCCTTTAAATTCTGGTTTTAGAATAATTATTTTTTTGGTTTCTTTTTAATAAGGTTTATTTATTTATGACAAAATATTAAATATTGCAAAAATAAATAAATAACAATCAATTTTGAGAATTCTCCAATTATTAAAAATTATTATCATTGGAGTGAGTAAGAATACAAGAAGAAAGTGCAATAATCTATAAAACTATAGAACTATTAAATTAACTTTAAGCTATGATTAAAGGTGGATTTTGAATAAAATAAGGTTAAAATTGATTAATTTAAAGTAACTAAAGTTATTAATTAAATGAATAAAAAGTGAGGAGTGAATTCTATTATATTTAATAAAGAAAATGAGACAATTTTTGGAATTAGGATAGTTTTTATAAAATAAATAATAGTAACTATATCGTTTTTTTAATATTAATGTTTATAATTGCAGCAATTTTATGTGTTAGAGTTTTTGGATAGTTGGGCTATGATGGTTATACAGAATGGCAATCTGGAATTGATAGAACTATCAATAGACAAAACAAATTTGTTGAACCTGTATATCCATTGCAAATGTTCACAAGAGTGTAATTTCCAAGATAATTCAGCAGGTTAGAATAATTCTTAATTGAATAGACGCCCATAAGTTTTATTGATGCATGAAGAAATAGAATGGAATAAAAATAGGAATATCAATTATTAAACTTTTGTTTCAGATGTGACTGTAAAAGGCTTTTATATAAACTATTTAATTAATGGTCCAGCAATCATTCCAGTTTTAAGAGTAAGATGGGTTGCATTTGTAGATTCAGAAGCAGAAGTGCAATATGTTAATTATCAATTTGAAGATTTAATTAGATTGAGACAAGGTTTTGGAACTAGATTTTAAGATTTCATGGTTCAATATTATTTAAAATATCCAACACCAAGAGTTGTAGCATTTATTGTAGGAGCTGAAATTGAAGTTTATGATTCATTAACAACAACTATATAAATTTAGTTAGGTAAACCTACAGGTAGTGCTACTCCTGTTAGATTTTTGACAAGAGATAGATGTCATATTAATACTCTTAGAATAGCTTACTTTATTTCTTCAGATTATTCTACTTTAATGGGAACTTTGGGTAGTTCAGATAATCATTTTAATTAATTTTTGGATAATGAAAATAGGATGAAATTAAGAGTACAAAGATTTGAAAGAGAAGTTCCTTCTACTTTTATTTTTGAATCTCATTAGAATGTATTAGCTTAAGGAATAACAGGATTTGATGTTCATAGTAGAGCTGGTAATTTCTACATAAAAGTTGGAGGTGAATATGTTGATAAGAAATCATCTACTTATCATTGTGCATATGGAACACGTAAATATATATATTAAATTTTAGGTGGGGATACTGTATTATAATATATGGAAGTCAGTTATATATTACATCCTCCAGCATTACCTCCTTATCAAATGTTTGTTGAAGAAAATGTCACAGAGAATTAAGAAGAGGCTAAAATAGAAGAATAATAACTGCTTAATGAGTCATTAATACCATGACAAATATATATTATATATAAATTAAAATAATGTAAATAGAGCAACCACAGATTAAAAAGTAATATGAAAAGGCTCATGTTTCTTTACATCACAAATAAATTCCATATTTACCATCCACTATCACAGCTCTTTCAAATAATCATAATTAGCAATTATTGTTAGTTGGTAAAGAAAATGGAGTGATTGATATATATTGTTATCCAACAAATACTTAAATTTCAATCTGTTGTTCAATTAATAGTTAAATTAGATCACTCTTTTGGATTGATGAAGAATGTATATATGTAAATATTATATATAGATTTTATATGTGCATATTTAAGTGGTCAAATTTCATTATTTAATATTCACGATTATAAGCCTTTAAATAATTTTTAATTGCCAGATAATATTAATATCTATTAATCAATACCTACATATGATTCTTAATTTTTATGTGCATGTAGTGATGGTTCCATCAGAAAATTTGATTATTAAAACAATAAAATATATCAAATATAATAATCACAATAATTAGATTGTCAATGTTTATCAATTGCTATTAATAAAGAATATGTTTATGCATCATTCTCTAATGGATTTATTAGATAATTAACTTAAAAGACATTATTACAATAATAAACATGGTAACTCAATATAAGTAGTTCCAAAATTGCTAAAGCCAATGTAATTATTCCATGGAAATTATGCATTTGTAATAATAATCTATTTATTGGATCATCAAATGGTAGTGTAATAATTTATGAAACTTAATTTAATACAGAAATTCAATAAATACAAACACATATGTCAGATATTCTTACTTTATATTCAAATCTAAATAATGTTTATGTAAGTGGAGTAGATAGTAAAATTGTTTGTTTATCATATAATGGATCATAATATCAAATTACATAATAATTAAGAGGATAATCTCATGATGTTTATGCTTTTGAAATCATTAAGAATAATATCCTAATATCTGGAGGTTTGAATACTGATATTTGTTATTATAAATTAGATGTTAATGGTTAACTCCTTTAATAAAATTAATTTACACATATTTTTACTATTCCTAGAAGTGAACAATTTATTTGTAATCATTAATATATTGCAATTAATAAATATGATTCTATTGATATATTATCTTATGAAATTGAATCTGATCCTATTTATTGGTGTGAATTTAAACTATAGAAACCAGCTCATTTTATTAAATTAACTAAAAAGTTATTATGTTATTGTTAGAGTGATTAAACTATAATTATGAATGAAATAGATAAATAATTTAAAAAATATAAAGTATATCCTCATTTCAAATCTATGGAATTTGATCATACTTAAAATACATTTTATAGTATTGATAAAGATGATAAATTATTTAAACATAAATTTAATGGATAATCTTAATTTATAGCTTAATTAATTCATGGATAACCAAAATTAATGAAATTTATTAATAAGAAAATATTAATTATTACTTATCCTCATTTGTAAAAATTCATTTCTGTAAATGTTATTAATAATACAGTTGAATAAATAGATTGCAGATCTAATCAAAATTATGTTACAAATATCTTAATAATCAATGGTAAATGTATGAAAATACTTGTCACTTATGCATCTCATATTTTTGCAATTTACAATTATGATTTTAAAGAATAATTATGGCAAATGAATTCTTATTCTAAAGAACACATGATGCATTCTCCACTTAATGTTTCTCTCTTAAAAGATCCAATAAGAGGAGCTATAACTGATAATATGGATAGTAAAAGAATGTTATTATTTACTAAGTAATATATACTTATTTAATATATTATAGTAATCATTTTATTAGACTTCATCAAAGAGGGATACCACCAAAAGAAGTAAAGGAGTAAGAATTCAATAAAATGTTATAACCAGAAAAGAAGGATTCTGGTTAAAAATTGGATATAGTAGACAATTATGCTTTAATTTATCATAATTATGTGATCTTGAATTGTTTGAATATTAGCAACTAAAATTACATCTTATTAGAATGGGATAAATAAGCCACATTCTCTTAAATTCAAGGTGCCTTTGATGGAAAAAAATATAAACATTGATGTATATATTATTATATGTATATTAATTATTTTTAAAAATTAAGAGTGAAATGCATCAATCCAACATGATATATAAAAGTTTTAGAGAATAATATACTATTTAAGAGAGACAAGCAAAATTAAAGGAAAAATTAAGTCAGTATCCAGATATGATTCCTGTTATTTTTGAGAAGCATCCAAAATCTAAAATTTAACATTTGAACAAATAATTGTATTTACTATTTTAAAATATTGATATTTAGTTACTAAAGGTTTTAGGATGATTTAATTTCGTGATACATTAAAAAACACTTTATAGATTTCACCTAAGTAATCTTTATACTTTCATATTGGAAATTAATTGTTACCTGAAGGTATAATTAATAAAAAGATATTTTTAGATCTCAAATTAGCAGATATTTATGAAAAAAAGAAGGATTCAGAAGATGGTTTCTTATATATAACTTACTCTGATTTAGAAGTCTTTGGATTAAATTCTAATTGAAAATGATAATTATATATAATTTTTTTAAAATAATAATGTTTATAAAGTTATTAATAGTTCATTTATTACTTTTGCTTATTTTATTATCAGCTTCTTTAAAATTATTACTTTATATAATATTGTCCTTTAAGAAATTATATTACTCAATTGACTTTAAATTGACTATTCAAATAGAAAATTCAATGTTACAATTTTATATTGTTTACATTTCTTAAATAAATTAGATTTAAATCACCTAAAATATAATTGAAAGAATATTTTTATTATTAAATCTTGCTAAATAAGTTTTTATTTGATTCATGATCAGAAAACTAATTATATGGTTTAAAAACCTCAGAATGAGTAACTAGATAATAATACTTAACTTTATTATTATCTTATTTGCTGTCTTTGCAACAATAGCAACAGCATATATATAATAAGCAATATTTTTTACGTACATTTAGGAATTTGAATAAACATTATCATTAAAATAGGAAAGAAACATTATAAATAACATCTCTAGAAAACTACGTATTTACATTCAGTAGAAAAATTACTAAAGTAAAGATTAACCCAATAATTTATAGCAATTTTAAATTTATGGCATTCTCAATAGATGGTTTATTAATTTATTCAATTCTAATCAGATTACTAGATCAATATTAATTAATTTTAAGATTGTATTGAAGAGGAGGAAATTAGAGATGATAATATTATTTATAATTCAGACATTTTTTGTTAAGGATTATACACAAAATAATATGATGACCAAGCAATTTTATTAAACAAAACGATTTCATTACTTATTCCTTTCTCATAATTATTTATAGGGAATGAATAAAATAAAATATCATTTATTGATGTACCGTATAACTAAATATTCGCACAATTTCCAAGAATGTTCAAATATAAAAATTTCACTCCTAGTACTAGACCTTGGTATACTTCAATTATATTTAAGGTATAAGAACCATTTAGCTCAATATTAAATTTAACCCAATTAAGAATATTTTTACTCTCCAATATATATTTCAGTTAGAAATTTCATGCCATATTTTGCTTTAACATATTCCTTGATTATTAATTAAACTTTATTTGGAATTACAGCCTAATTATAAGAAGTTTATGATAAGAACATTCAAAGTATACCTTTAAATATTTTTTTGGTCAATTCCAATGGAGATGTAATATTGACTACTATGCCAACAATTTCATAAATTAATTTAATTTTTACAATAACTAATTAAACCTATACAGGATTTAATTAAACAGATTGGGAGTTAATAAAAGTGAATTCTAAAATGAAAATTTCATAAGAAACTGCTTTCTATCTTGAAAATAAAATTTATAATAGAACTGTTTTTGTGAATGCATTCAACTTTGAAAAGGAAAATCTAACTTTAATTGTGTAATATGATAAAAATATTTTTAAGTTTCAAAAATGTGACTTATGAAATAGAAATTAATTAAAAAATAGAAGATTAAGTTGATAAAATGAAGATGAAAATGATCTAAGATTTATAAATTTATTTAGGAATTTGTATATTATTAGTAATGTTAACAACTAGTTTAATAAGATGTATATCAGCACCTTTATTAAATTTGATTAAAGTGATTAATATTCATGTAAGAAAAATAGGAAACAATTTAAATTCAGAATTATTTAAAATGAGTTTTAAAAGTAATAAGCATACAGATGTCTTTTCATCACTTACATATTCATTCTTAGGGTTAAAAGATTTATAGACTAAAAGATCAGAAAGAAAAAACTAAATTTGTCAATAAATTGAAGATATAAAATACAATTTTAAATATCAAGAATTAGATTATTCTCAAATTAAAGAATCAATCTTACTTCTCCCTAGTTAAGATGTATAAGATTTTGGTTAAAATAATCTATTATTGAAACCTTTACTTTTAAGAAGCTTTTCATAGAAAAAAATGTGGGTTAGTACTGATGATCAAACATAATATAGATTAATCCTCATAAAATAGATATTTTAGCAACTCTTTTAAAATAATAGCCTACTTAGGAATAATTGATTATAATTTTAAGTTGAATTGATCTATCATTATAAAAAATACTACAATATATTATTATATTAATGCTTATCTTAAGTATTTCTAATATAAGGAAATTTGATTTAATTTAGGTATTCAATAAATAAATCAGCCATAACTAGACTAATTAATAATATTTACTTCTTTAGAGGAATTCTCAGAGTAATTTGATAGAATATCCATATAAGTTCAATCAGTATCAATTTAATTTAAAACACTCTTAATATCTAATTTGCATTTTAACTAAATTTATTTAAAATATTATAATATGTATCCTAATTAGAAACTAAATTTAGAGTTATGATATTAATTTAAAAAAAATCAAATTTAATTTATTTAATCCATTTTTTATAAATACACTATTATAATAAAGTAATAATAGGATATTATTCTCAATTAATTTAAAGATTAAACTCTTAGATAATTAATACATTCAAATAGTTACAAATAAGGATCATTAAATGAAAAAGAATCCAAAATTCTATAGAAAAATTGTTTAAATTTATTAAAATAAGATTGTTTCTATAAATATTTATGATTTTTTCACTTTTTTTGATTTTTTAATTTATTTGTCTCTCCTTCTAAGGTCTTTAGAAAATTACTAGATGTTTCAATTAATTTTTTTAAAATGGTTTCACTTTCTTTAATCATACGATTATAATCTTAAATAGCTAATTCTTTATCTCTTAATTGCCCTCCTTAAATTTATTATTATTATTTTAGAGATGCTAATTCTTATTACATTTGAGCAACAACAACTCTTTCTTCTTAAACATCATTTTATAATTCTTCCTTCTCTTCTTTTAATTTCTATAGTTAAGATTTTAACTATGTAATTGCAGTGCCATCCATGAATTGTTATATAATTTAATTAATTGATCTGTTAAATATATGAGAAAATCATAAAGTTCATTATTGCTTAAATCTTCCTTTATGAGTCAAAGATAAACACTTCCTGATCTCATTCAGAAAATTGGAGTTAGATATGCTACTTAATATGAATTAACGAATCAGAATAATATTCCATCTCACCCCAATAAATTAGAACTAATTAGAATATAAGAAAAATATAAATGGAAATGTGAAGAACTAGACAGAACAAAGTAGTCTATAGAAAGAGAACATAAAACTTTAGAAGATAGAGCAAATGTAAGTTTGTTAATATATTTAAGTAATTAAAAAAAGGAGAGAAGGAGATTAGAATATTGACTAATTTAATTGAAGAAAAGTTAATGCAATTACATTAACAAGAAGAATCATTAAGAGAAAGAGTTTAATCATTTGAATAAAAAGTAAAAGATTAAAAATAACAATTTATTTTACTTCAACAATAATTAGAAGAATAATCAAATTAATTGAATATTGAAAAAAATAAATTATAAATAAGAGAAAAAAATATAAAAGAAAAAGAATATATTACTGAATTAAAGTCTAAAGAAATTGAATAGTATATAGCTAGATTAAAGTATTATACTTAAAATACAAATTAGAAAGAAAGTAAATTTTTTAAATTAATAATTTAGATTATTATCATTTATAAATTGACAATCTCAATTCAAATTTGTAAACTATTGTTTAACATGAATTATCAATTAAAAATATTGAATAATAATTATCTCAATAAGTCAAATCACTTGAGAAAGTAGAATAGAATTTGATTTAATAACTCGAAAATTGTAAATAATCTGAATAGATTTTCGATTAATAAGAATTAAAAATTTAAGTTAGTGAAGATTTAATCAATCGTAAATTAGAATGGGATTAAAAATAAATAATCTCTGCTAAAAATTCTAAAACATCATTATTTAATTTTGAAAATTCGAGAATGGAAATTTCTCATTTCGTACATTCTGCTCTATCATAAAATTATTGATTACTATTAAACAATCAAAATAATAAATAAATATCACTTTATAATTTCGAAAATATTCTCGCATAAATTATATACTCCCTCATTTTCATGTTAAGATAATTCAGCTAAGAATTATTCTCCATTTTACTGTATAAATACAGAAATTTATTCACAATTATTTTGAATGATTATTTCAATAATTCTTAAAATATCTATGATAATATCTGAATTATCCATATTTTTATCTAATAAATTAATCAATTGTTATATCGGTTAGAATAATTAAATTAATTATTTTAATTCATTTTTATTTAAACTACTAATAATCTAATAATAAAAAGAATAATAATATATATTACCATAGATATCCTTATTATCTTCTTACAATTTTTCATCAAATTTAAATAACTACACTATATTAGTATTAAGAATATTATATATTATTTTTGGGTTTTCAACAATCATATTTGTAAATATGCTCAATACTTTGTTAATTTATTTTTACTGAAATTTCTCTTATTTTCCATTCACCAAAGTTTAATTAACTTTAAGTATCAGGAAATTTAAGATATTATTTTCAATAGGTTCATATCTATTTCTATCAAAATATGATATTATTCTTATTAACGATAATATTTCATTTAAAAATATATCTGAATTTTATTTATTATAACAGAGATTATTGATGAAATTTAGATCTAATAAATTTTTATCCTTCTAACATATTTTATAAATGAGTTATAAGATTCCTTATATGGATTCATTGTTTAATAAATGAGGAATTAATTCCCAACATAATTTAATCATTTAAATTTAATGATAATTTGACATTAATGGTTGAGTTCTTGATATATTTATTACAATTTAGGCTAGATCATCCATTAATTCATTATTGGATTAATGGAATACTTTGAAAATTGTTTATGGTATTTCATAAATTAAAATAGTATCTCTACATTAATAACAGTCTGCTGCTAAATTTGAAAAAATAAACAGAACAGTTTATTTGAGCTCTTCATATTGAGTTTGATTGAAAAATTTTAACAAATCAGGAATATATTTTAATATAGGTTTGCAGGTAAAATGATTTGGGAGTGTAAATGCTAATAATATTTGTAAACAAGCTCTCTTATATAAATATAATTAATATACATCTAATACTGGATATCCTTTATTGATTATATCAAAGATCATTTCAACATCCTAAGATGTTTCATAATTCTTTTCACAATCTTTATCATTAAAAGTATCTGCTAATTCTGATATTTTCAATATTTTTTATATAGTTTCATCAGGTTAAACAGCAATTGGAAATTATTTTGAGTAAAATGCCTCATAATAAATATCTGATAACTTGGTGGTAGTATAAGAAAATGGCAAATATTGTGTTTTTGATATTCTTTTAGATTTAAACACTTCTTCTCTTTTTAATTTTCTGATATTGATTAAGAATTCTTCCCTCTTTTTCTATATTAGATTCATTATTAAATGTTTATGGCAAAGAATTAATTATGCACTTTAATAATTGTCATAAAAATACTAGATCAAATATATAATTAAAATCAATTTATTCAGTCTAATTTTAATTAATAGTTAAGATTTTTTGATATTCTTTAAGACTAAGTTAACAAAGTCAAGCTTTTTTTTTTCTTTTCAATTTTAAATTTATTCTAGTATATTATAATTAGAATATACTTTAATTTATTTAATATCAATTTTTGTATTTAATTCATTATTTTGTTAAAAGTATAAAAGGATTTAATCTAAATTACCTGAATATTATTAATAAAGATCTTTAAATATTTTAGTGTTCTTCTCATTCCATTAAATCTTTTTATTTTTTTTGTTTCTACCTGCAACTTGTTTTTCTATTTTAATATTCTTGACTAATGCTTATAAAGTATCTCCTTAACTATGTTATTAACTCTCAGATTAATGATATTTATGGATTTCCTCCTTTCGAGTTTCTTAATTAGAGCATTTTTTTTCAAATAACTTCTAAAAATTAAATCCTTCTTATTAGATATCGAGATCTGCACTATCTTGATTTATCATTTATAAAATATATTTATATTAATTTTAATAAGAAGTATTTTATTAGATGTCATGTTATACATAATTCTATATTTCTAATCTGATAATAGAAGTCACAATTAATAATAATGTAAATAATCTAAATGCATTTCAAATATTATCACCAGCTGCAACTCTTAATGCCAATTATTCTCTAAGAACTCTAAGATGTTTATTGACTAAACCAATTAAGTCAGATACTAATTGCTTATTATTATCTCTAGCACTTCTTGCTTGTTGATAATCATAAGCAGCTTCTTCACATTCAACAAATCTCTATTATCTAGTGTCTTAGTAATAATCTAATCTTTATTAGATAGTAGCTATAGAGTTTTAAGCTTGTTAAATAGAATCGTTCAAACTAAATAAAATTATTAAATGAATAACCTTTATAAAGTTGCTTATGTATTAGCTAAAATAGATTAAGCAGATTATAAATCTCTATTTAATAAATGCTTGTGTTTTTCATAAGCTTAAACTCTTTTGTCTTCAGCGAATCTTTCTAAATTAGTACTGTCATCAATCTTAGTTAATAAATCACTGCATAATTGAATTATTCTAGAGTGTTTTTATAATAAATTAAATTATACTTTTCAACAGATCCTTCATCAGCAGTTGATTCAGATTTATTCATAATTGTTAATAACACTTTGAAAATACTGGCATAAGCTTTTGTGAATCTATGAGTTTATCTTATCTTATTAATTGATCCACTCAAACTTGAAGTAACTTAAGCTAAAATATTTGGAGCTATTCTAATAGCATTTTTGCCATTCTTTTTAATTTCTGCAAGTGATGGTCTTTAGAGTCCATCCTTAATAATGGCTTAAGCTTCTCTAATTATTTTAGAGGCTTCAAAATGTTCAGCAATTTTAGCTTCATACACTTCATTTTGTTCTTGTCTCTCTTCATCAAGTTCTTAAATCTCTTATGTGTATTCTATAAAATTTATAGATGAATATTACATTTAATTTCTGCTAATTTAGCTTTTTCAACACCTTATTAGATTGATCTGGCAGGAATAAGATTACCTTCTAGTTTGGCCTCAAGTTGTAAAATTGAATATTAGCTATTAGCAATGTCTTTATCAAGTTAACCAATGTCTGAGTCACATTAATCTTAATAGACTCTATTGTTTGCATCATCCTCCTTTTAATCATCTTGGTAACGTCCTTCTAATTTCTCAAGTACATTGATTAAATGGTCTAAACTATCTGATGTTTCCATCTCCAGTTATAGAGTATGAATCAAATAACGACCAAATTCACTTTGTTCCAATTATGTCAATTTGGCAATAACTTCACCTTCATCTGAGAGTGATGTTGCATTCAATCCTAAAAGCAAGGCACAAATAAAAAGTGATTTTATCATAATAAAACGGATTATAATTAGTATTCATTAAATTCACATTTTAATAGTTCTTAAGGGTCATCATATTCTGAAAAACGATATAGTTTCATTTGCTACATATTCAATTCTCTCACATCCTTAACGTTCTTAAATTACATCAAATACTATAATAATGATTTCAATTCCTAAAATATTACACAATTATTTTACCTCATCTGATTTATTATCAATATAAGGAATGATTGGTACACCATTTTAAATTTAATATAGATAAGAATGAGGAGCATTATCAATTAACAACATATCACTTAGTTTTCTTGTTGTAAAAATACGAAGATCTTTAATAAAATGTCCATCATCTGTAGGTATACAATGTTCTCTATAGAATCTATGACTTATCCATTTTTTTTATGGATCCAAATAATCAATAACTGCATTAGCATAATGTGATTAAGAAGCAGTAAATACAATCAATTCGAAATTTCTACTTAAAGTCTATAATAAATGGGAAGTATAAGGTCTAATATTTAATGAAGCCTAATTTTTATATTGTTTTTATACTTCCATCTTCTCTCCTTCATGACTTATATTGAGTAAAACATCCCCAGGTATAAAACTATTTGAATTACAATGAACTAAGGTTTCATCTAAATCAAACAAAAGAGTCTTTTTGTCAGTTGCTGGCAACATTATAGATTTTTTAACTGGAGGTACTTTAAGCTTCTTAGCAATAATGATTCCCTAAAATATTTAAATTAAATTTTACTTGCATGTTGTGAATAAGATGCTCTTTTGCTGAATTGGGACCTTTCATTTTAAAGGCTTTGATAAGTGAAGTGACATAATACAATTTTTAAGATGGGTTTTTATAATCTTATTATTGTTATTATTATTATTACTATAATTATTATTATGATTAGTATTATTATTATTATGATGATTGGTATTATTATTATGATTAATATTACTATTACAATTATTGTTATTATTATTATTACTATTATTATTACTCTGGAACAGTGTAATTTTTATTATTTCTTTGAGTTACAACTGAATCCAAATATGATGTTGGTATGCTGCTCTGTTACTTATAGATATTAAAATCACCTTCTTTTGGAGTTGGGGAAGTCAATGCAGACAAACCTCTTGAAGGCACAACAGAAGCCTTCCTAGTTAAATTCATTGAACTTTAAACTGATTGTTATTATTATTATTATGGTTATTGAAGATGATTATATCTTTCTTGACTGATCTACTTATTCTAAACAGGAGTCATTGACAATAGCTATGGACTTTAGGTTTTCTTACGTTATTCTAATTACTCAATCCTGCATTCCATATACGTTTTAGATGATTGAAATCTTGATGCATCATTATAGATTGCCATTTTCTCATTTGGTAGTTATTTCTCTGATTTTATGACTTCTCTTTTAAAAAAAAAGTCTTGAGTTGGTGTATCAGAATGAATTCTTGCAGAAGAATTCTCCTTATTATCTTTGCCTTTGACACCTAAGGGTGTTTTGCCTTTAAAATCAGCATTAGAAGGTTTTCTGGCTAAGTTTAAAAATGATTTTTGCTCTAAAGAGTCTGTTAAGGATATCTCTCTGTAAGAACTGTCTTTTCGTAGCATATGAAGAAATAAAAACTCGTTAATAATTAATAATTAAATATTTGGTTTTATTTTTATATCAAAATTATTTATTTTTAATTATACTCTGTATTCATGAATTATGAATACAGAGTATTAATGATTGTTTATTCTTAATCATCATTTGTTGATTACCTTATAGATTAAGAATACAGCTTATCTGTTTTTTATGATTTCACTTATTAATTGATATTAATTCTTAAGTTTTGTATCCCAAAATTTTATGATTACTGATATGTAAAAATCTTCTTGTAATACTCCAAATTATTTATCTGAACTAGTTCATTTATCATATAAATTTAATAATATGATGAAAAAATTCAATTTAAAATTTTTCAATTCATTATAAAGTAATTTTACATTATTAAACATATAAACGTCGAAACCTTTAAAGAACCTAAATAAATATTAAATTTAGTAATGTAAACACTTTGATTATAATCACTATAGTGATGTATTCAAATAATTTAATATAAATATAAATTCAAAATGTTTATTCAATGCTATTATTGCTACTATTATCATCAAGCCATTCTACTCTCTTGCCATTTTTCCAGATTCCTACTCTACTCTAACCTTATTTATTATAATAAGTTCCTTCCCCTTCTTAATAACCATTTATCCATGCACCTACATACTTTTTGCCTTTCCAAACAAATGTACCTTCCCCATGTTATTTTCCATTCTAAAAATTTCCTTCATAATATCTTCCATCTTCCCATTTCATTATTCCAAATCCTTCAATTTTACCATCTTTCCATTCTCCTGTATAATATTTTTTGTTTTTCCAAGTATAAGTTCCTTTGCTTTATTACTATTTCAATTTCTTACCTTAACCATTCATCATTCCATTTTAAAACTCGCCTTCATAATACTCTCCAGCATTTATAGTCAACTTCCCTGTTCCTTATTTAACTCCTCTAACAAATTCACCCTCATAACATTCATCTAACAAATTTAGTTTATCTATGAACTTTTTGAATTGATCTCTTTCCCGATACCATGTTATTTGTCCTCTAGCCATTATCCTTCATAGTATAATCCATCATGACTGTAGTACTTTCCAAAACCGCTGGCTTTGTCCTCTAACCATTCTCCATCATAGACACTTCCTTCAGCATTTACTAATAATCCTTTTCCATCTGCCATATCATTTATAAAATCCCCCTCATAATATGAGCCTAAATTATCATATTTTATACCATCTGGCCATACTTGCTTACCCTTTCCACTTCGAATTCCATTAATCAAATCACCTTCATAAATTGCACCAGTCTCCATATGTAAATATCTCTCCTCTTAATAAATTTCTTTATTAGTTATTGCATCTTCTTATAATGCTTATTTTATAGTCTCTGTAATTATTGCAGATTCATTTACTATGTTTTTAGCCTGTTATTAACATACTCCTGAACAAATACCCATTTTTATATAATATTTTATTATTAAAATGGCCAATCTAATTGAAGTTTAACTTATTCAAAATTATGAGGAATTAAAACTTATAATTCCTACAATTAGAGAAGTCCTAAATTCTAAAAGAGAAGTAACTATTACGTGGAAGAAGACCTAAGAAGATATTTATAAAGAAACTTTTCATTAGAATAGCCCAATTAAAGATATTAATTAATATAGAATTTTAGAGAATTTAACAAATGTATTTCCTTCTGAAAATATTCTCAAGAATGAAATGTATCAATTATTTTTACAAAAGATTATTGACTATGATAGCATATGATGTAGAATAAAAAGATTATTTAAAATTTAAATTGAATTTCATTAGATTAAACACCTCATAACTCACAGAAAATTTGTAAACTCAATTAAATTAACTTATGATAAAGATTAAAAAAGAATTTAAAGATATAATCAATATTGAAGATAGGTTTTCTTTGATTCAAATGTTTTAATAAGAGAATCTTTTATCAAAGGATGAACTTAAATAATTATATGTATTTAAGATATAATCTATTTTTTAGTCATAAATTAAACCTTATATTAATGGAAATATAAATATATCAATTTGGTTTTTAGAATAAATTCTAAGTTATGAAAAGTAGAATTAAATACTTCTTTGTGAGATTTATGAATATTATATTTAACAATAAAACTAAGAATAGGCTCAAAAATATATTTAACTTATCCTTTAAAAACCTATATCAGATTTAAATGATTAAGAAATTCAATTTGAATACTAAGCAATTAAAACAAAAAATGAATAATAAAAGTAATAAATCATGTAAATAGAAGAATCATTTAAGAATAACTAAAAATAATATGATACAAGCTAATTATAAACAATAATTGAATTAAAAAAAGAATTAGGATACCCTATTTAAGAGATGTCATATAATTATTAAAAATTGTCATAAAATTTTATTTAAGAGAAAAACATTTAATAAGCAATTTCAACTATCAAATCTTGTTTGGATGAAATTAAATTAGAATTGTTAATAAATTATAATTCTTTTCTTATCATTTAAGAATCAATTTGTATTGAAATACTTGGAGATTGTTATCGATTGAATAAGGAATATTAATTGGCTCTTGATATTTATTAAGATTTACTTACATTAAATAAATAGATTAAACATAACAATGATACAAAAAAAATAATTTAAGTTAAATTGAAAATGGCTGCAATATATTTTCAACTACAAGAGTTTCAAATGGCTTTGGAAATCTATAAAAGTACACTAATCCTACAGGAAACTGATAAATATGATAATAGCTAATTCTTATTAATTGGATAGATTCAATATAATATGGCTTAGAGTTATTTTCATTTAGGAGAAAGATAAACTGCTAAGTAATATTGTGAAGACGCTATCTAAAACATGACTACTAAATTAGATGATAAAGACGACATGATATTGAAGGCAAGAAAATTAAAAGAAAAAATCTTAGATATGTAACAAAGTAGAGTGATTTAATGAGATAATTGATTTAAAATGGATTTTCAAATATTTTTATTATTAATACTAAATTTAATTGAAAAAGTTGATGAAAAGGTTTTTGATGAATTGTTTTCTAATATTAAAAAGAAATAATATTCTTAGTATTTATAGTTCTTGTATTATTGTTTAATAATATCATAATTGTTTCATTTTTAAAGATGATTGAAATAAAGGATAATTTATTTTATTAATTTTCATAATATATCCATGAATAGATTTACATATAGATAGATAATGAATATTTTAATTTTATCATAATTTGGCTTTTAATCTCTGCATATAATTATATACATTTTCAACCAATTTGTCTCCTGACCATATTCTATGTAAATTTAATAATTCTTATTCATTTGATGTTTTCAATTACTAGAATATATAAATCATATAATATACATCATATATTGCTCTTTTGATTAATTTTTTACCATGAATAATAGCAGATTGATCTTGTTATTCTAATTATTAACAAATCTATCTAGCCTTCTTAATCATTTCATCCTATGTCTTAAATATTTCTTAAGCATATCCAAAATGTAATGCTTCTTTAGCTGATAGCTTTTATCCTCTGAATAATAAACTAAAAGTTTTTCCTTATCCAAATAATCTTGGAAAAGTATAACTAGAAAACATTTCAACACCCTGAAAATGAAAATTATAATACTTATCCAAACAATAACATAGGTGCAAAGAAATAAGCATCCTCTGTAACATATACTTAATCAAATAAAGATAATAATGGAAATATGAATCCAATAACTCCTCCTTAACAACAAGCAATAATTGGTTTAGTTAAGTTTAAAAAAGAACTTGTAAAGTCCCTTAACATATTTGTTAAACCAAGTGATGCTTATTTTCTATCCTAAAATACTTATTAATTATACTTCATCATTCAATCCTGGCCATGCATCAAAATTTCTTAAATCATTACCCGAACTAAATGATTTTCCATTACTTTTCACTAATATTAAATATATCTAAACTAAATAATCAAAATACATTTTGATCTTTATCAGCTTATAATACATATTCCTAAAACATCACATACATACCCACTGTAAAAGCATTGTGGAATTCTGGACGATTGAATGTAATTTCTAAAGTGTGTCCAACAACTTCTGTAAGTATATGTTCTTTTATCTTTTGTTTCTATATTATCTCCTAAATAATTTATGACATATTTATATATTAATTAAATATAGAAAGTTCATGTAAACTACAAAACTATTATATTGCTCTTTTTAGAAATAATTAATATATAGACCTATATCTCTTAAGATAAATATCAAAGTAAATTTAATATAAATAAAAGAATTTCATTTTTTAATATTCTTGTAAGTTATATTTTACAGATGAATTATCTAATTTGATAATCTTGCTCAAAATATATTATGAAATTAATGTAATAAAACATATATATATAACTTAAAATCTTATAATGAATAATAAAAAATGATCATTTTTTTAATTTTTGAGCTCTCCTTTTTTCTCTGAGTTATTTTAATCTATCCATTTCTTAATGAATATCTATCCTTTCACCTAATTTATTTAATTCTTCGAGAATCATAATTCTCATTTATTCAAAACTAATAGTATCATCATTTTCGAATGTAAAATCTGCTTGCCCTTTATAAGGTGCTTCCTCAGTTTTTTCTCTAATTTCTTTAAAATAAGGATGATTTAAAGCCTGATTTAATCATTTATCATACTTCTTATGCAGTGATTCTTTTATGAGGATTGATAACAAGCATTTTATCCAATAAATCAATTGCTAAAGGATTTGGATAATCAATTAATTTCTTTATTGATTATGGAGGAACACTTGGTAGAGATTGAACAAATTCCATAGCATTTTTATTCTTAATGAATTGATCCAAATCTTCTTAAATAGGTTTACCAAGTGTTTCAAATATCATTTTTACCATTTAAACATAAGTTTTGCCTTTAAAGAGAACCTGATAGTTTTTATATAATAATTTACCTTTCCTTCATTTAACATTTCTGCAAAAGTACATCCCAATGACCAAATATCAATAGGAAATGAGTATTATTGAGAAGAAACCATAATTTCTGGTGCTCTGTAATATCCTATATAATAATTTAGATAGTTTATACTTGTAACAACATATTCTGTAAAATTTTATGCTTTTTTATTATCTTCTTCTTCATATTCTTCGATTTATCTGGAGAGACCAAAATCACATAAACTTATTGAACAATCATCTTTTGCTAAAATATTTGATGGTTTAATATCTCTATGTATAATGGATGCTGAATGTAAGTATGCCACTGCCTTAGTTAATTGATACCTATTATAGGATTGGTTAGAATACATTATAAATTATACATGATCATCAGTGAGATCTTTTGGGTTTTTAAGAACTCTGTGAAGATCAGCCTAAAAATATTCTTATACCAAATAGACAGTTCCAAAATAATCACTTTCTTATGATATATTATCATAGATTGCAGCTTTGATTGCAACAATATTAGGATGAGCCATAGCTCTTAATATTCTTATTTCTCTCAACATTCTTTTGGCATCTATAATATCCTCTAATGGATTAAGTTTCTTAATTGCAACTTTAGTGTTAGTATGGGTATCTAAAGCTAACAAAACTGTTCCATATGATCCTGCACCCAATAATTTAATTCCTTAATATCGATTATAAATAGTAAATGAGATATCATTGAAGGTCTTTGTGACAAGTTACTAATTCTATGAATTTTATGAAATATGTTTCATTATTTATTGATTTATTTATTGTATTCAACTTAAATACATTTATAAACTGATGTATCCCTATCAAAATATCATCATTTAAGAATTAATGCGACAGAGTAATTATGTAACTGCAAATTTATCAATTTATTTATATAAAATAAGCATCAGTTTTTTGCCTTTTATAAATTAAGAAATAAAACTAGTATAAAATGATAAGTAATTTAATACATAATAGTTTATCATGAATTTGATTATGTAATCTAAATTATTAATAGTATTATATATAATTAATAAACTGTTAATGAGTGAAACTAGTTTGATTACATATTCTGATAGAGAAATGGAGTCTTCTTTAAAAGATTTATTGGAGAGAATTTTAATTTAATTAGAGAAATATATTGAAACAAAAAGTGATCTAAATGAAATTGAGAAAGAATTGAAAGATTATGAAAATCTAACACAATTAGTAAATATAATTAAAGTTGTTTTCACTAATCTAATGTTAAAAATTGACAAAAAAGTTTAGTATACATTTTTATCATCTAAGAAAGTTAGAGAAGAATTTAGATCCAAATTCCTCTTTTAAAAGTATAAGAACTGAAGATGAATATGAAAAACTTGAATAAACAGTCATTAAATATGAAGGAGAGATTAGAAATCATATAAGAGTATATATATATTTAATATTCAAATTAGCTTGAATAATAATTGAAATTGTATTCAGAATCAATCTAAACTAAATTAGATGAAAGTGAAGCTACAAGAAATGAATTACTTGAAACCACCAAAAAAGTTATGAATGTAATAAATGTGTCAATATTGTCCATTAGAATCTGAAAAGAGAAAACTAAAAATATTATGAAGAAAACATAAAATTATAATCTGATATTACTTATTATAAGCAAAAAATATAATAATTTGAAATCGATTAATCTAAAAAGACTATAGAATATGATTAAGGTGATTAAGAAATATAGAAAGTTAATAATAATAGTTAATAAATTAAAGCATTAATAAATAGAAAGCCTTATAGTAAAGAAACCAATAAAACTAGTTCTTATTCAGAACATAAATTAAGTAGTTAACTTTAAGAAAGTACTGATTATCCAACATAATCATAAGGATCTTTGAAATAAAATTATTTTAATATTCTTTAATATGGATAAAGTCATCAATAATAATAATTATTGTAATAATAAATTTAATAACAATAAGAATATTAAAAATCATTTCATGGGAAACATAATTCAATTTCATCAATTAATGATATCATTCAGTAATAAATAATTATTAAAGATAAGAAAGGAAATTTAATTAGTTAAAATACATCTAAAAAGAATTCATAAAATTCTTAAGTTTAATAAAAATTAATTTAATGTATATAAATAATTATTATCTTTAGAAACAATGTAAACTTAACCTAGAAGCAGAAGTGGAAGTGCACGTCGTAATTTAAATTAAAAATAGAAAACTTCTATTCTTTCATGAATTATTTTCTAAATCAATTTTTTTGGTATATTTTCATTTCTATATCAAAATTATTTTACAATTTAATTTCTTAATAATATAATATTATAAAATTTGTTATTATGTGAAATTTAATAATATGTAGTACTTAGAAATTTAAAAAATATAGAATATTATGATGTCTTTAGAATAAATGAAAAATAATATAATTAATAATAATTTATTATTAATTCAAATATACATAAATATTTTTAATTATTTATCTGTTAATTGGAATATTGAAAATGTATTAATATACTTAGGTATGATAAATATTGTATTTAGAGAATAATTTAACCTACAATTAGAATGCCTGTATAAAACTAATAGTCCATCATTATTCCATTAGATAAATCGAGTTAATTACAATCTACTAGAAGAGTGTCATAGAACATTGATTAATAAAACTCAAATGTTTCTCCAATAAGATTAATCAAGAATAAGGTTTCTGTAAGTCCAAATGTCATCAAATATTCATAATAACCTCAAACATCTACAATGACGCCATAAAAAATTCCTTATAATTAACGTCAAACTTAGACTCCAACAAAGCATCAAGATGTACAATCAAGAACCCTACAATCAAGAACCCATACTCCTAATGTATTATCATAACAAAGATAAAGTTCATCCAATAATCAATATATATAATCTAATAGGATTCATACAGATACTGGTTTTTCAACTCCTTTACATAATTAAAGAGAAAAAGAGAATAACGAATATTCAAATGATAAGTTAACAACATAATATCAAAATTTATAGGAATAGTTGATATAGTCAGAATTTAAAATTAGCCAACTTGAATAAAAAAGTAGAAAATTACAAGAATAGAGAAAGAAATTATAATAACAATTCTTATAAAAGTCACCAAAATTAGCTTCCTAATTATGATTAATAAATAATAATTATTATAAATAATATTTTTTTTTAATGAGAAAATCTGGGGCATTTTAAGATATAACTTAGCTATAAATACAAATGGGTTTGTTATAATAAGAAGTTAATAAATTGACACTTGAAAATAATGGTCTAAAATAATAATTGATTTCTTTATAAAAATAACTCTCCTTAACTAAATAATCAGAAGATGTATTGTAATAGAAAATTATAGAATATGAAAAATTATTATAAGAGCAAAATCTTTAATATCAATAAACACTTGTTTAAGTCTCTGAGATTCCAAATCAATTACAATAATAAGTGTAATCATTATTAGAGGAGAAAGATAAATTGTTAAGTGAGTTTAAGGAATAAACATGGATTTATAAAAAGACTATTAATAATTATGAATCCTTAACAGCTTAAGTGTAGATATTATTTTCAGACAAAAAATAAAAATCACCAGTTATTCTAGGACTTATGGAACAATTAATGTCACAATAATATAAAATTAAAAATTGGAAATAAAATCCATAAATTCAATATGAAATATAAGAGTTTGAAATACTTGAAATAAAAATTGGAAAACATATGAATAAGATATTAGATAAAAAATTGTACTTTTTAGCACATGAAGGATTATAGGTTGATAGCATAGGAAAAATTTAAGCTTAAATCTCACTCCAACCAAATGTTGAAGGTGATCTTCAAGTTGGATATATTATAGAAATATTGAATGCTGATGATCAATCTTTGAAATCCAAATTTTTACTTAGGAGAGAACCTAAATAATAAAAATTATCTTAAGGATATCAAAAAAAGTAAGAAGCAATTTAATAATCTATGAATAATATGCTTTGTTAAGCTTTGTTTGATAGATTCAGAAAAAGGTAATCAGGTTATGAAGAATTCGATGTATATGGAATATAAAGACAATTTATTTTGAAGCCTTCAAGTAATATTTGTTGAATATTAGATTTAAAACTATTTTATTATTGTGAAATGATTGAAGAAGGAGAATTCTAAAAATTTAATGGAGGAAATATTCAACCTTTAATTAATTCTGATTTAGAAGATTTTATTAATTTTTACACATTTGATTCTTTTTAAGACATCAAAGAAGAATTAGTAGTAAGTCACATGTAAAGATTTGGAGTTTATTTTCATGATATGATAGTTTCTACATTAATAGGAGTATACTCTTATTATGATTAAGGTAAATAAGAGGTTACATAAACAATAAAGAATTTAGAAAGGGCCCTTGGATATACATCACAAACTATTAAATGAAGTTAATAAATTATATTAAAATAAATTCATAATCCCATCATCACAACTTTTTTACTAGCTCCTCTAGCAATCTATTAAAGAGTTTCAAGCATTCTGATTTACATGGCAGCTTAACTTGATAAAATGTCTGAAGTTTCTCTCTAAAATTTGGCTGCATCCACATCAGCTTAAGCAGATATGATTTTAGCCTCAGTCATTTTTTTTGTTGTTCCTGCCAATGCTAATGCTTATCTCATATCTTCACTTAATCTTTGATCCTTGATAAATAGTTTCTCTACATAAACACCTATTGTTATTAATAATCTATATACCCCACTCATTTACAATGGCTTCTACATATTCTTCAATTTCATGAGATATTTAAATACGATCTACTAATAACTCTTAAAGTGTGTGTTCTCCACATACTGTACGCATTACTGATTGAGTAACTTCAAGCATAGCTCCTGCAAGATTGTTTAATCTATAAATGCATTTGATTGGATCAACTATTCTATAATATAAAACTGTGTCAATTTCTGAAGTAATATTATCTTTTGTTAGGATGACTGATCTGTTAACTTGTCCAGAACTTAAAATTATAATTCATTTTTACTGTGTTTTCATATCTACCATTGTAATTTAGCCTGAACACCTATGTTTATTGAATTAAGTTACTGATTTACAAAATGCATACCAGGTGGTAATTATTTTTCAAAACGTCCAAATTCTTATAGTAATCCAACATATCCTTAGCTAATTTGCTAATAAGGATATGGACAACAACAACAGCATGGTACCCAAGCTCGACAAGTTCCCCAAAAATTTCCACAGCAATTTAAACAATTTTCATAGGTAGTTTTTTTAGATTTACCTGTTGTAAGTTAATCTCTTAAATAACATAATAAATTACTATTTTCCACTACCAAAAGTTCTTGATCTTGGAAGAGACTTTTATGCTTGCATTTATTTATTAAAATAATAAGAAATAAATTCAATAATGAGAGTAATAATTAACTTATTTATTAAGATTAATTCATTCACAAGTTTGATTACTATAAAACTAATAGAATCCTTTAAATTTAATAAATAGATTTTAATGAATAAAGAATAATAGTTAGAATACAAAACAGTAAACAATATTGAATAATCAACATACTATAGATATTAATTTATATAGATTCATTTATTTATATATTTTTATAATAATAAAAAGACATAGATCCTGTCATATAATTTTTAATTGATTTCATTCCAAATTTAACTAAACAACAAATTAAGATATAAATTCAAAGTTTTATTTCATTTTTTGAATATGACTTATCTAAACTTCTCTTAATTGACAATTTACAAATGATACATATTTAAATCTATCACAATAATTATTATTATTATGATTCTCATCCTTAATTGTATATTGTAATAAAACCACAACAGATTTTTCTGATTTAGCTCCTGAAAGTGATTCAAAATTATAATCTGTCATATGTCTTTCTGATGTTACCAATTAATTCAACTCTACTTCCTCACTAAATTTAGTATGAATCTATTTACTGTAGTATTTCAGAAGGATCATCAGATATTATTAAATCTATTGTATTATTCCTGTATTAAGAAATATATTCCTTAATCACACCATAACCATTATAGTCTTATCCAAAGTATGATCGGAATGTAGTACTCTTAGCTTTTACTATTTATTCTATATTTTCAATAGCATCTTAAAATAAGAAGGTATTGAATAATGTATAATCATACAAAGTATGGCAACCTACAATGACGACAATCAATAATCTTTCTTAGGCTTCTTAGGTAATGTCTGTTAATTTTATATTATCCTAAAAACTGAACAAATCTTTATTAAAATAGTAAACAATTGGAAAATTATTATGATAAACCTAAGAAACAGAAATAGCTGGATGAATTATCAAATATGGCAATACAAAATGAGTACTTTTGGATTTCTATACTCCCATATAAAATGAAGAATTATGTTTTTTTCCATAACAAAATGGAATTGTCTAATTTTTATTATCTTCTGAAATCAATAAATTTGGTTGTTTCTGATTTTATTCACAATTATTAATACATTTTCCATATATATTAAGGTAATACTCTTAATTAATATAACAATTACCTCATCTTCACACAAATAACAAGTTCCTGTAATGTGCATACATTCAGAACATTTTTCTTCACATTATTTACATCCCTTTATATTTTTATCCATATAATATCCTTTTTCACAGAGTATTTCATCATTCCTACTATGTTAAAGTTCCTAATGAGTATCTTTTTATTAAAGATGCTCAGTTCCATTTGTTATAGAATTTTGTATTTATGATTAATTTGCAATAGTTTGATTTAATTCACTCTTATTTAGATTTAATTGTGGAATATCTTATTCTTTAGGTAATAATTCATTTTATAATTCTGTATCTTTTTTCAGATCACCATCTTCCTCCTTTTTATTCTAATCATCTAAATCAATTAATTTAGGACTATCAAATTCAGATTCATTATTTTTATTGTACTATACTATTGTTACTTATTATAAAGTTTATTCTTACTTGTATTATTTATTTTTGATTAATCGTCTGAGATTATTTTCTTTTATTATTTTGACTATTGAGACACATAAATCAAAATTCCTCCTAAGATGATTAGAATTATAATCCACAAAAAAATTAGCTTGTTATTAGTTTTATTTAATCTCTTATCCTATTTTATATTAACAACATCTAATTCTCCATCATCTTCTACAATATCAAGTGTTTATTAATCTGATATAGGTTTATAATTCATTTCTTTAATCAAATTTATACAAAAATTAAACAAATTATACTTATTAATTATACATATTTACTCTATGTGTTTACTAATAATTTAAAACAAAATCCATCTATTTTTAACAATTATTTACAAAATATTAATAAATATATTAAAATTTTTGTATATACATTGTTTTAAGATATCCTATAGTAATAATCAATCTGTATTTTCAATATTATAAAAATTATATTATCGTTTTTATTATTAATAATTATGAAATTTTTTGTTTTCATTTTGCTATTAGGTTTAGTTATTTGTGATTAGCTACACGCATAAAGCAATTTAAGATATGAATATTAATTTGCTCCATGGAGTTTAGATTGTACTAATAAATGTCAAAGTGCTGGAGGTGTTGTTTGTGGATATGAAACATAAGTTTGTTGCAGATCAGTATCATCAATTACTATAAAATTAGGGTAAATGTTTAAAACATTGGAAGTCTGAGACATGTGATACTTGGGATAAAATTCATATTTTAAATTGTGTACCAGGGCCAAGTAGCAAATAATGATTTATAAAATTCATCATTTTATAATATGCATTTACAGATAGATAACAAATTGTTCTAAATAAAATGATAAAAATTAATTATTTAGAATTTATTTAGAAAAAATTTAATACAAAAAAACTAATAATGCCTAAGCTCAACTTTGAGTAATTTTTTTATTTATATAATGGTAAGATAAAAATTTAATGAAATATATTTTGAATAAGGATATAAATTCATAAAAATAAAAATAGTGCCATTTAACTAATAATAACTTATTATTAAGATTTATAATAAGGCTAGAAAATATTAATTAAAAATGAATACTTTTTATATAATAGAATTTAAATAAAATCTTTAAATTCATTTTTCGTATAATAAAAATGTGATAAATGATCAATATGGCAATATTCTAATCAATCCTTCTCCTTCTTCAACATAAATAGATATTAAGGATTTCATTATGTTTTCATTTATTTACATTCCTGGTTCAAGTCGACTTCCAATACCATATTTATCTGCTCTTACATCGATGAGACATTATTTGTTATCTGGATCATTATTAAATTATTAAATTAACTAATCAAAAGTATAATCTTTACTTCATCAACTGTGGTTAGATTCTTATTGACATAATATGTGCAAACATTCTTTTTTCCAAAAACATGGATGTAAGCCATATTTTCTAATATATATTCAATTATTACCTGAAGATAATTCTTTCATGTAAACATCTTTTAAATCTTTTAACAAAATGGAATGACTTAAAATATTTTGACTTTCCTGACTTTCAAAAGCCAAAAAGTTTGGCAAAGCATTAATATCTTTAGATTTTTTAATCTAATTTATGTTATTTACTAAATCTTGAACGGTTTTCAAACCATATTCTGTTATACGATCAGATTTTGATTTTTCAATATGAACTGTAAATGGTATTCCATAAACTTGACTTTTTTTTGTTGCTGCATACTGATTTACTATTTATGCTTATGTTTTTAATTATTAAACTTTATTCTCATCTCTAATTAGTTGATTTTTATTATTATTCATTAATATTTATATTTAGATAATTAAATATTATTATGTAAAATAAATTATAATCATTTTTTCATTAATTTTTCAATCTAATCTTTCCATTTCAAATGACCTGTTTGAGGAATAAGATTTCCTCTAATTAATTTTTGTTTATTTTGATCTTATTAATCCTTATCATTCTTCCATATATCCATAGGTTATTCAAACCTAGTAGTGTTATTTCTATCTTCTTCTATTAATTTTTTTTGTTTATGTTAATAATTAGAATTATCATCTAAGGTCTTTAAATTTGGTTATATAAGTCGTTTTGCTGCTTCCTTATCCAAACTCATTTATTTCTAATCATTTTGTTTAATTTGTGAGGGCATATATTTTTAGAAAGCCTCTTATATTCTTGTTAATTCATTCATGATTGGATGGGTGGAAGTTTCAACTGAGTTTAATTTTAGATATGCTAAATAATAAGATATTTATTTACAATAATAGATTGAAGATAGAGTATAAGCTAAGTTTAAATTAAATTCAATTTATTCTTTTTAAGTCATACCTTATGTTATTTCATCCAGATTGCCTTTTTCTGAGAGTTCTTAGATAAGTTTTTATAATTTTGTTAATTCTTCTTATGTACTTTAAAGTGTGGTTTAAATACTCATTAATTATAATTATAATTGATTAAATACAAAAAAACTAATAACCATATATATCAATATTAATTATCATTCTTTTTTTATTTTTTTTTCAGGTTTCTACTCTTCTTCAACTTATTTTAAATTAAAAACACTCCAAAAAATATCTACTTATTGTAAAAATTATTTTGATAAATTCTCAATTTATTCATCATTAAAATCTGAAACTTATTCTATTTCTATTTCAAATTCATAATCTGTTAAATTTTAATCTTTAAATATTTATTCTAATTTTGTTTATATATTTGTGCATCTTGATTAAGATATTTCATCAAGAATCTTTTAAAATTCTGGATCATATTTTACTATTGAAGCAACCTTAGAAAGTGCAAATTCCAAATTGTTCTCTTTTACAAATAATGTCTCCTTTAATCTTATAAAATTTGTATTTTATTTTCTTGAAGGCATTTGAGTAATAATATCTTTGAGACTCTTTGATAAAGTTTTTTCTTAATTTAAAGATATACGAAAATGAATCTTGTCATTTATTATATCAATATGTTCTTATAAATTTTTTTATTTTTCAATCAATACAGCAGATAGTTTATTATCTATTATTTAAAATGAATTCCTTTGCTGTTTATTTAATGAAAAATCTAATCTTTTTATTACAACTTAATTTTCCTTTTATTTTATATAATCATATGCATTATTATACTATTTTTAATTTATCTTAGATTCAAATTAATATTTTGCATTATTTTTATCTAATTATTCCATTCCATTAATGGATTCCAAATATTTATTTGCATTATAATTTTATCCTTTAAATTTTCCAATTTTTGCTTCTAATTCATAAACTTTTTAACCCTATCTCTTTACTATTTTAGTTTTAATAACATTAGATATCCATTTGATTAATTGTTCTTTGTTCATCTTTTAAGAAAGAATATTAATTTTTAATTAATTAATTTAAATATATATATATATATATTATTAATAATATATCAAAATGATCTAAAATTTTTATCTATTTTAATGCATGCATCTTCCAATAATTTTAATAAAGCTTCAGTTGTAGCTTCTCTCTCTCTTCTTTCAAAATTGATATCTTATTACAATTTACCATGTACATCTTCAATCATTCTAAATATCTTTCCTTATGTTTCTTCTCTAACCTTCTTTTCAATTAGTAATTAATCTGAAAATTTATTAATTTCTTAATCTATCTATTCAGATAAAGATTCTGCTGATTCTTCTCTAATTTATTAATTTATAAATTAAATACCTTGATTATCTTTCTTAATCTAATTGATTTTTTACTACTTATATTTATTATAAGACTTCTCCTATTTTTGCTTAACTTCTATCTTCATATTAATGAGTGTTTCTAGTTATTGTTAATGTTATTTATGCAAATCTTTCATCAATTTGCTTTTACAACTTTGTTTCTGCTTATCCTCTAGCATTTTTTTCTTACTCAAAAGAAAGAGCAACATTATCAGATAATATTCTAAAATCTTTCTCCTTTTTATCATCAAATTACTATATATAATAATCAGAAATAAATACTTCTCTTTCAGATTTTTAATTATGTGCTTGATCTTACAATTTTAACACTTAATCCTTAAGTACCTTAAATCTCTATTCATCCTTTGGTTTTTCTTATGATAAAACATCTTCAATAATTTTAATTCTCTCATCTAATACTTCTCTCTTTTCTAATTTATCCTTATCAATTCCATTCTGAATGTGATTCCACTTATCAGATAATAACTTGATTCTTTGTCTAGATGGTGAATCTAAGTCTTAACTGAGATAATTGACTGTTGACCTTTGAGGACTTGATAATTATGATCTAGATAATTTTGATGTTGTAAGTTTTGATGTGGAAAGAAGCATATTAAAATGATATTTTCTAAAATAAATTTATTTACGATTTATTTCATTACACTAAATATAAATTCATAAATTCAATTAATTTAACAAAAAATCTAACTGCATCACTTAGTTCAAGTTATTTTAATCTAAATTCTATATGTAGCAACATTATTAGCTTAATGTAAAAACAAAAAATTAATAATGAATTTGGACATCTTTTATTTATTTATACATAAACTTCAATAAAATCATTAGAGAAATTAAAAAATTCATCTCTTAAATAAGATTATTAGTGAATTTTCTATTAAAAATAATATGATTTTTCTATTTAATATTAAAAAAAATAAGATATGCCGTTAATTTTTGGAATTATTGTTAAATTTATATTCCTCCCATTTATTACAAATAGACAATTTATATTCATTATTTGAATCTCACATGAATAGATTAAGTGTATTACTATAATAATTCTTTCCTTTTTTAAGTAATTACAAAAACATAAAAAATCTATAAGATTATTAAACAATTATAACATTATTTAACAATCATTTATGAATAATGAAATCATAATTTAATATACATTCAATATTTTGTATTGGAAGGAAATAATATTAAATTTATTTAATATATAAAAAATGATGTAATTCAAGAGTTTAGAAGAGCAAATTCAATACCAAGAAAAGAATATTGAGTATTTGTAACAATAAAATTTTGATTTGCAAAACTAAATCTCACAATTTTCTTAATTTTAATAGTTAGGTATTACAATTGAAGCATTTCAATCTTTATAGAATAATAGCAAAGAGTAATCATAACAAATAAAATAATTACAAAAAGATAATAATAATCTACTTAAACAAATTCAAAACAATCAAGTTAAATATTATGATAAAACACTATCAAATTTATAATAAGAAAATGTGAAATTGAAAAATGAAATTAGATAATTACGTCAAAGGATATCATCACCATCAAAACTTGATAAATCAATTGTTTAATATAGTACACCTTAAAAGTAATTAAATCCTAGTGCTATTCTAAAATCAACTAAAGATCATCCAAAAGATGTGTCAAGTTTGCTATTTATTAAAGGGTCTCAAAATTTTAAGTCTCCTTATGTTGATATTATTAAAGGAAAATATGAAAATGTTAAAGTAATCAAATAGCTTAAATCAGGATTAGAATAATCTTATTTTGATACATATCATTTTGATATCATAAGTCAAGATCTCTAATATTCACTTCAATAATTGGATAGATAGCATAGTATCCATTAAGGTAAAGGAATACTATTATCAAATTAATTATGTTTGATTTTTGGAGCTTCAAGAACAAATAAAAAGCATTTTCTTATTTAATATTTAGACACTCTTATAAGTCAAATAAAATAACAATTTGAAATCTTTTAATAAAATGAAGATTATAAATAATTAACAGTGAAGATTGTATATGAAGAATTCTTTAATGGTTAGGCTAAACATCCTAATGATAGTGAAATAATTTTCAATAAAGAATAAAGTAAGAGAGATAATGAAAATAAAGTAAGAGAGATTGAATTATCTATTTCAAAATTGAGATTAATAATTCTCAACAAACTTAAAATGACAATTAAGGATAATAGTAAGAAATATATTAAAATAAGAAAACTTTATATTGAGACTGAGTTATAATATAACAAAGAAACACAATTAAATAAGTTTATTGTTTTTACATCAAATTAAAATTTGAATCAAAAATTATTTTAAAATTCAGAAGAAGGTTTAAATGAAACTTTAAATATGAAGGACAAAGGGAAGGAATTAACCTCAATTCTAAGATGGCCATAATTATAAATTTCTTTAGTATTATGTGTTCATCCTACAATTCCAGATTATTAATTCACAATAAATACATTTTAATTATGCAAATTTATTAGGAATTTGAAATTAGTATCTGATTCTCCTCAAAGTTCTGATAAATTTTCATAGATTTTAGAGAATAATAATGTAAAATAATTTAAAATTAATAGAAATCACTTGAACAAAAGATAAAGCATTTAAGAGAAAAAATCAAGAATTTGGAATCAGAAAATTACAGAGTTAAAAAGTAAAGTTTAATATTAGAAGCTGAGAATGAGGAGGCAGTTGATAAGAATAGAAAATTAAAATAATAGTTGATTAATTTAACAGGTTCTTTGTAATAATTGCAAATGAATTTTTAACAATAAATTTCTGCAAAGAAATCCTTATCTTTATCTAAAACTAAAAGTGCAGTTGTAGCTGATAATAAAACAATATAGACTCTTGAAAAAGCTTCAAAAAGCATATCAGTTTTATTATCTTAGAATAGTAAGATTGATTTGAGTGTTAGTCCTTCTAAAGTACATAAGACACTTCCTTCAGATTTATTAATGGTATCATTTAAAGAATTATAAAATATAGCCTAATTTTTAAGAGAATCCTGATGACGAAGAGGAATATTAAGAAGAAGGAGAGGATGGATAAGAAGATGAAGATTAAATGGATGAAGAGGAAGCAGATTCATAAGAGCCATCTGAAGTGGATGAATCAGAAGGATAAGATATACAATAACCTAGAAAAGAGTCATCAATATCTATGATATGAAGTTATGTGTATTCGTTTTTGAATATTTTAATTAAATGAAGATAATTTTATTAGTTTTCTTGATTGGAGCTACATTTGCTAGAGATGAAGGCTTTTTTGCTTAATTAAGGAATAGTGATTTTGGAAAAACAATCATTTAAACAATTTAAGTCTAATTATCTCAAGAACATCCAGCAGACACAGTTGTTCATCTATTGAAATAAATGAAAGATGATCTAAACAATGAATAAAGAGTTGAAGATGAAGAAATAACTGGATAATTAAAAACATGTTAAGATGCTTCAAGTGCTGCAGTTGCTGTATTAACTATTGCTAAAGAACGTAAAGCTACATCAGAAGAAAGACTACCTTTACTATAATAGGAATAAAATGATAAGAAACAATAATTATTTGATAAGTAAGGAGAAGAATAAAGAAATTTAGATAGAATTTCTGTATTATAAGAATAAAGAAATGTTTAAAGAGTAATTAATTATAAAATTAAATTAGTAAGAATTTGAATAAAGAAGAGATGAATTAGTAGGATTAGTTTCTGCACTTTAAGAAGCAAAGAAAATCTTATCTTAAGGAATTGGTGCTTTAAAAAAGAATAGTTTTGTTGAGCTTAAGAATCATCATCAAAACTTTTTAAAATATTTCCCAAATAAAAAAGGATTTCATAGTATGGTTAATGTCCTTTTAACAATTTTATAAGAAGAAAATACATAAGAAAATGCTGCATAAAAAGTTGTTAAAATAATAGATACTCTTGTTGATAGCATCTTTTAAGTATAAAAAGAAGAAATGAAAGCAGATGATGCTAGAGAATTAGATTTTTAAACATAAAAAGAAAGATTACTTTTGGCTAATAGAAGATTGTCAGGAAGTGTTGCTGATTTAAATGCAGCTAATGAAAGAATTGGATAAAAAATATTAGAAATAAAAAATGACATTTCAATTCAAGATTCTGTATATAATATTTTAAATTTTAGATTATTTTCAATAAATCTACTGAATAGGCTGATTGGGATTAGACATGTAGTGATACTGAAAAGGCACACAGACAATAAACTGAATAAAGGTAATTTAATTAAATATAAAAGAAATGCATAATTAGAAATTATTATTGAATGCCTTGATATCTTTGAAACCAGATTCGATATGGAAACAAATAGCTACATCCAACGCCTTAGATTCTGAATCAAATATAATTGACACAATATAAAAGCAATAAAAACGGATTTCTAATAATATTTATTATTCTAAATGAAGTTTTCTATTGTAATACTAATCCTTCTAATAGTTGGTAGTATAGCTACTGATTTTGATCAATAAGTTGAAGAATTATAGAACTCTAACTTTGGTTAAACAATATTACAAACAATTTTGATGGAATTGTAAACAGGTGATCCAGTGGTTTCTAACCTAATTAATATGATCTAAGGCTTGGAAACAACTTTAGAGAATGAATAGGAAAGAGATGATAAAAGAATAGCTAGAATTACATAAAACTGTGATATTGACATTAATACCTTGAAAGATTAAATAAATTAAAATACTGTCAATTCATTGACACTTAAAAGCGAATTGGATAGTTTGAATCCATAAAAGGTTTCAGCAGTAGCCAGTCTTGAAAGAAAAAATAATGAAATTAATGATCTTAAGACAGAGCTTAATTATTAAACACATAAGAGAGAAACAGAAACAATTACCTATTAAGTTATTTTAGATAATTTGGAATAAGCACTTTTTGGTGTTAATTAAGTTAAAGGATATTTTAATAGCTATTTAGATGTACTAGTAAAAAATCGTAAAAGATTTGAAAAACCAGAGCCATCTTTCTTACAAGAGAATTATAGTTTCAAATATGATTAAACAGATATGAATGATGGAGAAGATTTAGGAATGTAATTTACATCATTTAATTAAGTTGCTTCAAAAGTTAATAAATTAAAACATCATGTAAATTTACATTTTTATTTTAGATTCATTTAGAAGGTTATAGAGCCATGATTGAAATGATGAGTCGATTAGCTACTAAAGCATAAGATGAACCATCTCAAGCAGAAGTACTTACAAGAAAAGTGTTATCAATATTGAAATAAATAGAAAATTATATTCAATCTGAAAGAATTAGAGAAGATTAAGCAGAATCTTTAAGATAAGGAAATTTTGATTTACTCAATACTTTATTATCAGATTAATTAGTTTAGGCAAGTTAAGATAGAACATATATGGAAGGTGAAAATTATTGTAGTTATAAATTTAGGACTTGTTGAATCCTTGTCAACAAGAATTTAATAAGCATCTAATGAGAAATTTGAAGTTGATTAAAAAATAGTCATTAAAACTAAAGAATTAGACAACAGAGAAACAGATTGTAGACTTAAAAATAATGAATATGAAACAGACACAGCTAATAGGTATTAATTAATAAAATATTTAAATATAGAATTAAATAAAAGAGAGTAGTAGCAGTTGCCGTTGATTTAATCTCATCAAAATTAGGACAACTAAAGAGAAAATTGTTAGCAAATTGAGTTTCATATATAAAATTAAAAACCAAATAATATATCCTTTGAATAAATAGAATCATAGCTTTATGATTGATGCTCCTTGAGATGGTTAAGTTGAAAAAATATGATCTTAGTTTTCAATGTGATTATAGAAGAACTCAATAATCTATAATAAATATTAAAGAATACTTTATTCTTAAATGTCTTTACTTCTGATTCTTTGACCAAACTGACTGTGCAGCCTCCCCATCCAGCTCCAGTCAATCTACTACCCAAAGCTCCATTTTTAATACATAAAGTAGTTAATTTATCTATATTATCAGATGAACATTCATATAATTCCTTACAAGATTTCTAACTTTAATTCATCAAATAACCTAATAATATAGCCTTAGAATCATCTGATAGTTTTGAATCACAAATATTTTTGAATTTTATAACTCTTTAGGCTTCTTTTACAACATGAGTTAATCTATCATAAGGATTTACACTTTTATTCTAATTTAATACTAATTCAAAGTAAGGAATATCAGATAATAATATTGGAAGATTTAAAACCTCTAATTATTCAAGATTAATCTCTCCTTTTGGTATAAATTTACAAAGTTCTTCCATAGAATCAAGTGATAATTGTAAATGATCCTATAATTATTTCAAAGTTCGAAAATTAGTTCCAAGATTTAAATTTTATTCTATTAATTTGATTCCAATTCTACATTCAACTACTCTTTTATTATAATGTTTTCCAAGTGTTTCTAATTTAGTTGATTCTGTCAATGAATTTGCAATAATAAATGAATATCCTTTTGGTAAATTAACTTAAGTTAATCTTAATGGATCAAATTCAATATATAATGCAGATCCTTCTTATCCAAAAACAGATATTGTCTAATCCATTCCACCACAAGCAGTACCAGCTTCTCTTTCAAATTTAATAATCTAATTCACAAATTAATGTCTATCAATATCTTATTAAGTTTTTCCACTAACTTATAAACTCATTAAAGATGAGGCCACTACTAATGATGATGATGAAGATAATCCTGAAGAAAATGGAACGTTGCCGCTAATCAACATTTTAATTCCTTAATTTGCATTACCATATTAAATTCCTGCTCTATATCCAGCAAGTACATATTTAACATAATTTTGGATTTCATTATATTCTTCCTTTGGATTCACTGAAAGACTGAATTACTTAAACTATTAATCATCTGCATGTTAAATCTATATTTCATTTCCATCAATAGCAAATAACATAAAACAAGATTGTTCTAAAGCAAATGGTAATACTCCATATCCCATATAATCAATATGTTCACCAATTAACTATCATTTATAATAAGATTTACATTAACTCTTCCAGGTGCTTTAACTAAAAATTAAGGTTGAAGTCCATTATATCTCTGACTAAATAATTCAATCAATTATTATATATTCATTTTTTATATTATTAAATTAAATTAACATCATTTATTCTTCTATAAACCTAATTAACATCCATTAGATTAAAAATAAGTAAATTAGATGGATATTATTATAAATTATTGTTTATATTTATCACTCTTTTTTTTAATGATCTAATTTAATTAGTTTCTCATCTATTTTTGTTTTTTCTTTAATTTTATCTAATGCATTTTTCCACATTTATCCTCCCCAATTAACTGTCAAAAACATCCCAGTGGCTTCAGTACAAATAGTTTTATTTTGATCATAGATAGTTGCCTTTAAGAATACTTTCCTACCTTCTATTTTTTCAATTTCTGCTGTTATCATATAATCCTAATTTGTTTTTACAGGTTTTCTGTAATTTATATTTAAATTTGCTGTTGCCGTAGGGATTTATCCACTTGCCAAATAACTTAATTATCCAAAAGCATTATCTATTAATGTTGCCAATAATCCTCCATGAACTATAGAACTATGTCCTTAAAGATGATCGGCAGCATTAAACACAAAGTGTAAATGAATTTTATCTTCAGATTCTAGATTGTCACTATATATTTTTTATTCTAATTTGTCTGGATAATATATTTTAAACACATTCAAAGCCTCATTATGTTATGCTATAAAATTATGAAGAAAATGCTTATCTGGAGAAGAGTGCATAATATCAATAACTTTTGGTTGTGTGTAGTTTCCTTCTTCCAACATCGATTTAAAGCTGTGATCATCATTTTTTTAACTTTTATCGTTAATGAAAGCCTTTATATATGGATAATATCTTTAATATGTAAACCCTCCAGCAAACGCTAATCCAAACAACAATATATTTTTTTTCATTAATATAATTTTATCAAAAGAACCCTAAAATAATTAAAATTTATTACCTCATCATGAAATTAAGTAGATTAGATAAATCATTATATATTCATCAAAAATACTTAATTTTACCATGTAACACATATATGTAAAATGGATTTGAATTTATTTATGTAGAATTTTTACAACATATAAAATTATTCTAAGATTATAAATTAAATATAATATTTATTTATTAAAACAAGAATTTAAAAAAAAGAATTTAAAATATGACAACAGCAATAGAATGCTTTAGCGATTTTTAATTCCTACAGTGCTATTTGTAATATTAAAAATTATTAATTTATTTTTTAGATCTTGGAGTTTAGAAATAATATGTTTGATTTGTTTAGGATTTGCTATTTCTTTAATCTTTAGGAAAAAATGTTAAAAATTATGGAGCAACTCAACAAAAATAATAATACTAATAATTTTGTCTCTTATTTGTAAGATTTGAGTAATGTTAGTTTATTTCGTATTCAATCTAACAAGAACTCATAGAACATTATATTTTCTTTAGGAATTATTTTATTAAGTAAATTAAGCCTGTTTAATTTTCTATTTTGGAAATAAATTAGTTACAGGGCCAACTTAAAGATAAAATTTAAAAATAATTCGAATAATCTTTGGAATTCTAATTATTCTAGATATTACTACTTTTATTATGTCTATTATTGAAGCAACTTCTAAGAAATTAATGTGTAAATGTAAGTTAAAATATTTACAATTAGATTAGAGATTTCATTTACGGTTTTCAGGTCTATAAGTTTAATTACATAAATAATATTCCTAATCATTGTATAAGAATTATACAAAAGGTTTTAGATAAATTTATAGAGTCTGCTCAAAAATGAATAATAAACCTAAAGGCAAAAGTCTCATTTTATTTAATTAAAGTAGTTTATTATTTTTATTATCAAGAATATTATGTTACATCAGTCTCATCGGATCAATTGTTTTGTTGATTGTTAATTTTTTATATATGCTGTCGTCTGAATGTAGAATTATTGACCATTTTGGAAAAGAAGGGCACAACCTTTCAGATGAACTCAATGCTTTAATACATACTATTGTAAAACTATTTACTTATTTTTTTCCAATAATTTTAACTTTAGCATTATTTAAAACAAAAACTTAAAAAGAAAATTCAAATAGTTCTATTTATGAAGTTGAAGATTTATCAAATCAATAGTATTTTTAAGGCTTAGCATTTTACAAATGATGATTAATCTAATGAATAATATGAAAAACTTAAATTTATAATAACACTTCTATTTAATCCTTTTAATATATATTTATATGTCATCATTATTGTAAAATATCAACGATTTTAAACAATAATAATATATTATAATAATAATCTAATATCTTAATCATTTATTTATTTAATTTCTTGATTTCAAATATTCTGAATATATTACTGCTTTTTAACTCATTGAAAGATCAGTTTTTTAGAATGGCATTACTTTATAAATTTATTGTTGTATCTATTTCAATTCTATATTTTTTATTTTATCTAATTTAGTTTCACCAATATGAATTAATCCAGACAAAACTACTAATCCAAAAGATCCAATTTTATTCATAAATCCTCTACCTGGAATTTTTCTTAACACCATAATAATTGAAAAAAATATATAACAAAATAATTTAATTAATCATTATATTTAAGGTAATCTTTATTGATTTTTTGCATATAAAAACAATAAATGTGCAAAAGTATTTGAAGGTTATTTCTTTTTCTTGTTGTTTCCTTTATCTTTTTTTTTATCCACAAAATACCAATGTAAGATAATCTTCATTTTTCTCCATAACATTTTACCTGGAGTTATCACAAATGATTATGAATTCCTTCTTTTGATTTCTTCTGACATAGCGAACACCCAAGAATTAATCTTAAAAAATATTGCAAATATTTACTTATAATGGCTAAACATAAAAATCCATAGATCTAGTTTTCATTATCAAAGAAAAACAGAGCCAAGGTTCTAATTTATCATTATATGATTTTCTAAGAACATCTGTTACCTTTCCATAAAATAATCCTCTTATATCTGAAACTGAATAGGAATTTACTGATTTAGGATCATTTATATGTTTGCTATTCTAAGCCCATCTGAATGTACCATCATTTGCTAAAATAAAAAATCTTTCTATTCTTCCATTAGAAGATTTATTGCATTTAGTTAGCTAATCACCCAACATAACAGTTTTATAAGCAGCATTAAGAAGACTTACATTTTTTAATTTTTATGATTTTGTTATAGAAACTTACATGTTTTATCCTTATTTGATTTAGGGTTAATTTGATTAAGATTTTGAGAATTTTAGATTTGCTGATTATGATTATTATAAAAATTATTATTATTATTATTATTATTATTACTATTATAAAGTTGCTGCTTTTGGCTGATTATTTCCAGCATAACCCATAGTTTATGATCCAAATTGACCACTATTCTTGAATGGTTATTATTCATAATTATTAGTATATAATTACTTTTACTATTAAAAATCATTCTGTTCAATTTGGTTGTTTTGAGAAAAATTACTTAATAATGGGTTATTATATTATTAATATTGAATTGGATTTTAACCTCTTACTAAATTATTTTATTAATCATTTGTTGAATGATATGATTAAATATTCTATTAATTTTGAAAATCATAATTAACCTAACTCTGTTATGAATTATATTATGAATTCATTGGATCAACTTGCTTTTATCGATTAGATAATAACTATGGTTATTGTTGTGTTAAATTATGTTAATTTTAAATTTGTTAATTATAAGGTGAATTAGAAGGAAATTTTGAATTGAATAATGGTTATTAAAAATGTTATTGCCCTTAATCATCTTCTTATTATAATTAATAAAGATAATTGAGGAAGGGTTTTATTTACAATTTCAAGCAAATTCGATTGAATTTTATTAAATGAGATTTAATAATATTGACAGACTCTTTTGTAAATGGTAAATTTTATAAGTAATTTTCATATGGTTGTTGTTAATCCAATAATTTTAAAGAATGCTCAAGTTATGCAATTGATTATGATAATATAGATGCATTCTCAACTTCTTATTAAGACATTTAATGATAGCAAAATTAAATTGCCCTTTTAAGTCTTAATTTTAAAGCGAGTTTCCAAAACTCATCTTGTTATTTAACTGTTAAAGGTTGTGATAATAATTACTGATTCTTTTGATAGTTCAATTATTATTCTAATTTTTACAATGATGTTGTTATCTATATGTAAAATAAATTAAAATATATACCTCTCTAGCACATTATAATTTTTTTTCACAATCTTTAAATAATATTTCTGGACTTATTCCTCTTAATTCTGTAGATTGCATACATTTTTATAATTATTACACATAATCCTTACAATCTATTTTTTCATTTTATGCAATTGTTAATATTCTTCTTAATGTAATAACAATAAAACCATTTTCTTTTTGTTCATACCATAATTTTAGAGCTTTTTAATGATATCTTAAAGCAAGTCCCATATCTCCACAAAGTTCACGATTTAATCCCATAGAAGAATAGAAACAAGCCAAACTCTATCCATCATCTATTAGTATAATATAAATTTCAGTACACTTTTATTCCAAATTTTCAAAATTGCCATCTCCCATTGCTTCAAATGATTAAAATCTATAATATATATACATTAGCTCTTTAAATAATTGATATTATAATGGAGGTTAACTAAAAATTAATATTTTTGTACACTGACAGAATTAATTGAATTGCTTAATCATTATAATCTTTACATTCTTAAAATTCTGTTGTTATCAATTTGATAATTGCTAAATTTCCCTATAATTGATATTAAATTTATATTACTAAAATTTTAATTAATAATGCACATTTGAAATCGTTTTTTCTATCCAACATTGTAAAGGCTTAAAGTAATTTTTCAGTTGCTTATTTATAATCGCAATTATGAAAATAAATAATTCCTAAATTAGCTAAGATTATAGCCATTCTATCAATATCTTTTAATTTATATTAAACTTTACCTTTCCCTGCCTCTTAACAATTTAAAGCTTCTTCATATAATTTAATTGCTTAATTCATATCTCTTAATTAAAATTGACTGTGAGCATCGAGAAGAAGCTAATTAAATTGAATTTGATTTATATTCAGAGTGTCCTCCTAATGCATAATTTAAATTAAAATATTGAATTCGAAATAAAAAATTTGATTATATTTCATTCTTAATACTCTAATACTCCATATAGAGTCCCATAAAATCTATCTTTTACTTAATTTACTTCTATGGTGTTTGATACAGTAATTTCGATCTTTTTACTAATTGTGAAGGTAAAGTGAATTTATAATTCAATTATAGATTCACTTTAACATTAACATTAATTTTTCCTATTAATAATCATACTAGAAAATTAATGATTTAGTATTTTCTTTTAATTTCTATATAATTGATATCAGCAATAATTAATTGAAGAATAGTGTATGTTCAGAAGTCTAAGAGTAAATAAGTGAAAGATCTTTCTTAATCTAGTTAATTTATATCTTATCCAAAACATTATCATTAATACCCTTTCTATAAAAACTAACAAAATATTTCTTATTATAGATAGCAATGTAACCAATTTAATTAAAAAGATGGATATCTACAATTTAACCTAGTTATTTTTTATAAGAATAGTATTATCGTTGATGGAATCAAAAAAGGTTTAATTATCATATAGCTTATGGCATTATAGAGAGTGTGCATAAAGATAACATTCCAAATTTAATGCAGTTATAAAATATCAAAAGCACTATTACATGATTTAATAATAAGTAAATCGTCTTAGTATTATATTAGTATTTCTATTCATTTATATAAATAGATGTTAACAGAGAATGATATAAGACTTGGTTTCCAAAGCATTAGTAACACATATTGAATCAAATAAATTATTTAACATTTAATTAATAATGGCCTTTAGAAATATTTATACAGGTGGTGCTTGTACTGCTGATGGAACTTAGTAGATGAGTTAAAATCCATTCAAACAATTTATGGATAGGATGTTATTCGGCTAAACACAACAATAGTATTTAGTTAATATAAGAATCTTAGATAAATATAATAATAGATCAATGTCTAATAAGATCCAATGGTGTAATAGAAATTATAAGAGCGCTAACGATTATTTGAAAGTATGAATTAACAATGGGATGTCATGGCTAAACAATATGATTAAGCAAATATAGAATAAAGATAAATGATGGAAAAGATGTTTGTAGAAGAGTAAAGAAAATATGAATAAGCAATGATTTAGTAATAAATGATGATGGATTTTTAATGGTAATAAGCAGAAATCTAATACTAAGCAGATTAAATGGCTTAAGAATATTTATTTTAGGAGGCTTATGAAAATGCTGAGGATGTATAAGCATAGAGTGAAAAATCATAAAAATTTGCTGATGATCTAGTTTAAGCATTAGAAAAAGATCCTGATCCAAGATTTTAATAATCTAAATTTTTAAGATTTATGAAGGACATTTAGAATGGAAATCTTAAATTGGTGGGCAATGAATTACTGACATAGAAGGGTGATAAAGTAGAATAATCAGCATTGGATAGAATTTAGACTTTGGAAGAAGGATGGGATTAAGCTACAAAAAATGTTGAATAAAAATAATCAGATTTAACAGAGGTTGAAGAGAAGTTTTCAAAGATGTGGGATGAAAAATTAGAAAAATATGAAAATGAATTATAAAATGAAGATTAATTTTAAAAGAAGCTTGAAGATACTTATTAATAAATTCTTAAAGAAATGGATACAGGAACAGATTTTGATAAAATGTTTTCTGATGCCTGGTAAGCAGCATCAGATTTACAAGAGTTTGAATTATATAAAGATTCTAATGATACTTATAGATTTTAAGAGAACAATAAATATTTGAATATGGATTTTCCTTTATAAGCAGCTTTGAATTTAGTACATTAAGGCTAAAATACAGAAGCAATTCTTGCTTTGGAAGCTCATATACAAAAAAATCCAGCAGATTCTAATGCATGGAGAATTTTGGGTAGATTACATTAAGAAAATGATTAAGATCAAAGAGCTGTGGCTGCCTTCTTAAATGCTTTGAAATAAAATCCAAATGAATTAGATACATTAAGTGCTTTGGGTATATCTTGTACTAATATTTTGGATGAAGTAAAAGCAATGTCCTTTTTAAAATAATGGTTAATTAAGAATCCAAATTATAAGGTTGCTGTAGATGATAGTATTGTACCTGATAATACAAATATATATGATTATACTTTAGATTAAATAAAATGCATGAATGCAAGAATGATTCAAGTTTTTGAAGCAGCTCATTAACAAGGGCCAAATGATGTTGAATTATTAAATGGATTAGCTGTACTTTATTTTATTGAAAGAAACTATTAAAAATCAGTTGAGATATTTAAGAAAGCTCTTTAAATTGAACCTAAAAATTATTAGATTTGGAATAAATTGGGAGCTACATTAGCACATCTAGGTGAAGCAGATTAAGCCATGTTTTGTTACCATAGAGCATTAGATCTTAGACCTAATTATGTAAGAGTATGGGTTAATTTGGCATTTGCATATTCTTATAAAGGAGAATATTTAGATGCTGCAAGATTATATTTAAGTGCCCTTATGATTAATCCATAAGCTAGACATATATGGGGTTATTTATAAACAGCATTTTTATAATTATGTATTAATTAGTTTTATATGAAATAGAAAGACCTGATTTAATTTCAAAGATTTAACATTATGATCCTATGTTATTCAAAGATGAATTTAATGTTACTAATCCTAACGATTTGCCAGAACCTGAAATATTATGTAATATTCTTAAGTTTATGATTTCATAGATAGAGAAGCCAATAATTTATATATATTTAAAATGCCTGAAGAAGAATGGCTATAGACTTCTTAAAAGAAACCATGAGATGAATCATTCTATTTTTGTTTAAAAAAATATTAATAGTTTATTAAATGTATAATTCAGGATCGTCAATGAATGAAATTGAAATACCAACTCCAAATAGATAAAACAATTCACAATTCCAATCAGAAGGCGATAATGCTGATCTACAAAATGATCTTTATCCAGTAATTAAAAAAGCAGATTCTCATGAATCTCTCATTCCTAAAGATTAAGTTTCACCAGGAAAATATCAAAAAATAATGTAAGCTTTAGACATAATTGGAATGCTTGGACTATTAGTTTATTGCATTTTAATACAGTCTTATTATTCAACATATTATTTGATATGTTTACTTTTGATATTAAATTACTCATATATTAGTAGCTATAAAGGTGTTCAAGTAAGAAATAGTAAGCTTTATACATTAACAGAATTTGCATCCTAATAAGAATAGTTTCATAATACCAATTAAAATTAAGAGCAATCTGAAAATACATTTATAACTCAATATTGGTTGGTTCTTAATGATTTTAAGAAACCTATTTGGTAAAGTTTTGTTATTGTTTCAGCACTATCTTTAATTGTTAAGCTTGTATTATATCCTATAGCAAAAAATGGAGTAATTAAAAATAATATAGTAAGGGTTATGAAATGATGTCAATTGAAAATTTCAGTGGACTTGAAGTTTATTTCACAGTTATCAATGGAAAAATCACTGTATCTTCTGCAGAACAAGGATTAGCATTTGCTCCAAATTGCATAATGTTAGCTTTGGCCATAATTATTCTAACTTTTAGAAATGTATAAATTAAACATGAATTCCATGAATTATCAGATAGTCCTATTTTGACGAAATTTTTTATTGTAAGAATTTAATAATTTATATTTAGCTATTAATGTTACTTAATCTAATTATTTTAACTTGTTGTACTAAATCTTTGATTGGTCTTATTATGTGGAGTTTTTAATTGGTATTACTATTAAGAATGTATCAGAATCAATTAGTAGATAAACTGTATTTTATCATTTTAAAAATTGTAATTATGGTAATATTAGTGGTTATGTTTTTCATCAGTACACCAATAAAAAAGGTTATTCTATAAAATAATCAAGCAGCCTCATTTACTTTATAGTTTACAGGGTTTTAATTATTTGGATATTTTTCAAATTATGAAGCCTAAGCCATTCTATTTATAATCTTTTCAATTATTGTATTAAATATGCTTTGTATAGTTAATGAAAAGATTAAGACTTAGAATATCAAAAATCAATTTAATTACACAATAGCTGAAATCTCATAATAATATGAAGATTTTAAATAATTTTAAACATTGATTAAAAGCTAAATGGAGAATATTTCAATAGATATTGATGATTCCCCTAAATAAAAGAGAGAAAGTGGAAAAGAAGATGAATTATCAGACTCAGATCAAATTGATTTAGAAGAAGAAAAGGAAATTTCAGATGAAAATAATGATGAATCAAAAGATAATATTAAACCAAATAGAATTTCAAATTTCATTTTAGATTAACAAATTAATACATCATTTTATATTAATAAAATAGAAAGAGTATGGTATAATTCATTAGAAAATATAAAAAATACTATTGATAAACCTTTGGTCTCATTAATTATTTTACAAATATTGTCTTTGAGTATAGTCATACTTCAATAGACATATTTTTCAATTTTATTAGTATGTTGGCTTATATTAACAGGATTTACATTAAATTTTAGAATAATTCGATATGCTACAATATTTTGTAATATTCCATCTTTATTGATCAATTTCTTTACTTTTTATTACAGTAATATAACAGGATTAGATAGACCTGATAATTTCTATTAATTTTGTCCTTCAAGTCAATATAAAAGTATAGATGAATTACCAATAACTGTTTGTTAAAAACTTGGATTCTTTTAGTAAAATAATTCAGCTGTTAATTCAATTCTAATGAATTGTACTTTATGTTTATTTTTTTTGTTCATTAAATAAATAGAAGAGTAAGAGGAAAAAGAAAAATAAATTAAAACTGTTTCTTAGGAAATTGATGTATTGCCTAAATGGTTTAACATTTTTTTAGCATTTTTCTTTAGAATAAGCTTTTTAATGGTAATTGTATTATTATATTGGGTTGGTTTCAATGAAATCAATATAATTTAGTTTATAATGATTTTCCTTTTAATAATTTTTATTGTTAATTAATCAAATAAATGTGAATATAAAGGTAAACGTATACCTTTTTAATAAAAATATTGGATAATTCTATTGGTTTACATGAGTGTTCTTACTTTAATAAAATATTTATATATATTATTTGGAGTTTATTAGAGTTATTTTGTAGTTTAAATATTAGGACTTAATATGTTGAATAAATAATTAGTATTGAATTGGCTTTTGTTTTATTTGACAATAATTTAATATTATGGATTTAATACTATATTATATGATCGATATTCAAATGTAAAACAAAAATCATATTTTAGAGATTAATTGCTACTATCTCATAAGTTGAGGGTGTTAAAGACAATCTACCTAATTTCAGATATCATTTTGGAATTTTGGAAACAATTTATGGGCATTCATTAATATGGACAGCTTATGTAGTTAATATATGCTTTTTATTATTCACTCCTTACAGTTATTTAAATAATTTATTACTTTTATATATAGGAATTGTTTTCTTATATCATGTTAAATCAATAAATTTTAAAATTAATTACATAAAATTAAGATTATTATGGTATATTTATATGTATTTATTACTGATAGCTTTTGCATATAGATATCTTTTTTCATTTTTGTAAATTATCATTAAATTTATTAGATTAGTTGTGTTCCAGATTTAAATGATAAATCAGAAGGATTTTAAAGATTTTATGAGAATCTCTAATTATATTATTAGGAAGCTGGCTTATATGCATATTCTACAGATAATTTAAGAATAGAATATTTGGCTGATACTTTAAATATATTGTTTGGTGCTTTTGCATTGAATTAATTATCAAAATTTAAGAAATTATAAATAAAATAAGAGAATTAAAATTTAAGTGAATCTAGTTCATAAAATGTTTTAGATTTGAAGATATTAGATTAATAGAAATGGCTTAAATCAATTTTGATTGGAATTGCTCATATTAATACTGATTTAATTACAATATATATTGTAATATCTTGTGTACTGTATTTAAGATCAATAGCTGCATTCATATTGTTGACTTTATATTTAAGTTATTTTTATAGAGTACATAATAAAATTTTAGATATTCTTGAAGAATAATAAAGCTTATCAAAACTATAAACATGTAAAAATTTATAATGATTTAGAAATTTATTTATTGAAATAATTATATCTTTAGTTTGCTTCAGATATATCTCATATTGATGAACCAAAGAAAATTAAAAGATTGAATGATGAAATTAAATTATTACGCTTAAATACTAGAATCAAACTTAAAAGAAATATATGGTTATATTCCTTTTATTTTACTGCTTTTTGTATTTTCCTTTCATATTTATCTTAATTTTTATCAACTGAATCATTTACAGCAATTGTTGATCCTCCATTATGGGTTGATTATACAGTTCTTAGTTTTTTTATATTTGGAACATATTCAAGATAATATATAATTACAAATTAATGTTATTGTGGTTATGAATCAAATAATAATGATTGTAATGAGAATAATTATGTTTAAACTGAATCAAATATGTGGTAGGTTTCATGGTTTTATTTATTTTTATTGTTTGTTAATGTTATTGATACTGCTTGTACAAAGATTTTAGAAGATGATTTAACTAAAAGTATAGAAAATTTATAAGAAACTTAAGAATTGAATTAAATTGAGGAATCAAGAATTTAAAATTAATCTTATGAAGAAAGTAAAGAAATATTTGATTAAAAATATGATTTTATCATTTTTGTTAAAAGTCATAGTGAATATAATTCATTTGATAGAGAAGTGTTAATTTTGAATTACTTTAAAAATAAAAGTAGATTTGTTAAGATTTTACTTTATGAATCATTATTTAAGATATTTTAAAGATTCCTTATTTTACTTTATTTATCAAATACTTTACTTGTTAATACTATATTTTCATTATTCTACTTAATAATATCTATTATTTTATTTTAAATGAGTGCTACTGTTAAAAATACAAAAATGTTAAATTCTATAGCAATATTTTCAATCTTATTTTAATATTTCCTTTATTTATTAAATTGGACTCCATCAAAAGATGATATTCCTTAATTGAACAATCTTAATATTTCTCCAGAAGATTTTAATATAATGGCTAAAACAAATTTATCTGATTATTGGTTAGCCTTTTTAGGATTTGAAAGTACAGAAATTATGGATTGTGATTAATTAAATGAAAGTGCTTTTAAAAATATGAAATGTGAAACTAATAAATTGTTAAATATTGTTATTGTATTTAATTGTCTTATAGTATCCTTTATTTATTTATATTTTTTAATGCTTGAATGGTTTTGTAATCAAATTTATAGATAATCAATTAAAATGAAGAATGAATATATTATTTGTAAAAAAGTACTTACTAATCACAATGATAGTTAGATTGTTATTACTTATAATCTATGGAGATAAAAGAATTATAGTTTTAGACATGTATTGATATAAACAATTACTATGAATTATCATTTAATTCTCTTTGGATTTGTATTGTTATTATGTGAAATGAATAGATCAATTTTTAATCTTTTTTAATTACTTATAGTTATTGGATTTTTATACGTAGCAGAATTCCATTTTAAATGGCCTTATGCAACTACTGAAAGAAGAAAAATTAAAGCCTTTTATCAGGCTATATTTACATTATCTGCTATTATAATTGCTCTATTTACTTTATTGAAAGTCCCAACCTTTTTGGAATAATGTGTTAATACTTCATAATTTAGAATAGATGTAGGAAATGGATTGGAGTTTTATTGTATGGAAGCATTTAGTTTAAAAATTGATGGATAGATATTCTTAATATTCTTTATATCATTGTATTTTGATTTATAGTAATCCAATCATATGAAAACTACATAAGTTAATTATTAATAAAAATTAAAATTAAGATCTAAAATGGTTTCAAGAGGTCTTGCCTATAATTATAATTATTTATAATATAAATAAATATTGTAATTGTAAGAAGAGAAAAACATATTAAATCAAATATCAGATACAATAGAAAAGAAGATGATAATTTGGAAGAAAAGAGTAAGGGAAATATAGTTGAAATAATTAGAAAAAGAAAATTCACTTAATATTCAATAATAATAATATCCTCAATTAACTGCAAGCTTTATGACTGAACCAGAAGTTTAAATACCAACAGACTAATCATTTTTTAGGAAAATATACATCAAAATGATTATTTGGATGAGAAATGATAATTAATAAATCAAATTTATGCCATTTCATATTTTAATGGATTACATTCTTTAATAAAATAAAAGACTATAAAGACATGTATTTATCAAAATTGAGAATCATTTGATGAATGATACTACAATTTATGAGGAAGAAATAAAAACACTTGAAAAAATATACAGAAGATTTTATCAAGAGATTGGTAATAATAAAGATAAATTAAATGATATGATTTTGGATATGATTATTTAAAAAGCTATGGAAAAGTATAAGAAATTGTATAAACCTTATAAAGGTTAATAATATAATAAATATTTGAATTAATAATAAATAAATTATTAATTAAGTAAAGAACTTAGATTTGTACATATTGTAGATGAAAAAGAGAGAATAATTTTAGAGTAAACTAAATAAAAATATCCAATAAATAAGTTAATTTAAATGAAAACATTAAACTTATTTAGTTTATTTTTATAAGATATTTTTAAATATTGTTTAATAAATTGGGATACAATAACTAATATAATAATTATTTGTTATTATTTCAAGAATTATGCTCTTTTAGGAATGATATTGCCAATAATTATGTTTGTTTGGGGTTTGATAGATGTAAATTCTAAGATATTTTGGATAATATCATATTCATTATACTTTTTTATTATCTTAATGATATTTGTTGATTCAATGTATGGAGTAGCTTATAGTAAGTCAGATATATCTGAATAATATATTCCATGGTATTATATATTAGATAATAGTAATACATTTGGATTGTTTTATGAAATATTTACTATTTGGTTAATTACATTTTAAGTATTTTTGCAAAAGTCTTTTGGCATATTTGATTTCCCTTTTACTTAGATTGAAAATATCTTTTAAGGTTATATTAGATTGAAATTAAACAATTTTAATAAAGATATGGTAGAAGAGATAGTATAAGAATCAGAAGTATAAAGATCAAGATCAAAGTCAGAAATAGGTAGAATTGAGAATCCAGAAATAGAGAGAATTGAATTGGAAAATTAAATATAAGGAAGATCATATTTAGAAAAATCAGGGATGGAAGTTGAACCTGAAAGTATAATGTTATAAATAGGTAATGATTTAGAGAGAAAAATTGCAGCAAATCCTGATATCTTAAGTGATAAATATTAACCTGGATTTTTTGAGAAAATAATGTCTTATGAATATGCAAGACCAGGAAAAGATCTTTATTTATATATAGCTTTTATTTAAGTAATCTTATTTTTGTATATGCTATTTTTTTTTAATTTTATGATGGGAAAATAATAAAGTATTGAAGGATATTTAAAATATAATTAAGTACCAGCTCAATTAGTATTGGCATTAGTATTTTAAATGTTATTTATGATGGTTGAAAGATATATTGAATTAAGAGGAGATTAAAAATATATTAATGCTAAAGAAAAAACAGTTTATAAAAGTAAATACAAAACTTAGTTTATTTAAAAGTATATATTACAAGTAGTTATTCTATCATTAGTATACTTTTTTGTTTATTGCTATTTGTTGAAACTTTGGAGCAAAACTACAGAGAACTATGAAGAATATAATACATCTATTGTAATATATTTTATTTTATTTTGTGCTTATTTTTATTTATCTTCCCTTTAACTTAGATATGGATATAGAGAATTGAAGGTAAGAAATCAATTTTTATATGTGTATAATTCAATTAGTTATTATTTTGCATTAATATTGTATTCAATTCCATTTTTATATGATTTAAAAGTATTGATGGATTGGACTTGTTTAAATACATCACTTGATATTTATTAATGGTTTATTCTAGAAGATATTTAAAGATAAATGTTTTTTACTAAAATATCTTCACAAAAAGTAATGAAAAGATAATTAGGATTATAAATTTCAAAGATTAGTAAATTAATTTACTTTTTCTTTGTTATTTTTATATTAATTTGTATTTTAGGTCCTTTAATTTTGTTTTCTGCTCTTAATCCTGCTACATAAAATAATCCTATTGTTAGTGGAACTTTCGAAATTAATTTAGTTAATGTAGACACCAATTTAAATGTTCAATTTTATGAATCAAGTCAATTATTTGGTTTAGATTTACCTATTATGAGAGATTATGATGAAATTAAAGCTTTAATTAAATAAGAAAAAATAACTAAATAATAAATAGATAATTCAGGAGGAATCTAAAGATTTTAATTATCAGACTTTTCAAATTCAAAATGGTAAGTCTCACTTCCACTTTATAATTAATTAATTAGAGAATTAAATTAAACTATATCCTAAAAAGAAAACTATAATTTCATGTTTAATGTAACCTTTACTTTTCGAAGACTTTTCTAATTTATCTTACCAACCGTATATAAATTTTCATATCCTTATAATCCTCTAATAAATGGAGAAAATGGAACAGTAGGATTAGGAATAGATTAACTCAAATATATAAAACATGCTGCAATGGATTGTGATTCATCAGGTATTATGTTACCAAATTTTTATATTGATGCTATTAGAATTTATTAAAGTTCAGCAACAAAATATAATACAACTCCTATTTATGGAAAGGATATTCATACAGCATAAAATGTGTTTTTAAATATTAATTGTTCTTATGGAAGTACAAATCCACTTTAAGGAGTATCTAATTGGGAATTTCAATATGCTGGTAATAATAGCTTATTTTCTAATTCATCTAATATAACTTTGGCTGATGGATTATTATATTTTGTAATTTGTGATAATTTTTCAGCCTTAACATATGGATTGAGTGTTATAACTATTTATACAACAATTATTCTTCTTATTGCTAAATGGATTAGAAGCACATTCTCTTCGCAAGTATTTATGTTAGAATTTACAAAAATGGTTTAACCAGATGATCTATTATCAATATGTTAGGCTGTATCTGTAGCAAGGCAACTTTAAAATTATAGAAAGTATAATTTATCATCTATATAATTTTTAGAGAAAATTTATTATATTTTGAGTTGATTGATATCTTACGCTCTCCAGAATTAGTGAAGGCAATGACAGGTGCTTGGTCAGAAAAGTTTGATTCTTAATAAAATAATTAAAACCAAATTGATGTCAAAGGCTTATAAAATTAGAAACAGACTAATGAAGAATCAAAATTAAAGTAAGACTGATTGTCTTTATTATATTATTTACCCTGAGTTTTATTACTATATTTAATTTAAATTTTAAAGAGTTTCTCTTGAATGATTTCTTATTTCATAAAATTAAAGGATATTCTAAAGTTAATATGCATTTATAATAAAATTATTTTTATGAATAGTATAATTATAAATTTAATATAGTTAGGTGTCTATTATTTTGTATAGTTTTATTTCCATATATAAATATGATTATATTTTTATATAATAAACAATACATCTTATTAAATCTTATAAAAAATGTTAATTTTCTAATATCTTATATATTAGAAATTTAACATTTTTATAGTATTCATTTTCAACTTTTAATAATTATTAGAAAAGAATTGTATAAATAATAATGAGTTTTTTTAAATATTTATTTTTTTAATAATGTCACAGATCTCAAAATATTAATTATAAGGAAAGGTTGGATCTGGAGTTTATGGAGATGTTTATAAAGCTATAAATACATAAACAGGAAAGATTGTTGCAATAAAGAAGATTAAAAAGCAAGTTTTTTATTAAAATAAATATGATAGTCATAAGATTAAGGGATATCTACTGTAGCTTTGAGAGAAACATCAATATTGTAAACAGTGTAAAGTGAAAATATAGTAAAGTAAGAATTAAAATGAAAAAAGATTGATTGAAATTGAATATGTTTAAGGATGCATAAGATTAGTTATGGAATTCTATGATGTTGATTTGGATACATATCTGAAATAAAATAGATTAGAGTTAAATAAGATTTAAGTAATCTTGTGAAAGTATTGTAAATAGGAAATTTTATATGGCATTCTAAAAGGGATGAATGAATGTCATAAAAAGAAATGTATGCATAGAGACTTGAAGCCTTAAAACATATTAATTAGTTAGGATGGTATATAAGAAAATTAATTTCTCAGGTAAAGTTAAAATAGGAGATTTTGGGATGGCTCGATCTTTTCAATAAGTACCAGGATCTTATACATATGAAGTGATAACTCTTTGGTATAGGCCACCAGAGTTATTGCTTCAAACTTCTGGTTATACAACAGCAATAGATGTTTGGTCTATTGGATGTATATTTGCTCAAATGGTACTAAGAACACCTTTATTTGCTGGAGACAGTGAGATTTAATAGATGAAATTGATATGTGAAAACATATAATTGAATTAGGATAATGCATAAGTTTTATCTGTATTTCAATTTAAATAATTTGTAGAATTCTTTATTTTAAAATTAATTGGATTAGAAGTTAGAATAGAAATTTAAGAATACATGTATTACTTAAGATGGTTTGGATTTATTAAAGGTAAATGTTTAATAATATTGATTTAAGAAATTCTTATAATTGAATCCAACTGATAGAATTTCTTGTCATGAAGCTCTTAGACATGTAATCATTATATCATATTGAAGCCATTCTTTAATAATTTCTAAGAGCCAGATATTATGAATTAAAATATGGATATATTATCAGAATATTTTAGAGTTTAGTAATGATAAAGAAATTTGGTTTCAATTTAGGATGATTCCTTAAATTAAATAATTCAAATATCGAAAAATATATATATATAACATATTTAAAAAATAAGAATTGATTGTTAATAAGGTCTTTCAAATATAATAAGAGTGATGATAGACTCAATATTAAATTTCAATATATTTAATTAATTGTTTAAGTTTCATATGAGTTAAGGATTTATTTAATTAAATTTAAAATATATTTTTTTTAAACTTTAATCCAAATTTTTAATCTTTGTGAAATTAATATTCTATTTTATATAAATATTCGTGTATTAAGAATTAAGCATGGAAATAAATATAATAGAGTTAATATTAATAATATAATAAGATAGTTTAATGTGAATTAGAATGATTATATCAAATATTTTATCTTAACATATTATAAATATTAAATAGAAGCTTTATTATTATATAGTTGCTATCAAGGGAGAAGTTAAATTTAATAGAACATATAGAATTGCTATTTCGGTTTTGGCTATATTTAATAAAGTATATACAAATATTATACGCCACAAATGGGGGATTATAAAGATTCTAAATATTTAACTTGAAAGCTAATTAAATGACTTTATTAATAAATATTTTAATAAATGGCTACCACTCTTGAATCAATAAAAAAAGAAATAATTGCATAAAAAGAAGCTTAGAATGGAGAATTAGAAGATTTAGATATTGAAGGAATAGCAATTGGTCAATTTGATAATCAATCAGCAAATCTAATTCAATAACATTAGAATCTTATAAGTTTGAGTCTTGTTGAATGCAAACTCAAAAACTTGGAAGGATTCCCTAAATTGAATAATTTGGAAAATCTAATTTTGGAGGCAAATCAATTAGATGGATAAGCTATATCTTACATAAGCAAAAATTTCAAGTAATTAGCATGTTTAAGTCTTGCAGATAATAAAATTTCTACATTTGAAGTAAGATATCACAATTAAATAATAGGATGTAGAGCCTTTGAAATAACTAAAGTAATTACAACAGTTAGATTTGGCAGACAATCCAATTACACAACTTCCTGGATATTTCAATAAAGTTTTCTAGCTCATTCCATCTTTATAAGTGTTGGACAATAAGGATAAAGACGGATAAGAAATTGAACTTTCTGTAATATTAATTTCTATAAATTCATTAGAGTGGTGAAGACGAACTAGATGAATCTGATGATTAAGGAGGTAAAGAAGGAGATGAGGATGAAGAAGATGAATTTGATGAAGATGATGAATCTGATCCTAAACCAGTTAAGAAGACTAAGAAATGAAGTTAAATTGTTCTTTATAGTTCATTTATAAAATAAGTTTTATAATATTTTAAATAATGATAAAAAATTAAGGAGCAATGCTAGCTGGCATTGAATAGAAATTTAACAATAAGATCAAATCATTATAGAGTTAATAATTAGATCCCTTTATAATTATAAATGGAAATGTGTAAAATATAGATTATAATGACGATATACAAAGAGAGAAGGCATTCTATGAATTTGCATTAAGCAACTTAAATAAATTTAAAAAAGCTAATTAAAATATCTAATTCATCAGAATTGATTAGGAATTTTTATTTAAGAAAATAGGGGAAGTAGTTGTAAATCCTATTGTTAAATCTGCAGTACATGTTAAAAATGTAGAAGAAAAAGAATTGAATTAATAAGGAAAGAAAATATAAACACTTCTTACTGCTAAAAAATCAAATTAATAAAAACATGAAAAAATTATAGAAGAAATACGAAAGGCTATGAAGAAAAAACCAGTTGATGAAATAGATAAGGATGAAATATAAGACATTGAACAAAAATAAAAGTAGCCATTACATAATTTAAAAAAAGGAATTAAAAAGAAGAAAACAAAAAGACTTGGAAAATTAGCTAGATTACATAAAAGGTTAAAAATAAACAGTAGAAAATAAAAATGATTAAGGATATGTATTTATTTTATTCATTTTTCAAAAATAAACAATAATAAGAATATTATCATAGTTTTCAAACTTAAATTCCAATTTTATTTGAATTGAAAAATAAGTATTTATTAATCATGGTTATTTAATTTCTTTTGTTTATATGTAATTTTAAACAACCATTTTCTAAATAATTATCATATTTCTTATATTTAATTTCAATTTCAAATTAAGTTAAATTTTAGAATGAAAGTAAAAGTTACTATAGTAAGATTTAAGTGCCAATATATACTCTTTATATAATCATTGAAATTCAATTCATTCCAGATTTATCTCTAATAAAATTACTAAATCACATAATAATATTCAAATTGAAATATTTAGTATCTATTATTAATTATGCTCTTTATTTTCATTAAAAAAGAATAACAATACTTGATTTTCAATTAAATATCTTTACATAAACTATTTTATATAACTTTTTAATATTTCCCCTATACCAACTTATGTTAGAATTTATGCATCATATTTCTGATTTATGATATAATAGTAACTTAACTCTAATTGAAAGAATATAAGTCTATTTCTGCTCATCTCCAAATAGCTTAAATATTGATGAGAGTGTTTAATGATTTATAAAATAAGTATGTCTATAAATAATAATTACAAAATGTATATTCATAAAATATTATTTCAAACACTTAAAGTTTAAAGGATATATTTTAAAGTAAACTTTAAAATTTTTAAATAGAAAATAAAAGAGTATTAGGCTTTAAGGATATTGAAATAATTAAAATTGATTAATGTATGATTTTGTATTGTATGTGTGTATTTTCAAGCTCTGTTTGGATAGAGGAATACTCTGAGGGTTGATCCAATAGCTCTTGGTGGGAGATTTCTACCGAAACGAGCAATCACAACTCCATTTGCTCCATGTGATTTACTAATACGACCCCAAATAGTCTGAATTAAATTAATTCATACTCTGAATTTTGTGTTGTTCTAAAGTGTATGGGCCTTATAAATGTATGCAACTCTCTTTCCCCAGTAGAATCTGCTTGAAGCAACATCTTCAACATGTTGAATTTTGAGCAATGCTTAATTCTCATTTTATTAAACCTTTGATCTTCTGAAACCTGTAAATGCAGCCTTAACCCATAATCTAAATTTAGTATTCAACTCTACCTCACTGGTGCACTTTTATTAGTTGTCTTAACTTTCTTTACAGATTTTGTTGCTTCCTTCTTTTAATCAGCTTGACCCTTCATTAATTAAAATCTTTGTTATTTTTTTATTTAAAAATTAAACCATAATACTTATAATATATATTGAATTTATAGCACATCTTATAAAATATATATATATTTATAGATATAAATTTCATTCATTCATTTAAAGAATTTGAAATAGATGTAGTTGTTTATTAAGGGAATCGTTTTTGTGGTTCAATCTACAATTCACTATAATTTAAATCTTATTAAAGTCCAAGAACTATTTAATATGATTTTGGAGACTTTGCAAAATCATAATCTATTGAATAGATTTTATCTCCAATATCCTCATTTTAGATTAATTATTATGTATAGTTCTCTCCAGAATTTAAGTGTTCACTTTTTGGTATGGATATATCATAAATTGGACAATTCAAACATTTATTGAAAATTGATTACAAAACATAACTATCTTGTTCATTTGTTATAATTCCACTACAAATCAGGATTTCTAAAAATCTTTTGTAATGCATTTTTATTTGGCTCAATTCTTTTAAATCTTCTTATTTCATTAAATTAATGCATAAACAACAAGATAACAATGATGATTACTATATTATTTTCATTAAACTAATAAAATCCTCTTAATCATATTGACTAAATCTCTTTAATTCTTTAATTAAAAATATTAAAGTGCAAAATAGTTTAGCTTAATCAATAGTATTATTATTTCTTCCTTCAATTCCTTTCTAATAAATTAAACATTTCAAAACATGAGTAATCACATTTCCTTATTAATATTTTGTTAGATTCATTATTAACTCTGTATTTTCTACTGTTAAATTAAATCCTTTTTTTTAATTGATATTATTGCTTAACATCATATATTGTGATTTTTCAAAACCTGTCTTTTTCTAATCCCTTTATTTTAACACTATGGCATTTCTATTTTAAGATAGTCTGAGAATCTTATTAATCCAAAATTCACTTTCATATTTCTATATAAAAGCTTCATTCATTTAAGAACTTATTGAAAATATATCTTAAATTGGATTGCCTTATAATTTTATTAGGAATGTAAATTTATCAATTTCGTTTGGTATCAATTTTAATAATTAAGAAACAGTATCAACTACTTGTTATCTACCCTCAGTAGAGTAATCTGGCATAAATATATATTAATCTACTAATGATAAACTTTTTTTTATTGAGAACTAGAATAATTTAAGACTTTAACCTTTCCAATTATTAATTCTGGCTTAGAATACTATTTAGATCTTTATTAAATATAATCTTGAATAACAGGATTTGGTGTAGATAAATAAATGATAAAATAGGATGCTTTAGATTCAATATAATTAATAAGTGCTAAAGAAGGATTCTATGTGATTAATACAACCACTTATTCATTTAATTCAGGAATTTATTGATGATATTAATCATCAATTTCACATAATTTCTCTTCATTAAATTTGACTACAAAAGGAAATTAAGACTACTTTTAAATATTGAAAATACATCACTTCCTGAAATTATTCTAATTGGATCTTAAATTGAAAAATATTCATCATATTAACTAAATTTTGATATTATTTTCATTGTAGGTTATTGACTTTCATCATAGTTGGATATTTCCATCATATTTGTTATATATTATTATTCATTTATTTCTTTTATACAGAATAATCTTTGCAGCCATCTAGTGAATGAACTCTTTTATGGTTTAACTTATTAATGAATAGATTATCTAAATCATAGAACTTATACTTTGACAGGGAAGATTTTGTATAATGGGTAGAAGGATAACTCTTATTTTGCATATTTTTATAATTTATTTATTCATTCTATGCTTTTAAAATTGTAATTAAAATCTTCAATAACTTATTACTTAAATTATCTTATTATTAATATAAATTATTTTCATAATTTTATTGTCTTCGATTAAATAAATGGTACAATTGTTGAATAAATTAAAAAATTTGAATTCTGATTTTTTAATAAATAAAATTAAGTATTTATGTCACTCTTTATCTCTTTATCTTCTATAACTAACAAATAATGCATCTAATTCAGCTTATATTTAATTATATATTTAGAGTAATTTATGATAATCCTTATTAATTTATATTAATTTTGTCTTCCAAGTATAGTCATTTTCTGCATCTTTTTGATATTCTTATTATTAAATGATTTCATTTAGTGATTCTATTTTTTGATCTTTCTCTCTCTTAATAAAATATCAAATAATTAATTATCTTTAGTAACTCTATCTAATCTATCTAATATTTCATTATTTAAATTTTCAGAGTTAATAATTTTATCCTTCATTAAATTTTATGTCTAAACTTAGAGTATATCTATTTTATTTTATTGATCTTTTAGCTAATTCTCTAAATTAGTAATTATATTTGGTTTTTATTTAGTTTCCTCTCTTATTTAATCTATTTAAATTTGATATTTTATCATTTTTAACAATCATAATTTTCAACATTGCATCTTAGATTTTCATTTGATTTCTTTAATTTCAATATTTCATTTGATTATTTTATATACAATTATTCTAAACTATGATATTTGTTTTGTAAATTTTAGAAATCATATTGAAGTTTTACTATATCTCAAGGAATTTATAAATACATATTTGTTATTCGTTAAATTATAATAAATTAATTTTATAATATTATCATTTTCGAGTATTGTTTGCTGATGCTATTCTTATACTTCTTGTTCCTCTTTCTGGACGATTAGCATATAAATCAAGATTCTCTTTTTTTAATTCTTTTATTTATTTTTTTAATCTTTCCACTTATTAGCTTAATTAAAATTCTGAATAAGGAACATTAGTTTTACTCTATATCTTTTGCTTTTCTAAATTATTAATTGACTAAAATTCTATCTTAAATATAATTACATTCTATAATTTTTACTATTCAAATTGTCTAACAGCCCATACTTTATTCAATTCAAAAAGAAGCAGTTAAATTTATTTATCACCTAAATAATCACTATCTTTATATTTTTCTCTAAATTAATGAGCTATTTCAAAAGCCTTCTAAGGAACCCACAATAAACATTCAGGAAGATCTGATTTTTGTGTTTCTAAAGAACTGAGAAATCTCAAATCTTTATCTTAACTACCTAATAAGGTTATAAGTCTTTGATTATCAGTTCTTAAGTGTTCAACTTCAATCATAAAAGTTGCTATCTTTAATATAAAAATAATTACCTTCTTTTTATTAAGCAAACTTCAAATCATCATTTTAATCTTTAAGAATTTTAATATGATGATTTAATTTGTGATTTTAAGAGTGTAATTCTTTTATTTCTTTTTATAAATCTTCAACTTTTTGTTAGAGTGCAAATGATGTAGCCTATAATTCTGCAATTTAATTTTATTAAGATTCTATTTAACTGTTAACCCTTTTTTTGCTTGCTTAAAAATTCATTATTTTAAGTTGTTATAATTAAAATTAATAAATCAAAAATAAACTTTAACTTTATTAAGTTTTTATCTATCTCTTTTCTTTTCCTGATCAATATCATGATATTTACTAAAAGTTCGAACTTTTTCATTATATGCATCATCTCTCATTTAATTTATATCTTCAAGAATAGTGTTCTAATCATTGAATTGATTTTTGAATTTATAATTCAACATATATTAGTATATTTCATCATCCATTTATTAAATTACATCCAAAACCTTTAAAAAATACTTTTAAATAATTAATTTTATTTACTGTATAGGTTTTTTCAAGAATACTCAATTTATGATTCTATTTTTCCTAATAAATAGTATTACATTCCTTTATAACCTTTTAAGTAATATTATGTTTAAGATCTTAAATTGTTTTTAAAGTTTAATCATAAGAATCTACTCCGAATTTAGTGCATGATTATTTAAATGATTTTGCTATATGACTAATTTAATTATTTATTTACACTTTTTCTTCCAATAGATTCAAAATCTATTCATTCAGTTATCCTTTATGTTTCATAATCTATTGATTGATTTTTAAGTAATCTTAATATCTTTAAACCTTTGTCATATGTGTCTATACTATTGGAGATGATGGTAACATTGTTTTATTAAATTATGATACTAATCTTTTAGGTGAATATTAAGTGAAATTTCTTTAAGTTAATGGACTTAATGCTTCACTATGATTGTTCATAGATTTATTGTTAAATGTATTTTTCCTCTTTTTATGCAAAAAGAATATATTTTTATAAAATTCATCATTATTTTATTATGACTAATTGCTTTCATGTTTCATTTTTGAAATCTACTAATTAATAATAATATTTTACAATAATTTCTTCCTCCATTTTATCTTTCATTTATTTCATTCTTAACTTTAATGTCAAAGGTCTAATTGTTTGATTAGCTTTTGTTGTAATCAAATTAAAATAATCTTTATCACTAATTTCAAAATTTATATTGCCATTCAACACATTAAAGTAATCTTTATCTATTTTGTCTTTCATTTATTTCCTTCTTAATTTTAAATTTAATGTTCTAACAGTTTGATTAGCTTTAGAAATCAAGTCTACAATATAATTTTGATTAATCTTCTTATTAATTTTATCATTCAACTAGTTAAACTCATCTTTATCCATTTTTTTATTATAAAAATTATTTTTTACATTTAATTTAGAAAAAAAACAAACATCATTATAAAAAATACTATAATATCAATCTAATAGATTTTCTTCATTAACAATACTTCTAAAGTTCCTATAAAATGAATCATCAAAAATTAATGTATGGCGAGGAAACAAATACACACTCTATTTTAAATACAAGAATTGCTAATAATTATATTTATCAATCTTAGTAAAATAAAAAATAGCCAAAATGATCTCAAAACTTAAATAGAATATGCATAATAACTAAAATAATTTAATATATATGTACTTATTAATTTAATATTAAATTTTATGCTTAAACCACTAAATTATTATAAAATTACTCTTTCATAATCTCTATAATATTTGTTAAAATTGTTGATCCTTCTAACTCTAATAATGTTGAAACAGGTTAAACTGTAAAATTTTATGTATCTGATTATTGAACTCTAACAGAATTCAATATATAAATTAATGATTATTAAAATCCTAGAACTAAATTACCTTACATTACTTAAGGACAAAATGATTATGTTTACTATTTTAATTCATTACTCTAAAACTCACATAAATTACCAGTATTTATCATTGAGAAAAAATCAATTAAATATTCATCAAATAAATAATCAGTACTACTTAAATTAAGATTTTATTATTAGTATCTACTAATTGAATTTAATGCATTAAAAATAACTGCATATGTTTAATTCAAATCACTTTAATTAAGAAATGGATATCTAATCTTTACTCGAAATAGTATTTCTTTTTAAGCATATACAGCTGGTATATCAACTCCTAAATCTGATAATTATTAATAAAACACTGCTGTTTTTTCATACTTAAAAAAATATATTCTAAAAGTTAAAAATAAATATATGCTAAATGCAGCAAACAGTAAAAAGTGTCCAATACTAAGTGTAAGCCCTAAAATAGGTTTATTATTAATAAGTATAGTATTTGATTTTTTTGAAAAAAATGATTTCTATTTAAAATTTGATTTTTCTAATTAATTATCAACTTAATCTATATCAATTATAAATGCTTTAATAACATCCATATCTTAAACTACTATTTATTATAAATATGATAATCTTAATTTTTCTTACTCTATAATATTTAAATCAATAGATGAAATATATTTCATTATTGCATTTTTTTCATTACTATGTCTAATCTATTATAAAATTATAAATAATGTTATTAAAAAATTCAAACCCAAAAATGGAAAATATCCAAACATCCATTTTTTCTTTTCTTAATTTGATCTCTCAAGTGTAATATCTAAAATAATTACATTTAAATTATCAAACATAGACTTTACAATTTGATAATCTTTATAAGTAAAATAATAATATGGATTGTCAAAGCCTCCTCCAATTCCATCTAAATGCAATTTGAAATCATATTAATAATTTAATGTTATTATTATAACTGATCGTTTACTAACATTATATTCCTGTCCAGTATTATTCATATTCACATATAACATAATGGGTAAATAAGTAATATTTGAAATCTGATCAATTTCACTTCTTAATAGTACCTCTCCCATACTCTTTTTCATTTTATCAAATGATTCCATTAAATAATGTTTTGGAAATATTTATAATTATGCTGCATAACTAGAGTTAATAACTTTCCTACCAAGCATTTCTCTATAATTAATTTAAGTAAATCTTGATACTGAGAAGGATTCTAAAGGTCCTGTTACATCATATCTTACAGAAAGTAATTTTATGTCTTAAATAAAACCACGTATATTAGATATCAAAGATAAATTCTATTTTAATAATAAATACTTACAATTATTACATAAATTTAAATTAAAACTATGAACAGGATAAAGTTTATATTAGCTTTGATCAATTTTGAAGAACTTTTCAAAGACTTACAAAGAGAATAAATGATTTCAAATTTTTTATAAAATTTTGATTTTTTAACCATAGTAATAGAGGATCCAGATACGAAATCTCTAGTTTCATTCTAAAATGTAAAATTTTTTTTAGTTATAAATTCCTCATTCATAGATTCTTTAGGACTAAACAATTTTTAATTGGCCTTACTGTATTTTTAATGAATTGGATTAGTTTGTTCTTAATCAACAATTAGATCAGTAATATAGAGTTTAGACTCAACATGTTATGTTTCACTTTAATTCAGTGGATTTCCTTTCTTAAATAAAGATATATCGAATATTTCTTAATAAGGAAAAGCTTTTTCAATATCTTCTTCTATATCTTCTTTCATTTTATCTAATTTATGAATCATTAATAAGTCACTTGTTTATTACTTCTAAAATATACTAGTATCTAATCTAGAATCTCCATGATTTCTATTATTATTTGATCTAATGTTATCTAAAGTAATCATATAACACATATTTTCATTTGTAAACTTTTTCTCAATAATTATATTACTGATATAGTCTAAAAATCTTTGGCTTGCTTATTTTGTATTACAACTTAATAGTCGTATATTATGGTTAAAGAAATTCTTTACATTTGATTAGATCATTAAATCAAATTCAGGAATGATATTAAAAATAGTTCCAAGATTCTTGGTTGAAATGAAACTTGTTGAATATTAACTATTTCCTAAAATTTAAGAACTGATATTTTCACTGCAATTAATTATATCAAAGGATTAATTTACTACTAAATATGATCTATAATCCATCTATTCATAAAAAAATATAAGAAATGAGAAAGTCTAAGAACTACTCTAATTAAGACCCACCATCATTTCTATTGGTAGCATTATTTTATCAAACAATTTAAGAAATGAAAGATTCTATTATTAATAATATTTATTAGTTCCTTCATCAAAAAATTATTCTATAAGTGTTCTATGTTATTTTTAAACATACTCAGGAATAAAGTCAATAACACTAATATCAAGTGAATTCTTCCATTTTGATCCATAAATTTATTAGAATTTCTTCATAGCCTTTTTAGATTGTCTTACAATTATAACATCAAGATCTTTATTTATTTCAGCAACTATATATGATGGATTCTAACCAAACAATTTATTATATACAGAATCATGAAAAAGTTAATATTTTTCATCATTAAGTGCTTTATTTTTGTTTAAATCAAAAGCTTCAATATAATCATTTAAAACTTCTAATAAGTAAAACTTTAAAATATTTTGATTGCTAGAAGCTAAATAAAACATAATATACATACTTGGAAATTTCTAATATCTCTCAGTCAATTCTATTCGAAATTATTATAATTACCCTATAATCTTTATTGGATAATTGACATCTCCTTGAAATTTATTAGAATGCTCAATAAAATAGTAATAAAATAGGCTCTTATCTAATATAGTCTTTTTTAACTTAGTCTATATGTATTGATCACTGCTTTCATTTATGGAAAACTATTTTAAAGAATCTGCAATTAATTTATTATTAGGATTAGTAAGAATCATTCTTTCCATCATTTGAATTAGGACATCATTCTCTATTTAATATTTTAAAAAGTCTAAAAGGCAAAGAGTAGTCAAAGATAAATTAAATGAGTTGTATTTATTTTAATAATTATCTTTTTAATAAGCAACTCTAAAGATAACTTATTATGCCTTAACATATTGTCTTCTTCTAAATAATATCTAAGATAAATCAAGTGTCAATTATTCTATCTTTTTAGTTCTCTACTCTAAAAGTAATTCAAACTTCATCTCAATGAGTTATAGTATTTTTTATTTAATATTCATATCTTTTTTACAAATACATTCAATTTTTGTGCAAATTTGTTGATGTTCACAAACTATAAGAGTCATCTTTAATTTGTTATTATTATGATTTCCATCTAGACCTTCAACATATGAGAAAAGGAATTTTAATCTTCTCAAATCTACAGATTATAATGATAAGCATTATCCTTTATGCATAAATTAGAATAAATATATCATTATGAGAGATAACAATAGCCATAAATTATCATTTATTCTATTTTACATTATTAGAGATTCTATGGATATTATAATTCCAAAAGATGCAATAATTATTGAAGCTAAAACGCATTTAAGTTTTGCATAAATTTTTAATTCTAATATTTAATAAATATGCAGAATTTATATTGTGATGATGAGAACATTTTGTAAAAGTAGACCCAATTTCTAATTGGTTAAGAAAAAAAAAATTATTATTTGAAAAATTCTTAAGGGTTTTATGAAATATTTTACATAATTATTATTTAATGGTAATTAGGTTGAAACTCTTAATATTAATCCACTTTAATATACTATGTCAGAAAATATTATGATTGATGCAATTTCGATAAACATTATTATCCCCAAAATGATTCCATACAATTCTCCAATGTTCATTATACATATTTCTATCAACCAACAAAAAAATGTTGATGAAACTAAATAATAATAATTACAAATATAACGGAGGATTACATTAGACACTTATATTTCATGATACTAATGATTTTTGTATTAGATTATTATGTATATCGTTGTTAGTATTATTATTTATTGTATTGCAAAACATATACTGAAAACAATAGTTTTTGATTGTTCATTAACAATAAATAAGTATGGTCTTGTTAAAATAAGCAGCGATTAAAGTGTAGGTTCAAATTATTTTTCTGAGTTATATATATGATAAAAGTTAAAGGAGATGGGTTACACCTAATTTAAAACTATGAGGATGATTTATATTATCTAAGGTTAAGTAAATTCAAATTTTAAAAATTAAGAGAGTAAGAAAATCAATTCTCTGTAGTATGGTTCAAATAATTTAAGCATTCTTCTAATTTTTTATATATATTTATTTAGATATTATAAATCTAACTTTTATCAAAATATAACTATTCTTAAGACCTCTACAATTTATAATCAAGTACATAAATTATATTTAACATATTAAGAATATATCTTTGTTAAAAATGAAAATTTACCATAAATAATTGACACTCTATTATAAACAATAAGAATAAATAATCCAGTATCTAGAGAAGACTTAAATTGAAAATAAATTATAATATATATAGTCTAATGATAGCTTTGACGGTTAATGATAAACCTATAAAGGATTCTATTTTATTAAATCACATAAGTATTTTGTATATATATTTTAATAACAAACTTAAATTATGAAGAAATGGAGCCAATTCTCATATTATTTACTAATTTTTAGATGAAATCATATTTATATAATTTAATGTATAATTAATAAATAATACACAAAATTTGTAAGTTTTAGTAAGATTTCTTTGTAATTCATTGCTAAGATTGTTGATTACTTTTTTTCATCTTTATATTAAAGGAAAATATTCATTTAATGAAATACTGTAGAATATTATAGGACTTTGTTTGATAAATGATTTGATAGACTTCCAAAAATATACATAAAATTTAACACAATTTTTCTGATTTTAAAAATATAGACTAAAATTTGATTCTGTATTTTTCAGTTGAATACTCTTATTCATTCTTTAAAAGATTGAAAATCATGGCAAAATCTACAGAAAGATTTTAAATCTTATTTGCTAATCTAATACCATAATGAGAAGCTATATTACTTATAAAATACTAATATAGTATTTATTATCTCAAATATAAAAATAATTATTATTTATATTATTCTTCATTTTTTTAAACAAATCAACAGAAAATTATGTATGCTCAAACATGAAAATCAATTTATAAGTTATAATTATTAATTCTGTATTTTAATATTAGTCATGACCTTCTATAGTTTGACTTAACTGGTTATTAAAATATTATAGAGATTCTATTTATAGAACTTCTTAAATTGATATTTAGATTATATATATTCTTTAAAGGTAATATGATTTGATTATAAATACATTAATCAAATTAGAATTTATGATATTGTATAATTACTTTTGCCTTTTTTCAAATGATTATGAAAAAGACTAGATATAAGTAATATCATGATATTGATAATCTATTTATTAATAATATTTGTTTAAATCTATAAAAACATATTATAAATTTATTATAATATAAATTATATATGAATCCAAAGGAAGGGTAATCAGTATCATTACAAAAATTCCATCGTAAAAGTGCTTAATCTACATCTGATGATTCTTAAATAGCTCTTCCTGAATTAAAAGGTAGAAGTCTTAAAAGTGCTACAACTAACCTTCATATTAATAAACCATTGTAGACTCCTTTAAGAAACTACATAAATGAAAGCTTATAATAAAGAGTAACAGTTATACAATTATTAGAAAAGAAGTGAAAACCAATCAGAATATACATTTATAGAAACTTATTTAGAAGCTTTATAACGATATGCTTAAGAAGAGAAAAAGAAAAAATAAATTCAAACCTTACAAATCAATAGTTTTCCAATTTTACCTGGTTAAGTAATGAGAGAAAGAATAAAAAAATATGCAGAAATATAATAAAGAGAAGTAACAAGTATTAAATGATTTAATTTAAGAGTATTTTGTAAGAAAAGAATAACAGCCAAAAAAACCTATTTCTACAGCTTTGAGTATGATTAGTTAAAAGAGTATAGTACATTAAGAAAGTAAAACAGATGTCATGTCTATTTAAATACCAATCAGTTCTAAAATTAAACACAAGGTTAGTTCTAAGAAATGGGCTATTTTTAAAAGAAATAAGGGAGAAACTAAGTTTTAAAAAATATATGCATTCTAAGATCAATAAAAAAGTGAGGTGGCATCAATTACAAAAGTAATGACATGCTATACAACATTGAAATTCTTAGAAGAAAAAAGAATTGATATGGAAGCTATAAGAATTAAAATCCCTGGGCATGCTGAATGTATAGATGGTACTAGTGCCTTTTTAAATGCAGGAGGAATAATGAATATAAGATAGTTATTATTTGCAATGATGTTACCATCAGGAAATGATGCAGCATTAGTATTAAGCTATGCAATTGCATTTTTAAAAACTTGTGATAATATTTAAAGATATTGTAATGGACATTATATTGATTGTGAATTGGAAATAGAAAAAAATAAATTTTAATTAAGAACTTAATTCTTATAGATGATGAATAATCATGCTGAGAATTTGAAAATGGATAAAACAAATTACAATTCTGTTCATGGATTAAATGATACTCTTAATGTTTCATGTGCATTAGATATTTTTAAATTAGTTGAAGATTGTATTAAAATAAAAGAGTTTATGGAAATTGTCAATACAAGATGTTTTAAAACTTATGCTATAACTGATTAAGGAAAATAAGGAACTTATTATAAATGGAAAAATACAAATAAACTTTTGAAAAAAGAAGGATGGGAAGGTATTAAAACTGGAATTACTTCAAATGCTGGTCCATGTTTTAGTGGATATTATAAAACAGATGATTTTGATGCAATTGTGATAGTCTTACAAAGTTCAAATATGCTTTAAAGATTTAAAGATGCTGAAATTCTAATAAAGTTATTGTGAAACATTTTAATTCAAAATTTTGGATGTGGAATCTTTAAACTAACCCCAATCTTTACAAAATCATTTTTGTACATAGCTAATTTAGCTTCTCTCATTCCTTTGCCAAAACTGAAAGCTGGTTTATTTGGTTTTGTAGATACTACTTGAGATCCTACACTCTCTCTAAAATCATAGAATACATTTATACTGCACATAATAAGTCTAATTTTTATCAATATTCTTTTATTGAGGTATTTTTGGAGCTTTAGTAAATGAATATTTTGGTGGTTCTGGCAATTCTGTTGAGAAATCTTTTTTTGGTTTATAAGATCCAGGTCCAATTGTATTTGGAGTTGAAAGAGAAACAGAATGAGCTCTTCTATTACCCATAGTATATTTTGGACCTTGAGCTCTTTCAGTTAAATCATAATTAGGACCTGGAGTCTTTGTAAGTTCTTTCTACAACAATCTTTATTCTTATCCAAATCTAACTGTTCCTGCAGACCATTTTCTAAGATGCTCAGCTTTTTAAGGTTCAAACTATAATTATCAATTAAAATACATCAACATCTTTTCTTTTATAATAATCATAATGGTTTGTGTTTAAGCTCTATCTATTAGATGTACCCATTCTTGCACTTGGAGCTCTTGCAGCTTATTAAGAGAAGTTTTTTATAGGATTATAGATTGGACCTGGACTATGTTTACCTTTTTCCATTAATCTATTTTCTCTATATACTTATGATGCTTAATATCTACTGGAAGTTCCAAAACCAAAGGCAGGTACATTTGGAACTGTAGACAATAATTCTATATTCAAATTATGATTATACTCTTTCCAAAAGAGGAATTTCGATTGTGATTTTCAAATTCAATTAAGTCATTTGGACTATGAGATGGTTTGCTCATAAATATTAATTTAAAAATCAAATTATTTATTGTTGCTTATAAATGAAACAACATTGCATAATATTAAGAACTCAGAATTATTAAATGAATTTTATAATGAATAAAAGAAATAAGAAAGCTTCTAAAAGCTTCATAAAAACACTCAAATCTATTCTTGAAGTATTATCCTTTATAATTTATACTTTAGACAGATGAGTATTCCTCCATTATTTAATAAACTCCTGAAAATGATGGATTCATTATTTTGGATTAATAATCATTAGAAAACATTATATTACCTTAACATTATAATATTAAGAATTTTGATAGCTTCAGAAGGTATTTATAATATCACTATTAGGTCTTTAAACATTTATGGTTTTTAAGTTAAGAAAAGTAAGGATGGCAAAAAGCTCTATTACAATAAAGATAACAATTTTAGAAATGAAACTACTTTCAAAAGAGTTCCTAAAAAATCCATTCAAGAACATATTGATCTTTTAGATTAGACTAATTTGTAACTCTATTTTCAATTAATGGAACTAAAATAATAGTAGGAGTCTATATTTTTATAAATTTAAAAAGTAATCTAAATACAACAATTAATTTCAAATTAAATGAAAAATCTTCTGATAGTATTAATATATATTTAATATCTAGCGATACTCAAAAGGAGCAATTTATGAAATGGCTCTAGTTTAGAAATTTCCTAAATTTTTTTATATGTTCTTTTAATCTCTATAGAATTAACAATATAGTAATTTAAATATTAAAATTTAGAGAAACACATAAAAAAATCAATAGTATAGGCCACTAAATAAATTAATTAGGCTCAAAATCCTGATATTAAATTATAAAATACTAATACTATTTGTTAATTACTACGTAAACACTTATAATAGTTTAAACTAAATTTATCATTTAATATTTAGATACTATTGAATAATTTAGATTAACCAGAAGAGATTGAGTAATCAATACATGAATATGAAAGTAATTTTAGTAATTATTTTTGTTTAAACTAAAAATAAAATAATTCTTAGATTTGAAACATTAATTTATATAGATTAATATTATAAACTAACTTAATAAATTAAATCATCATTATTGTTTTTTTATTTATTATTTAATCTCTTATATTTAATTTCTTAATTCTTTATTTTAATTAATTATATCTTATAAGTTTTAATCTTCTTTTAATTTAATTTCATATTCATTAAGCATTTCTAATTCTAACTCATATTTCTTTTTTTCTACTATTGCTTATTCAGCCTATTTTTTTAAAATATTTAATTTATCATTTAAACGTGTTTTTGATTTTTCATACCATTATAGAAAGGTCTATTAAAATGTATTAAGCATAATCTCTGAATTTTCAATTGACATTTATTAACAATCTGCATCATATAATAATACATATTTAATATAATTGTTTAAACTTTAAATCAAATTTAGTGTTGCTGATTAAGTTTCTTATTAATAATATTTCATTGCTTCTAAACAATGATGTACATCATTTTTATATATTTGATAATTATGAATATCTTCTATCAATTATGATAATACTGTTTTAAGATTATTTTCTATAAATTCATTATCAATAGTTAATTCTTTTGATTATTATTCAAGATATTCTGGAATGAAATGTTTAACAATTTGATTCAATTTTAAAAAAGTTTAATTTATAATAACATCATCAGATCCCATAAATTTTGTGTCTATTTTAAATTAATTAAGAAAAGAATCTGTATAATTACATAATTTTAACCATTATTCTTTTTTATCTTCTAAAAGTACTCTTCGATAAGCTTTTATTATAATTTCTTTTTAACTAGGTTAAATTTACTTATTCAAAATAAATTCAAGTAATTCTTTTAAAATTAGTTTTTGTTTTTATTTTTTATCTTATTATTGATTGATAACATTATCTTTAATTTCATAATAATGACCTCTATCAATAACTTCTGTATTTATTGGATATAGAATTGGTTTTAACATTGCTTATTTTTGAATTTAAATTATAATAGTTAAAATAAAAACTTATTAATTAAAATCAAACTTTTTTAGGTATCAATTTATGAGAATATCTAGGCTTTGTAAATTAACTATATAGTTAACATTAATTTGTCAAAATTGAATATCTAATTAAATGTATATTAATATATATATAATACCTCCAAATATTTGAACTAGGAATATTTTCTTAAGTCTTTCCACCAACTAAATAAACAAATTAATAGTCATCACTAACTATTGCATCAAATTTAATAGTAGGACATATTAATTCTCCCATTTAATAAAATTATTAATCGGTTTCATCATATTTCTCTATTTATTTAATATATTTTTTGCCAGATCTTCCTCCAAAAATCCATATGCCATCTGGAAGTGTCAAAGAAATATGGCTTCTTCTAGGATAACTAGGAGATTTGATTTTTTTCCATTGATTAATTGCCATATCATATTTGAAACAACCCTATTCATCAAATAAATACATAGAGTTAGGTTCATTACCTTAAACTAAGGTGTGATTATAACATTTTATAGGAATAGATTATAAATTTTTAGTTTAATAGGTATCTAAATTTATAAGTTAAAAAATATCTTAGATTCCTTAATCTGTTTTACCTCCTGAAATATATAATTTATTTCCTATTTATTTAGATGCTAATCCACTAACTCCTTTAGTAAGTATTAATTAAGAGATTTTAGATTATTTTAGATTGGGATCATATGATTCACATAAAGCTGTTCTAATACCTTCTTATTTACCTCCTATTAATAGAATTTGATTTCCATGATATGCAATTTAAAATCCATAACGATTTGATACCAAAAAATCATGTTAACTAGATTATTTTGATTATATATCAACAAGTTCTATAAGATTTTATCTTTGACCTTTTAATAATCCTCCTATAATATAAAATTATGTTTGATTTTAAATAGGTATCTCCATTTATGAAATGGAATGATCACTTAAAGATTATTTGTTACTAAAGAAATCATTAATAATTGATTATTCAGGAGATGCTTTATCTAAAATTGAACTTAAATCTGTTGGTATATCTAAAGTAATTTATTTGATTTCTGTTTTTCTCATTTATTATTTTGATGATTATAAACTAAAATGAGGTGAACTATGTTAAGTAAACCCTTTTTTAGAAAATGGACTTGCTCTAGTTGTATTTGGTTATTAAAATAATTTAGATGATACACGTTTGATTCTATAATCTGAGTCTCTTTCTAAAATAGATAATATATTAGAGATTTATTTAACAATATCAGTAGTATTTCTAATTTACAATTGCTAATATTAAATTTTAGGAGCTTGAGATAAATTATCATATTCATTTTCAAGTTCTTTGATTGTTTTACAATTTATAGTATAAAATTCTCTAAATTTTTTCAATTATTCATATCCAGATGTATTTTATTGATTTACAATATTCTTTTCTAATTAGATTCCTCTTCCCTTATATTCATCAATTATACACTTTTATAATAATAATAATTAAGTGTACTTTTGAATCTTGTAAAGTCTATTAATACTTCATTTTATGGACTTCAACTTATTCAATTAATTCTTAAAATTTCATTTAAACAATTTCAATAATTTAAGAGCAAATTGAATTTAATGATTGAATTTAGATTTAAGACATTTTATTAATCTAAGTATTTTCTTTTTGAATTTGATCATCAAGATTATTGTAGTTTTTAATGATTTTTTGAACTTTTTATAATTACTATTTATTTTATAAACTTATGTTATTCAAAGCCTAATATTTATAAATGATAATACTTTTTCAATTGAAATGATATTTTATACTTTCAAACTACATTTGATCAAACATTCTTAACATAGTAATTATTATGTAGTTGTACAGTAATCTAATAAAATAAATTATCAAAATTAGTTTACTTGTATAAATAAGTAAATGTTTAGGACAATTAAATTGATCAATTTCATCTCCAGAAAAACATTCTTCTTCTGTGTCCATCTTTTAATACAAATTATTTATTTATATAATTACAAATATACTTCAAAAAATAATCATCTAATTTAATAATTAATATAAAAATTGAGATCAAGTTAATTTATTCTCACTTGATTTTTATTTGTTCTAATACATACGGACATCATTTAATGTTAATGTTTAACATTTCTTTTTTAAAATAGATTTTTAAACACTTTAATTCTATGCCTCTAAAGATGTTGATTACATTCTTATTATTGAAGTAGGATTTGTACCTGCAGGTTCATAAACAACACCATGTAATGTAGAACTATTCTAAGAATTATAATTTGTTAATCTATATTTATTTGATTCTTTAAAATTCTACATTATTTCTTCTTTGTTTTATTCATCAATTGCTTAAGAAGCATAAAGTTTCTCTTCATTCATTACTTATAATCCATCCTTTGTATGAACACTGTATGATTACATATACTCATATCTTTCATCACTTGATTATTCAGTATAATTTTATAATCCTCTTTTTGACTTTTCAAATATATTAATTGTATATGATTTCCAAGTTTTAAATATTATTAGCAAATGTAAATATTCTTATAAAATATTAAAATTCTGATAAGAGTATTTAAAATCAAAAGATCCATCAATAGAATCAAATAATTTAATATCACCTTATTTTTCATTACCTTTTTAATTTTCTTTAATTTTTTCGTTTAATTTTCTTTTCATAGCCATATCAAACAATTTCATTTCAGCTTTCCCTGCAGGAGTTCCATCTTTAAAGACTTTCTCTAAAAATGCAAATCTTAATGTTTCATATAATAATTCATTGAAATTTACATAACTTCTTTTATCTCTAAAATATATTCATAAATTACGCTCTAATTCTAAAATGAAATGCATCCTTTGCAGCATCCCATATATTATCTCCCTTTTAAGCACCAAGTGGTTAATTTAAATCTAATAAAAATCTACCTATATATCTAGTATGCATTTTTAGTCCTTTAGTATCATATGTATAACGACACCAACAATTACAAAAATGATCTATATTTTCAACAAAAGTTTATATCACATTTGTAGTAGTACTAAAAAAACCTTTTAATATTATTCATAATAATATATACTTTCAAATTGATCAACCAAAGCTAAAACAAATAAATTCATAACTATTATATTGGACAATAAATAGTATGATAAAAAGTATAGATATGCCCATCCAGAACCGCATTGTTATATATCATCAAGACAATACATATTAGAACCACTACAATCAATTATTAAAGCTCTCCAATCATCTCCTGTTGTACATTTAAATAGAACTAAAGCAGCATTAATAAAATTCCTAAAATTAAGATAATACTCATCAATGGCTCTACCCTAAAAATTTATATTTATATCAATATACTTTTGTAATATGCCCAAATAGACGAGTTCCTACTAAAGCATAAGTAGCTTGTATAGTTAATTATATGTAAAGTATTTTGAGAAGTAAGGAAGATGAAAAAAACAAGACTCGCATCAATCTTTGAAGTCCTTTAAATTCTTAAAATATTAATAAGATCTTTATATCTCTACATATCAAGAACACTCTGGCAAAATATATTATAGTTTCATCTTAAGAGCCATTTGTAAATAGATGAAACCATCTTTTTTTTACATCATAAAAGAAATCTGCAATTGATACAACTGTTATAATTAATTCAAACAATCTCCATCTAGATGCCATATATCTAGTTACTCCATATGCCATAATCTTTATTATACAATCAAAAGTAAATATGATAGCATGTAATTAATATAATTAATTAGCTAAATTTCTAGTATATTATGAATTAATATCAAATAAAAAACATAATACAATACTATTTGTAACCAAAATACAATTATAATAATATTTATAACTAAAATTATATTATAATTTTTTACTATTTACTAAAGGCTAATTTATATGCTAATTTTCTAATTTAGGAATGAGGAGCATGAGAATACCCAGGTTTCTAATTGAGAACAATTGAACATATTTATATAAATTGAGATTAATCCTAAGTTAAATTTTTATTTTCTATCTT